CATTTATTGAGCGCCTTTCACGTCGGGAGGACATCCCAAGGCGCTGTAAAGTTGGGTCAGGACCCGAGCAGAGGGGAAATGGTCAGGGTGAGGGGAGGGAAGGGAGGGAGCGAGGAGGGGGTAGAGAGTCGAGAGGGGAGCTGAAGGCTCGGTCAAAGAGAAAGGTCTTGAGACCGGCCTTGAAGGAGGAAAGGGTGGAAGCGGCGAAGACACTGAGGGATAGAGTTCCAGAGCCTCAGGGCTGAGAGGCTGAAGGCCCGACCACCGATAGTAGGGCGGTTGGGGCGGGGAATGTGGAGCAGACCGGAGCCAGAGGAACGGAGGGTATGGGCAGGTAGGTAGGGGGATAGTAGGTCGGAGAGGTAGGAGGGAGCGAGGCCGTGAATGGCCTTGTAAGTGAGGATGAGGATCTTGAATTCGATCCTCTGGGGGTATATTCTGTGAAGCGTTTTGAGATGTCCCAACAACGTGATGAGGCGCTATAAAAATGCAAGGATTATTATTATTATTATAAGCTTTGCTGAGTGCTATGGATGGAGAGGGATTGCTGGGAACTAATGGAAACCTTGGTGACAATATTTGGTGCCCAAAGAAGTTGTGTTGGAGCCTGCATCATCATCGCTATGGATTGATTCAAAAATTTGCATAGCAAATCTTAATGCAGCAGCCAAAATGTGTTTTGCTGAAAGTTGNTTTTTTTAAACACACACTCTCTAGTTCTTTCAACTTCTTCTTGACAAGAGTAGGATGGGGTCCTCCATGCCTTGAATTATAAACGGCCACCATGTGACTAAGTCTTCATTGCTTCAAGCTTCAGAAAATGCTTGAACTGATGTTTTTTCCAGCAAAGCAGAAGAGCTTGTTTTTCTCCTTATGTGACCTCTCTGGAGATGCGATGTTGAGTGAGACTAGCATTACTGATTCTATTCTGGCTCAGGAATTCTGCCTCGAGCTTTACTGCATTATTCATTACATTTGTGTTTGATCATAGTGGCTTCTTTTGGAGTAGATTTTTGGATACAAAGCTTAAAGAGGAAGGAAAGTCTAGGGCGTGTGCTTTCTGTAGAAAGGATTCACTAGATTTCTAGCACAAGATAAAACTCTTAAAAATATTTCTGATATTTAGTAAAATAACCTTGATTGCTGCAGGTGGTGGGGACCCAGTATTTCAGATCTCCTAGTCTGTGATCTTCTATTCTGTTAATATTCTGGATTACTCTTTGCTCAATTCTGTTTGCTGTGGTACAAGGTGAACTAATTGTCCTAGACACTGTATTGCGGAAAGCCACAAAGCAGATCCCCAGTGTTTTGATGACTGAGCTGCAATGCTTGAGGAACACCCAGATAAACTAGTCTCAGAGAGGATCTTACAGAGGTGTATAAGATGCTGAATGGGATGCACAGAGTAAACTCAAAACACTGTTTTCACATTAAACAACAACAAGAGACCACACCAACTAAAGGATATTTTGGTTTACACTCCGGGAATATAAAATGAATGTGTCTAAAACAAATTATTAACTTGTATTTCACTCATTTAAGAGGGTGTAAGTAAGATCTGCAAATCTGATCATCTCTCAAAAGTGGCTGTGATGGGAGCTGGCCTGCATTCTACATGTAAACTTAGCCGACATTGATCTATTGTATAAAGGTTCGTTTATAGTCGGTGTCACCGTGTTGAGTAGCACTGTGGTTATCTGTTAAAGGCTTTTCAAAATGCACTTGTTGTTTCCAGTTTACTCTGTCACTCTCCATGAGTGACAATATACTGTACTTTTAGTCGCGTTTAGTGCAGTGATTTGCCACTGTTGCTTATTTAAATCGTATCTTCTGACATACTAACTATGTAAATCCCTGCATGTGTAGAAATGAGAGAAGGAGATGCTGTTTTAAAATAATAATTGCTTTTTGGAATTCCACTTTCCTCCACATCCCTCCGACCCTCACATACACCCTTGCATTTGGTAGAGCGTCTTTCATGTCCCAAAGCACTCAGTCTTTGTAATAAAAATGAATGAACAACTTTGCCACTATCTTCATTTCTCAAACAAATTACTTTTTTCACAGATTGTCTCGAGATTTTAATGTACTGTGCTCTGCAGGCTCTTGTCAAATATAGGAAACACAAAGTACCAATGAGAAAATCTCTTGAGTTTTGGGAGCAAGGAACATCTTTCTTCTACTCGTTATTGCTGGAGTGGATTTTCTCTTCCATGGCAATAGGAAGCTTCAGGCTTAACTTAATATGAATAGCTATTCGCCATCGGAAGCATCAGAACAGATGCATTATTGCATTATGTAGGCTATTTAGGCACTTCTACTTGGACAAGGTCTAATAACTCATTGAGATGAAGTTCTTATGGCAAGGGCCCCATACAGTATAAGTAGATTAGCTGTAATCTTTTTATCCTTGATAATCTTGGGTGTTCACAATGTAGATTGTGAGTGATTTATGCAGCAGTCATTGAAATGTGGCTCTTTTCAATTCCGAAATATGGTTCCCTCCTTAGAACTACAAAATGGTATTTTTTTAATTTCCCTCCAAACACACATACCCATCCTATATTAAAAGTAATATGTATGTATCTTAAATAGTGCCTGACCAATCTAGTAATCTGTTTGGCAGTGTGCCACAGTTGTGGCTGGTTTGTTTGTGGAGATTTGATATTAAGACCTGTCAATTCGCATTAAATCAGGATTGTGTAGTGTGGCATGCGTTTCATAGTAGGAGCTGATTTTGTGTGTGCTCGCTCTCTAAACGTTTTGGGTGAAGTGAGGGTATATCCTTGCCAGACTGCACTGGCTGCCTATCCCAGTGAGGTTCGATTTCAAGATCCTCACCCTTGTATTCAAGTCCCTGTACTCCTCTGCACCCTCTGACCTCCTCTCTCCTCAAAACAGTGCCCGTTACCTCCGTTCCTCCGGATCTGGCCTCCTCCTCGTCCCCCGAGTCCTCCGCTCCACCCTCGGCGGCCGTGCCTTAAGCCACGACGCCCCGAGGATCTGGAACTGCCTTCCTCACTCCCTTTGTCTCGCTCCCTCCCTTCCCATTTTCAGGTCTCTGCTGAAGACTTTTCTTTTCGACCGTACCTTTGGTCACCTTCCTCCCCCTGGCTCGGTCCCGGGATCCGTGATTGTAAGGCGCTCTGAGACGCCATCCGGCGTGGAGGGCGCTATATAAATCCAAGTAGTAATAGTAGTAGTAGTAGTTGTTGTATACATTACATTTGTATAGCGCCAAGAGTGCAATAACCGATTGACGTAGAGACATGATTTATGCCTCATCGGAAAGATCTGGCATGGGGGTAAGTTTCATGGGCATATTTTTTTTCTGGCATCTCCTATCATTGATGATTTAAAAACTATATTAAAAATGCTTTATTTAAGCCCCCAAAAGTTATGCATAGCATTCTGCATCAACGTTGTGACAGTGGTCACATGAAACACAAAATACTGCAGATGCTGGAAAGCTGAAAACAAAAACAGAAGTGGCTGGGTCACACACCCAGAGGTCACATACCCTTCCAGAGAGATACATCTATACTAATAAAGACAAAATATCTGTCTGTGCGTCTGTAACCAATTGATATAGAGACACCAACAGAAGTCCTCCCGCTGAATCCTCCCAACAGGACTCTTCCCACTGAGTCCTCCCAAAACGATATGTGTGCAAATATGTGAACAAAGGATGCAAATGAGTTCAATAGCACATTTTCTTAATCTTAAGGGATAAAGATGCTTAAGAAGTGAAGATCAACCCTTTCAAGGACAAATAAAAATGCCAGATGAAAGCGAGATTTGCCGATTAAATTAAACTGCTTGCGAGCATAGCTGCAATGGGTAGAGCAAGTTTTAAATAAAAGAAACCTGTGTTCCCTCTCTCAATCCCTTCGACTCACTCCGTCAATCCCTTCGCCTTGCCCCCTCTTTTCTCATTTTCAGGTTACACCTGAAGACTTTCTTCTTCGACCGTGCCTATGGTCACCTATACTATAATCCAGTCCCCCTGACTCCGCATTGGTCTCCGCCATTGTTAAGCGCTCCAGGATGCCGTCAGCCATAGAGGGAGCTGTATAAATGCAAGTTCTTGGTCCCGACAGTAGAGTGCTGAGTGGAGGCATGATTATTACCTCTGCTTTTACTTCTTATACATGCTCTTGAAGCTTAAATATCTTTGACAACCCGAAATGTTCTGCCTGCCTGTTGTGATGTTATAATAATAATCCTTGTATTTGGTTTAGTGCCTTTCATGTCAGGATGATGTCCCAAAGTACTTCACAGAATTTACTGTGATGTGGGGTGTCTGTGTATTTGTAGGCCAATGCAGCAGCCCAGTTGTGCACAGCAATGTCTCGTAAACAGCCATGCAGTGAATGACTGATTTTATTTGGGGGGGTGGGGGCGGGTATTGTTGGCCCAGATGCTCGCTCACAAATGTGCACTTTTCACTAGGCCTCTCTGGGTATCACATAGGAGTGGGAATCCTTATGATCTTTTCCCATTTACACTATCCTTTGCCTTGGACACTGAAGCCAATGGAGCAGTCCCACTCCCAGCTGAACTCCAGTGTAGATTGGTGCTTTGTCACACTTTTTTTTAACTTTGTCTGGCATTCAGACAGTCTATGTGAAGAGGGGACCATACAAATGAAAGTTGTTCTCAGAATAGATATTGCTCTTGCATATCATCAGATAATAAATAGTGGTACCTGTGTCAATCTATACAAATCGGCTCCACCATTGAGCTAAAGTCTGGATAACTTGAACAGTTTTGTAAATTACTCCCTCTGGTTTGTGCTTGGGTCAGGATTTACAAGCGCAAAAAATAGTCGCTCGGCCCAACTAGTCCTTGCCATTGAGGCAAGTCTGAATCAGCATTTAGGAGTTCATACATGATGATCAAAAAGAAATGATAGAAAAGAAAATATTAAAATTTATTTGTGGAAATGTAATTAAAATACAAGCTGCTGCTGCTTCTAACACCGTTTTCTTATTTTACAGCAAATTTAACTGGGCACTCTGAGAAGGTTGGGATTGAAAATTTTGAACTACTGAAGGTCCTTGGAACAGGAGGTACGTGGGCAGTGTTAATTGTGTCAGCCTTCTGTTGCGATCTAGAATATTTTAAAGGACACAACAGATAATCAAGGGTGAAGTAACCATTGATCTTAAGAAACTGTATTGGCGGGGGTGTTAAGAAGGTGTTAGAATCACAAATTTACAGCGGAAAAGAAGGTCATCTTTTCACCCCCATTTACCTGCTTTTTCCCCAATAACCCTGTATCTTATTCCTTTTTTAGATTCTTGGAATCTCATAAGTCTAAGCTGACACTCCAATATAGTGCTGGGGAGGAGAGGGAGTGGGATTTTGTTGCATTGTCGGAGGTGCCTTGGTTCGGATGAGACATTAAACCGAGTTCCCATCTGCCTGTTTAGATGGATGTTCACGTGGCACTATTGTAAAAGAGAAGGGAGTTTATGTCTCTTGCTAGCCTGGCCAACAATTCCCCAGCAAAAATTGATCACTCACTGCATAGTTGTTCGTGGGACACTGCTGTGTGCAACTAGCTGTCGCGTTTCACCCACAAAATACACAGTCCCTTCATGTTTCGCCCACAAAATATACAGTCAATTCACTTTGCAGTATTATTCTGTAAAGCATTTTGAGACCTCTTGAAAATATGATAAGGCAATATATTGAATCCAAGGATTATTATTATTTGCAACACCAAGTTGCATTTATATAACGCCCTCACATTGGAGCATTTAAACTTCACAGTATATCCTGTGAAGCGCTTTGAGACGTTTCAATGATAAAGCCCGAGATCAAATGCAAGAATTATTATTCGTAGTAGTAGTTCCCTTTTGAAAGCTAATATGGATTTTGTCTCAACCACTGCTCTGTACAGAGCATTTAAGAATGGGCCTCAATGATATTCAGTCCTTTGCACTCCATCTAAAGTTTTTTGTGATAGAATGTGTTGTGTAAAATGAGCTCTTCACTTTTTGCTGCCGCTCAGTGCTAGTGGGAAAATATGTTTGAAGATACCTCCTTAAATGGGTGGTTGTGTTTTAGCCAAACACTGGTGAGATGTGTTATAATGGGGGGTATAACCTGATAGGTTAACCCCCCCCCCCCATTATAACACATTATAACCTGATAACCTGACAGGTCAGAGTTGTTTTGCAATTATTTTTTTAAAAGCCTGGATAAGTCATTTATGCTTTCAGCATTTGTGTTGTGCGTTACCAGGTTAAAATATTTCAGTGCTTTGTAGCTATTTACTCTCATGTGGTGACTGTTTCTGTAAGTAAGCTCACAGTCATTTGCACTATGGAGAGCATCGTTTGCCAGAATAGTGGGATAAACCTTATTTGAACAGCATGACAGGATTTTTAATTCCAACCTAAAAACAGACAGATCTCCCAACAATTCACTGGAGTTTCAACTGGTACTATGAGCTTAAACCTGGCAAGGAGCTTGAACTCTACGACCATGTGTGGGCGTGCTACCAAGTGAGCCAAGCTGACACTTTCTGAACTTTCTAGTGAAGGAAAAACGGAGCGATGGGGTGGAGGAGCTCCCGGTACTGTCTATATGTAGGAAGTACTGTGTGTTTTCCCCCTCCCTTCTCACTCATTGTTCTAGGGTTATTCTCGTACCAAATTTGACTGCAAGATGTGTGTTCCTGGAAGCACAAGTTAATAATATCTGTTGTGTTTTGGGAATTAGGGAGGGAATGTCTTTTCTGCCAGTAAAGTTAATTAAATCCCAAGAATTGTCATGCAGTGTGATAGACTGTCATTATGTTAATTGAAGCAGTGACTCTGTCCATTGTATTGACCTCAGTGGCTCTCTGCATTTCTAGCTTATGGAAAAGTATTTCTTGTGAGGAAAATCAGTGGCCATGACACTGGGAAGCTTTACGCCATGAAAGTGCTGAAGAAGGCATCAATAGTTCAGAAAGCGAAGACCGCAGAACACACCAGAACAGAACGTCAAGTATTGGAACATATTCGACAGTCACCATTCCTCGTCACGTTACATTATGCCTTCCAGACGGACACAAAACTCCATCTTATTTTAGGTAACACAAACCATAATTATTTTAGAAATTGTAAACGTGTAAAGCTCGAGACAGTGAATAGCAACATTGACCATAATTTCTATAATGCTTGTTTATTGGCCCAATCCGGTGATCAAAATTCTCTCTACTATTACCGCTCTATACCCTGTATAATGTGGAGCTCCTTCAGCTACTTGGTCACAGGCAAGCTTGTCATTATCTTTTCTCCGGCCTGAAATAATAACAAAGATGGGCTCCATAATGTGAAATGTAGATTAAGATTTCCTCATTGTGTTTCAAGCTGTAGAGGTGTTTACATAGCTGTAATCTGCGGAGGGATTAAGTATGGTCTCCGTGAAGCTGAAATGGCTCCAAGGTGACACATTTGGCAGAGGAATATTAGAATCAACTCAACTCCCTCTATGGCTATCTTGGTAGTTTGGTTCCCGAGTTAAACAGATCCAACAGTACTCCAGGGTACTGCTGATGAGACTACCTCATCAATACTGTAGTGCGCATTCCATTCCTGACTTAGAGAATTTCCAAGTACAGGTGAAAGATTGGAACTTGTTTGGCTTGGATACTCTTAAGCAGGGGAATGGGTTTCCACGTGTGTCGGACACTGAACTGACCAAAAAGAGACTGCCCCGGGCAAGAGGACACCAAGTCAATACTGTGAAAGCAGGTTTAGCTCAGACACCAGGAGCATTTCATTACAGAGTATAATTAACAGCTGAACGAGATTACCAGGAAGGGAAGTTGACGCAAAATACTTAGATTCATTTAAGAAACCATTTGATACTTTAATTGGAAGGTGATAGCATAGTTACTCTCAAACAGTGCGATCAAATGGGTGGAAAGGGCCATTTTAATCCAAACCTCTCTTGTGGCTTCCAAGTGCAGTATGTGATTTCAAATCGGAGTTCTGGTGTATTTGTGGCCAGGCCAGGATGGGAAGGTTTTGCTTTGAGCAATTGGTTCAGGTTTCGAGTAGAGCAGGAATGGGCTAGATCTCTTGTACCAGTTTTGGCATCAAGTCGTGTAACTTGAGTAAAAGTTATATCAACATGAAATAATTCAAACACAAATTGGATTTCAGCCTAGAAATTTTAAGAGCCCATGGATTATTTTTACTGTCTTGACGATTCAAAGCCTTAGTGTTTGGGGGAGAGGTAGTCATTTCCAGTTGGCTTACTGCAGACCGAAATAGAAATGTTAAACGTTGGCACTGTTGCAACGCGCTGTCTTTTGTAATGCTTTGTGAAAACCGTGTGAAAATGTTGTAGAAAAGGTGTTTATATCATTTCCAAATTCGTGAGTGAGCCAGTTACCACAGAATCTTTCAAAGGTTGTCTTTCTGTTGGAGCAGAGAAGGTTTGAGGGTTGATAATGGTGGAGATATTCAAGATAATGAAAGGGTTTGAGAGGTTAAAGGCTGAGGAATTATTTTTGTCAGTAGGTGGTTCAAGGACAAGAGGGCACCAATTAAAGATCATCAAAGAGCAAATTGGGAAGAATTTTTTTCTGAGGCTTATTAAAATATGGGATGACTTGCCAAGGGTGGCTGTCGGCCCAATCTATTGGGGGCATATAAAAGGGATTTAATAGACACACAAATCAGGAAGATGAGCAGAGCATATGGGCAAAGAAGGAAATAGTATCATTGGAGGAGCTAACACTGATACTAATATAATGGATCAAATAGGTTACTACTGTTCTGTAAATATCTATGGTTCCACATTCTGAAAAAAGTTACTCTTAACTATGTTTTTAAAAAGACGCCCCATTTTGAAGAGAGCAAAATGGTTCGCACTTTTCTCTAAATTTTAATATCCGGAACTTAGAATCGTAGAACGTTACAACGCAGAAGCTGATCTTTCAACTCGAGCTATAGGAGACGCCACATCCCATCTTCCTGCTTGGTCCCTGGACTCTTTAATAATTTTCTTTAATTTAAAAAAAATCACCTCTTGAAGGCAAAATGAAATTGTAAGTGGTGGGGTGGTAGCGAGAAGCATGTTTCAGAGGCAATTGTTGGTGCCAAGTAGCAGTGTCTGCGTACTGTGTATTCATGTAAGATTAAATTATATTTTGGTTCACTGAATTATTTTTGCTTTTAAGTGGAAGAAAAAGTACTTTTCTGGTTTATCGTAGAAGCATAGAATTATACAGCACAGAAGGAGGCCATTCAGTCCATTGTGTCTGTGCCAGGTCTTTTAAAAGAGCTATCCAAATAAATCCGACTCCCCTGCTCTCTCCCCATAGCCCTGCAAACTTGTGTCCCAAATAATTATCTACTTCTCTCTTAAAAGTTGTTATCGAATCGGCTTCCAACCCCTTTCAGGCAATGTATTCCAGATCCGAACAACTCGCTCTGTCAAAACATTTCTCCCCATCTGCCCTCTGTTTCTTTTAACAACTCATTCCCTCATTCCTTATACCATCCTGGTAAATCTCCTTTGCCTTGACATCCTTCCTAAAGTGAGGTGCCCACAACTGAACACATAATAATTCCTCAAGAAAAAAACCCAATAATAAATTAGTAATTTCAATCCACGACTGTTTGTGGGACATTGCTGTGTGTAATTGCTGCCACATTTCGCCCACAAATATACAGTTAATTCACCTTAAAGTATATTCTGTGAAGCGCTTTGAGACATTTAGAAGATGTGGAAAGCGCTATCTCAAATGCAAGGATTATTATCATTAACTATTTTAAATCGGGTTTCCTCAGGTTACCGACCCACCCGCCAGTGGAAACAGTTTCTCCTTGTTCACCCTATCAAATCCCCTCATAATTTTAAAAACTTCTATGAAGTCTCCTCTTAACCTTCTCTGCTCCAAGGAGAATAATCCTAGTTTCTCTCGTCTCTCCTGATAACTGAAGTCCCTCATTCCTTATACCATCCTGGTAAATCTCCTTTGCACCCTCTCCAATGCCTTGACATAATTCCTAAAGTGTGGTGCCCAGAACTGAACAGTCTCTCGCTGAGGCCTAACCAGTGTTTTATAAAGGTTCATCATAACTTCCTGACTTCTGTATTTTATGTCCCTGTTTATAAAGCCTAGTATCCCTTTTTTTTTAACAGCTTTATCTACCTGTCCTGCCACCTTAACGATTTACTTCTATGAACCCTCTTTAGGATTCTACCATCAGCTTATGTCGCCGCTCCTCATTCTTCCTCCCAAAATTCATCACTTTGCATTTCTCCACATTAAGCTTCATCTGCCAACTTCATGAGGTTGCACTCCTGTCCCTGACTGCGCTTTGTGCATTCACAGAAAGCTTTTAGTCCTGAGACTTTCTGAAACTGCAACTAACCTAATGCTGAGTTGTATTTTTTATTTCTTTGGGTTGTGTCATTGTGAAATAGACTCTTAATCAACGGTCGTTAGAGCAGAGTCCATACATTCTTTCAAAAGAGAATTAGAATAGATAGATGCCTGGAAAAATCTGGAATATTAAAGGGTAGTGTTGGTGATGGGGGAGCAGGGGGAGAATGAGCGAGAGAGTGGGATTAGATTACTTGTGGAGAAATTGCCAGTGCAACCTTGATGTTTCTGTGCAATATTCTATGACGCATATTGTTCCACCTCCTTGTTAATCGAAACCCATTGCATGAACTCCTTCCTATTCCAACTCAGAGATCTTATTGCCGTGGAACTCCTCACCTCCCTCCTTTCCTCCTACAATCTACAGCGTTTTAAATTGCAATCCTGACATCTTCCGCCCACTGTCTATTGTCGTTATGGTTTATACTATCATCAGCGGCCGGGCTTTCAGCCTCTCTGCCCCCACCCTTTGGAACTCTATCCCACAATCCCTTCACCTTGCTCCCTCCCTTGCCTCTTTCAGGACACGGCTCAAAACCTTCCTTTTCGTATCCTGAGTTACTCCAATCCTTGACAAACTCCACTGGCTGCCTGTCACAAGAGTGGATTGAATTCAAGATCCTTACTCTAGTATTTAAATCCCTCCCTGCCTTGGCACCCCCCTATCTCTCTAACCTCCTGTCTCCCCACAGCAGTACCCGTTGCCTCTGCTCTACTGGGTTCGGCCTCCTCTGTGTCCCCCGAATCCTCCGCTCCACCATCAGCGGCTGTGCCTTCAGCCACTACACTCCAAAACTTTGGAACTCCCTCCCTCAACCCCTTCGCCTCGGCCCCTCCTTCCCCGTCTCAGGTCGCACCTGAAGACCTTACTTTTCAGCCACTATGCCCCGCGGCTCTGGAACTCCCTTTCTCACTCCCTTTGCCTTGCCCCCCTCTTCCTATTTTCAGGACTCGGCTGAAGACTTTTCTTTTCGACCGCGCCTTTGGTCACCTTCCTCCCACTCCCCCCTGGCTCGGCCCCGGGATCCGTTACTGTGAAGAGCTCTGAGACGCCATCAGGCGTGGAGGGCGCTATATAAATCCAAGTTGTTGTTGTTGTCGTTGCCTGTAGTTTGGAGCATGGTTTAGTGCTGTCTGAATGCATTTATCAAACCAGTTGCTTACTGGCTTGTAAGTTAGTAAATCTACTGAGGTCTAGTGGTTTAACGTCAGTTTCAATCACTGTTATGGAAACATTGCAGTAAAGGAGTGATGGTTCAATGTAGATGTGTCTAGGAATAAATAAATGCATTCCACTGCTTCTTATTGACTAATCAGAGATTAGTGCTCAGATTTCCACTATAAATGGCTAGTAATCTCATAACACTGCTGTTCTTTGCTTAATGACAATTAAATTAATTTGATAAGTAGACTTTACTGGAGAAAGCGGAATGATCTGATACTCACCCAAGCTACTGTTTAGTATCTCGTTCAGTAGAATGGATGTACCCAGCTGCCCTGAACCTTTATTTAGAAATCCTTAAAATAGGAATTGACGTAAAATAATGTGTTGTATTAATGCTGCTGACTGTGTCGCCTTCAGGTCTGTTGGAGAATTGGCGATCTCATGAGATTGGAAGGTTTTCACTGCTGGGTAACTAAGGTTTTACTGGCAGGGGAAGACCCTTTTAAAATATGTGCTTGATGATTTCAAGCATATGGTTCAAATATTGTCACACTACATTCCCCCCAAACAGGCTTGATCTTATAGTTTTTCAGGTTGAATTCAATCCTGCTGCTGTTCCTGGGAATATTTAATTGGGGTTACGTTTTGCTGTCCAAACTCTTGACGAATACATGAACTAAATGAGCCATGTAAAGCGCAGTATGCTGGTGGCACAATTATATCAGTCATGAGTCTCAGATAATTTTGGGGACAGTGGGAGTCGCTGGCAGCACTTGAAGGGAAAGTTTTGCTTCCAGATTTCCAATTTGGCTCCGGATCAGCTTTCTGCTTGGGAGGCCAGAACGGCTCATTGGCCTCTGGTTGTAAAGCTGTCTAACTCATTCACCTCTGTTTTGAGTGTTCAACACTTTCAAATGCCACATCTTGGCTCTGTTACTCCATCAAACGATTTGATAAAAATTTGCCCCAGAACAGCATACATTGTCGCTGTGCTTTTGGCAGATGCGGTTTGATGTGCCAAAAGTTTGACAGAAGTGTGAAATGTTCAATACCGGGAATAGAATTTTTTTTTAAAAAAAGAGAACTGGATAAACCTCTAAGTGGTAAAAATATAAGGAAAGAGCTAGAAAGTGAGATCAATCACCATAGTAATGCAACAACTTGTAATTATATAGCACCCTTCACGTAGGATAGACATAATGGACTGAAGTTTTGAGACCTCTCAATGACGTGATATGGCACTATATCAAATGCAAAGATTATTATAAAATAGCTGCCTCCTGTGCTGGAAATGTCTGTTACACGGCAAATAAATGCAATTTGGTACAGTTAATGGGAATTCCAAGAGACGTACAGCCACTTAACGTTTCACAAGGGTATGCTTCTTTTAAAGATTGTATACAAAACCTATTGCCAGTTTAATTTCTGAATGTGAAAAATCGTAGCTCTGCACTATTGTCATACAGTAATATTTGCAAGTGAGCGCACACATGGATTTCAATTGCAATAGGAATTTGAGTTGCATTTCTTTTCCAGTTGCTCTGGTTTCTTCCTCATGTGTCTGTCATTTTATATTGTGTGACAGATTATGTGAATGGAGGAGAGTTGTTCACCCATTTGTCACAGAGGGAGCGCTTTACAGAGAACGCAGTGCGAATATACAGTGGAGAAATAGTACTGGCACTGGAACATCTACACAAGGTAGGGTCCGTCTCTACCACCCACTCTTTGGTGAGATGATCTCTGCACATCTGGAATTAACACGGGCTCTATGATGGGGGGAAATCATTAGAATGTCCAATTTGCTCTCAGACGGTTCCATGTGCTTTCAAATATGTGAGTCTGTTTGAAAGTTCAGTGAGTTTTAGGCAGTAATCTCAAGTTATTCAGGTGACATCATGAAGCACAAGATGAACCTTAGGCAATGGAGTCCTGTAGCTCAGTGGTTAGAACAGGCGTCTTGCAACTGTCAGACCTGGGTTCGTTTCCCGGCAGAGCGAAATGTTGGTCAAGTTTCCTTACTCCATGTCCCTCTGTTTACCGAGCAGTAAGTAGGAACCCGATTGTTAGTTGATTGGCGGAACGCTTTTGTAGCGGTAAAAATTCCTTCAAAAAAAATTGGTCACTCAATCCACGACTGTTAGTGGGACACTGCTGTGCTCAATTGGTTGCTGCGTTTAGCCCATAATATATACAGTCAATTCACTTTACAGTATATTCTCTGAAGCGCTTTAAGACATCTCAAAGACATGATAAGTCGCTATATCAAATGCAAGGATTTTTTTTTATTATCTGAATTCTGAGCTGAAATTGAAATTATTCCAGAACTTCTGTTTTTGTTGGGTGTTTTCAGTTCTTTTATGGGCTGGTGACGATAGACCAGACAAATAGCCACTCCTGTGGACACCTCGCTGAAAGATTGATGATTGTGAATTTATTGATTGTCAATCCACAGTTAGTAGCCAGGAAATCCTATCTATATCTTATGTTAATTTTTCCCTAGAGTGGTGGAACCCAAATGAATGCTTCCCACATTATTGGTTGAAACATCCTTTATTTGATAAACGCTGATAGCATTCAAGCATCTCAAAGAGCTTCACAGATAATTGGAGCCAAAGCTGGTGACTATTATATCCTACCCACCCTCTGAGCAAAGACATGTTTTCTGAACTCCCCTTTAATTATTTTTGTGGTGATCATAAATCTGTGCCCTTTTATTAATGTACTTAGAATTGTATCCCTAGATCTGTGCTTGGTTGGAGCGACAGAAGGGTTACTGTGTTTGGACATCCCAGACTAAGACATAAATAAACAGCCTTGAATTCTTGTTCTTGCCTCTGGTCGCTGTCTGGTTATTTCTTGTGGAAAAGCCAACATATGACTAAGGATGGGATCATAGAAACAGGAGAAGGCCATTCAGCCCCTCGAGCCTGTTCCACCATTCTATAAGATCATGTGTCTCAAGTCCAATTACCCTCCATTGCCCCATATCCCTTAATACTCTGACCTAACAAATATCTATCCACCTTAGACTTGAAGATGTGAATGGATTCAGCATCCACAGCCTTTTTACGGGTGAAAAACTACCTCTTAATTTCACTCCTGAAAGGCCTCGCTCCAATTTTAAGATAATGCCCCCTTGTTCTGGATTCCCCACCAGAGGAAATAGTTCTGGATTCCCGCACAGAGGAATCAGTATCTGGTTCGGTTCTGAATCCTTTCCCACCCCGTTACAACACTTGCTGCTCGGGCTCACACGTAAAGAATAGCCGGCCACTTGGACAGGAAATTGAAGTTATGTCAGCTCCTGTCACCATAAATGTAAGATTCGTATCAAATATAATAATTAAGAAATTGTATACAAAGGGTTGTATTGCCTGAGCAAAAAGATGGGGAAAACCAAATCCATAATGGCTTTTAAAATGGAATTAGACAAATATCTGAAAATGAATATGTTTATGGCGAAAGGACAAGAGAGTGGGGCTAAACAAATAGCTTGTTCACGGAGCACACAGACAGACACAAGGGGCTGAATGGCCCCCTCCTGTTCTGTGAAATACTTTCTTGATTCAATCACCCACTTTGTCACCTCCTTTGAGAAATGGCCAAAGAAAAGAAGGGAGGAAAAGGCATTATTAAAACAAAAAGCCACAGGAATGCCCGTTATCCAGAGCGAAAGTTAAAATGTCCGCTGAATCTACGATCACTCTAGAATCTAAAGGGCAACTTGATCGCGAGTTAACTTCATCAGATTCCTAAAGTTCAGTGTTGGAGATAAGAGGTATTACTATATGGTGTAACTTGATACTATGGCCTTTCCACAGCTTGGAATTATATACAGAGATATAAAACTTGAGAATATTCTGCTGGACAGTAATGGCCATGTGGTGCTAACAGACTTTGGACTCAGCAAAGAATTTCTAGTGGATGAAGTAAGTATCTTTTTCAAACAAATATTATAAGCTGCTTGATGCATGTGTGTGTTTTAATGTAATTAATGCAGTCCTAATGCATTAATTTTGCACTCCTCATTTTCCTAAGTTCCTGATTTCCTCACTGGCATTTAATTTCAGTGCTCCAGGTCTTGTTTTCCCTAATAGCAGAGTTTTGACTGCAGTCTGGACAACATATGTATATTGCTTGCAACCTTCTGTGGATTGATTTAATCCACCGCCCAGCTCATTCGTTGCATTATTTTCTAGGCACATATTGGAACAGATTGGCCAGATATGTCATCCTGGAATATATAACCACTTTACATTATGGAATCCCTCCTTAATAGACTTGTGTTTTTACATGCTTTCATATTTTAATGTATGTAAAAGCAGTAGTAGGCCACGAGGGCGTGTGTACAGGGGTGGGGAGGGGGGCTGAGGTGCCTTGGCTAAAATATGAGAGAAGCTATGAACATATTTAAATAGATTCTCTTGCATGCAAATAACATGTGAGCACACAAAACTATCAGAAAGCTCCATCTTTCCAATTGGATATTCGATTTGAATATCAAATATTGTTTCAGTATATTAAGAGCAACAAAGGCTAGAAGGTATCTTGTTAGTATCAACCATATCTTGGTAAATTTAACATTGTGTTAATTTACTCAGAGTAATGATTACAAGTTAACAATATCAGTAATTTGTATATTTATCTGAGTTGAACAATTATTACTCCAGCTGGCCTGGGGGGTATCAGGGGAGGTTTATTGTCTGCGAGCTGTATGCCTCTTATTGGATGTGATGTGAAAATACTACGTAACCAACTAGACGGCACTGAGAAAATCAACATGGGAGTTTTTTTTTAAATTACAACCTACAGTAAACACCCTTAGTGGTGTAACCTATTGTATGGTTTGTATGAAGCACTATGCTGGCATTACATTAGGAGATCAGGCGAGACCCCAACTCCACAAGATTTGGGTTTAGTTAGCTGATCTAACCGGAGGGTGGGTGGTGGGTCAGTATGCCGGGCCACAGAATGTGGGAAAATTTAGGGGCCCAGCAAACCCCCCACTAACTATCATGCGAATGACTAATTGATCTGAAGGATTGTTGACCTTTTAACATCCAGCAGAATACAGAACTGACCTCCAATTTAACTGAAGGAGGGCACCTCTGACAATGCCATATAATTAAGAATCTTACTTAAAAATTCTTAATTATATGGCATTGTCAGAGGTGCCCAATAAGGGCCAGCTTGGGATTTGGCTAAAGATTGCATTGCTCGTTCTGTTCAGTGTGGAGAAATGTGTACTGGAGCGGAGTCCTGTAGCTTAGTGGTTAACATGCTCGTCTCGCGAGTAAGAGGCCCTGGATTAGAATCCTGGGCAAGGCAAAATGTTGGGTAAGTTTCCTTACTCCATACGCCTCTGTTTACCTAGCAGTAAGTAGGGACCCAGTTGTTAGTCGATTGGCGGATCGGTTTTCCGGGGGTAATACATTTATATAGATATATAACAATTTGGTCACTCAATCCACGCACAATTGTTCATTCAATCTATGACTATTTGTGGAACAATTGGCTGCTGCGTTTTGCCCACAAAATATACAGTCAATTCACTTTACAGTATATTCTGTGAAATGCTTTGAGACCTCTCGAAGACATGATAAGCCGCTATATGAAATGCAAGGATTATTGTTATTGCTGATTTGTGTCTGGAAAGAAGGCATGTTCTGCCTGACTGGTGGGAAAGATAGAGGTACGAGTTTTCAAAACATCCCACTCAATGAACTTCGCAAGGCAACTTGCCCAGTCGTCACCATTTCTGTACTTGGAAGTTAGTTAATTAAGAGTGCTGGATCTCACTACTTATGACTGGAAGTACTTTTAACATAAAATTTCTCTGATGGTGTTCTCCAGGCAGTCAATTATATCCTTCCAAATATTCCAACTACTGTCAGAATCTTGGAGCTCAAAGGGTCTGAAATATTGCATTTTAAATTAATGCTGAGATAGATGAAAAGCTTGCTTATTAATCCAAGTTAGAGAACCGTCTTGTCTGACTTTCAAACTACCATTGTGTTTAATAACCTCAGATAAAACTTGAGATTTTTTTGTGTGTGAAGTGTGGATGGTTTCAGCCCGATTGGAGCTCATTAATGGCACCTGATATTCCATCTTCAAAGAGCAGGCAGACCTAGAGATCAAATGGCTGCGGAGTTGAAAAGAGTTGTGTGTAAAGTGATTCCTTTAAAATTTCTGAAGTTCTAATGGTATGGTTAGACATCATCTGAAGATATCAAACTTGCTTCTCCCAATTGCGAGTTATTCACGGTGAGGGAAACTGCTGATCTCTCACCGTTACCGAATATCAATGGTATCTTAATAAAAGATCGGTCCATGTGAGGACACCATTGTAACTAGCAGGCACTGCCCTACCAGTATAATTATTCAAACAAGAGTTTATATTTTTGTCGCTCCTTATCACGTCATTGTGTTCCAAAATGCTTCACAGATAATTGCAATCAAGTTTAGAAACTGTGTATGTTGGCAAATGTGCTGGCTGTTTGCACCAACAAGGTCCCACAAACCACTGTAAGGTGCATCACCAATTAGCCTCGAGAATTGGTAGCCAGAACACTGGACAAACTTTTCCAACAGTGGGGAATCTGTAAATCTCCAGAACAGGCAGACGGAACTTCCAACAATGCAGCGTCCTCCCCCAGTGCTGGATTGAGCTCTAAAGAAAATGGACAAATGGAGTTGAAGGTGCTGTTTAACTTCAAAGCTCTCCACAGCCTTGCTCGGAACTTACTTGCACGCTGAGTTTAACTCAGGGTTTCAAAGTTGATTGCCAAACCTCAGAGGCATGTGCTAAGCTACTATGAAATTTGCGACTTCCCTGTTAATATCCCAGTATGATTCTTCTAAGTGATTCAGTGCTGGTAGCAACCATAGCAGTCGGAGTCAGGAAACTGTTGTGTCACGTTGCTTCCTGTTGCAATTTACAAGCGAGAAAAGCTTTTCTAGAAGTGCACTCTGGATTTAATTTGGTATTGCAGTTTTAAAATTAAATGCATGCATAGCGTTATTGTTTTAGGCACAGCACATTGATAGAACTCTATTAAAGACTCTCATCCGAATTGTTACCCTACATTTCTTTCTGATTTTGCTGGCCCGCTAGGGTTTTCCGGTCTGCATATTGGTTTTGATGTTGGATATCTAGCATTTTTTTAACCTTTATTGCTATAAATAAGAATTTCATAATTTCCAGTTTGCATCACTGCTATCATTGCCTTCACCAATTATCTCTCATTTCTATTAATTAACTCCATGGATAGCTATGTGAGAGTACAATGTGATCAGTAGCCGTTTGAAGTAAGTGGTATAGTCAATGGAAAGGTCCAGTAAATGTTATATCCCTCAAATAGTTTTCTGTTTAGGCCTGCTCACCCCTATTAACTAAATTAGACCGAATGCGTTTCACTTAGGATCAAGGATTGTACCTGCAGCAAGTCCCAATCCCCCACAAACTCTTCTAGCCCCCAAATTGTCAACGGACATTTTCGATCTGAAACAAACTCTTTACTACCACCCGAGCAAGTCAGGTGTCCGGATGTCCCCTCCGGAGCTGATTATTGACCGCCTCAAATTGAGCATGAGCATGTCGGACACCCACTTTTCATTCTCTATATCAGAGGATACCATGTTGCTGCTGGTAGTAGTGAAGCCTTGAAATGCAGCAAGGGATTGGTGAACAATGCTACACGAATTGTAAGGTTGGACTGACCAACACTAAAAAGTGTATGTTGCAAACTGATCACAGTCCCACATTCTAAGCCATAGAACAATAATCATTTAACAGTCAGAACCACTAGGCCATTTCCAAATGTTATTCTGCTTAACAATTCGCTTTTATTTCGCGGGATTTTTTTTTGCTGTATCTGGTAGCAAGCAGCTTCCTGTCTCTCCAGATGGTAACTGTAGATAATGTTGCATACACCCTTCTGAGGTCTAACATTTCCTATGAATATAGCAGCTAGCTGCAGTTCAAACACTCAGAAAGCCACAATGTTTTAACCACAGATGCTTTTCACTATATGAATTGCCTTTTATACTTTTATCAGTGTATTGAATTCATAGTCCTGAAATGGCTTGGGGCAAAAACAGTGTTCATTTGATTTCTTCCTTGTGAGTACGTGCTGTCGAATAGTAACCACGAAATTCCATCCACGCAATCCAATTAATTCAAAACTCTGCCTGCCATAAACTCATCTGCACTAAACTTTGTAATCCCATCATACCAGTACTTGCCAGACTCCAGTGGCTCCCTCACACTCATCTACAAATTGCTTCATGCCCTCGTCACCTCCCTCCACCTCTTTGACCTGCTTACTCCCCACAGTTTTTTGGAGAGGTGGGGGGAGAATCTTGTGCATAAAGTACTCCTACTTAAAAGGTGCCCTACAAGTGCAAATTATTGTTGATTTTTATTTATTTTGTGTTGCAGAATGAGCGAGCGTATTCTTTTTGTGGAACCATAGAGTATATGGCTCCTGAAATAGTTCAAGGAGGAGACGCTGGGCACAACAAGGTATCTAATCGCTGCTAAAGTTACAGGTCTTTCAAATCGCTGCTGAGTGAAGCTAATCGCTGACATCAACACTGTATCTGCTGTGACAACGTGTTTGTTTCAGCACTGTGATGTGATCTTGGGTAAAGGTTGCTGTTTGGTTGTGGGGGAGGAAGCAGTGTTTAGTGCCTGTGTTACATAAGGAATTTCAAGCTAATACGGTAAACCTCTGGCTTAACTTAAGTCATCATGTTGTCAATATCCCAGCTGCATTTATTTATGTATTTATACATATGCCTAACTCGCTTCTCTGGATAACTCGTCACTGAGCCCTTTTCCTGTGAAGAGACAAGTCATCAGGAGTTTACTGCATTACATCTTTAACTGGCTGCCTTTGAGGGGAGAGAAGTGTTCAAAATTATGAGAGGTTTTGCTAGGGTAGACAGGGAGAAACTGTTTCCACTGGCAGGTGGGTCAGTAACCAGGGCACGTAGATTTAAGATAAACGGCTGCTGCGTTTCACCCACAACATATAGAGTTAATTCATTTCACAGTATATTCTGTGAAGCACTTTGAAATGTCTCAACGTCGTGATAAGTTGCAAGGATTATTATTATTACTGGCAGTCTGGACCAGCCTGTGTCTGCACCGTGCTTCTGGCACTTAGCAAGAGTTTTGTTTTCACAGGCTGTCGATTGGTGGAGTCTCGGAGTCCTAATGTATGAACTGAAAACAGGAGCATCGCCTTTTACTGTTGACGGGGAAAGGAATTCACAGACAGAAATTTCTAAGTAAGGAGTTTTTTTTAAAAAAAAGAAAAAAAAGTTTCAATTCTTTCAACCTGCTGCTTGAGTGAGACTTAATGGAGTATCGCAGAGATAGGTGCTTGATCTCTGTTTCGAATCCAGATCAATGAACTGGATCAGTATTGACATGACCTTTCTCTCTTTATCTACCGCTTACACAAAGATCATCCTTCACTTCTAGATGGGAAAACTTCTTGGATCTAAAGGTTTTAATGATCTCCTTCTTTGTTTGAGACGTCTCGACGATGTAATAAGGCGCTATTCCAAGTGAAAGTAGTAGTATTATTAACATTTCTAGATAGAACCACTGATTTCTTTCTACTTTTCTGACAAACTATTTTTTCACAGGATTGACATGCTGAATGACCCACTTCCTATCCTGTGTTCCAACTTCCATCTCTCACAGGATAGTGTTCCAAAATCCTGTGTGAAGGGTGCTATATAAATGCAATTTATTGACGCATAACTTTCTAGAGATCCCCTTGCTAGTATAGGGCTGGAATTCCTCCAGGGGAATAGGATGTGGTGATGTCTGTGTTAGGTGGATTATTCAACTCTACTCTGACCATGGGTCATGATTCTGTGGTTTTTGCAAGCTTTCATCTGTCTTTATTAATGTATCTGATGTAGCGCTTTGATGCACACTTCCACCCAGTCACAGTGTGCAGCAGAATAGAACCAAAAGCCTTGGAACATTAAGTGCTGTTAAGCAACCATTCTCAAATTCACAGGAGTGCCTTGAATACTTTGGCTTGGATGAGAATAAACAGTGAACTCTGTGTAAAATCAATAAAATTCAGGTTAACACCACACCCTCTGCAAAGCTTAGTAACAGTTTAAATGGATAAGGTCTGGCACCAGTTGTCAAGGGCAGAGTTGGGCAATTCAAGGAAACACCCTTTGCACAAACGATAATGAACAGCTGGAATGTTTTTTTTGGGGGGGTGGGAAATCTCTCCCCCTTGATGTGTGGGGAATCTGCCTCCAACACTGTTCACTTCTTGAGCAGCTGCTTCCACAAAGTAACCATCTGGTCAATGCTATCTTCGAAAAGGTGAGAGGACAATATTAACGTGCTGTGCCAATTGGTCACAGTTTTCAGTCATACTGTAACCACTTGTCTTTTCTCTCTCCTTTCCCTCCCCCGCCCTCACAAACACATAGGAGGATTCTTAAAAGCGACCCTCCGTATCCTCCAGAGATCAGTCCTTCAGCTAAAGACGTGATTCAGCGACTCCTGATCAAAGATCCCAAGAAACGGTTGGGCTCTGGCTTAGGAGGATCTGAAGAAATTAAGTCTCATCCGTTTTTCCAGGTGAGGAAAGAGGCGTAGACTCACATGGCAAGAGGGAAGGTGAACAGACTGCTTCAGGTTTAATTACTTTACACAGAGTGTTAAGCGTTCTGAGACGCTACGCTGTACGAGGGGCGCTGTATAAATGCAAGTTGTTGGTTTATATCTGGAATGAATGATGCAGGGAGGCAGATTGTCAACAAATTCAAGAGGGGATTGGGTGGCTGTTTGGCCAAAAAATTAATTGAGGGGTTGTAAGGAATATTTATTTTTGTTGGGTTATGCCCACATGGGCAGCAATGATTGGCCTGCCCTTTACATTCTTATGTGAATAAGTACTACCACAACAACAAGATTACATTTGTCAGGAGGACGTCCCAAGGCACTGGACAGTGTACAGCATTTCAGACCCAAGCTGGAGTCTGGTGGGGGGAGGAGAAGAGGAGTGACCGATGGCATGGATGAAGAGGTGGGTCTTGAGGCGGGACTTGAAGGAGGCTAAGGAGGGGGCGAGGCGGAGTGACTGAGGGGTGGAATTCCAGAGATTGGCTGAAGGCTCTCCTGCCAATGATGGGGTGAGTGGGTCAGGGGACGTGGAGCAGCCAGAGCCGGCTGAGCGGAGGGAATGGGCGGGTTGGTAGAGGGTTAGGAGGTCGCAGAGGTAGGGTGGGGCGAAGCCATGGAGGACTTTGTATGTTAGGACCAGGATCTGGATCCTGAAGGATAGGGAGCCAATGGAGTTGGGGGAGATGGGGTCAAAGAGTTTGGTGCGGGAGAGGACACAGGCTGCAGAGTTCTGGATTATCTGCAGTCTGTGGAGGGAGGAGTTGGGAAGGCAGTCAAGCAGGGCGTTTGCATAGTCGAGCCTGGATGTGATGAAGGCATGGACAAGAGTTTCAGCGGCTTAAGGGGTGAGGTAGTGGCGAAGTCGGGCTATGTAACGGAGGTGAGGGAAGGCAGAACGAGTCATGGCTTGAATGTGAGGATCGAACAAGACACCTAGGTTCCTGACTGACTGGTGAGTTGTAGTGTGCAACTATGGTGGTTGTTGCTGCCAGAGTCTGAGGTGCAGAGGTGCTGGCGCGAGCCAATCAGGAGGGCCTCAGTCTTGTTCACATTCAAGTACAGGTGCTTTTTTTGAGTATTGCTGGTGGAATCCAGTCTTGAGCCACGGGATCCTTCACACAACAACAGTAACTTGCATTTGTAAAGCGCCCCTCACGCAGGGTAGCGTCCCAGAGCGCTTCACAGTGACGGAGCACGACGCTGAGCCGGGGGGAGGTGACCGTAGGCACGGGCGAAGAGAAAGGACTTCAAATGCAATCGAAAAATAGTGAAGGAAGGGGCAAAGCGGAGAGATAGAGGAAGACTGTTCCAGAGTTTGAGTGTAGCGGCTGAAAATGCACCCACCAATCGAACAGAGTACACGAGGAACATGCAGGAGGCCGGAGGCAGTAGAGTGGGTAGTGGGTTGACGAGTAAGCAGGTCGGAGAGCTGGGGAGGTGCCAGGTCATGAAGGGATTTGATAACGAGTGTGAGGATCTTGAAATTGATCCATTCGGCGAAGGGAGCCAGTGGAGCCTGGAAAGGACTGGTGTGATGGGTGTATGGAGTTTAGTGTGTGTGATAGGAATGCAGTGGAGCCTGGCAAGGACTGGTGTGATGGTTTAGTGCACAATGTCAATCCCCAACAAGTGACAAGCTAATTCCCATTGAAGCTGCATTGGGAGACCACCCCAGTGGTCATTTAACTAACTTTGTTCCATGTATTTGGACGCTGTAAATGAAGTCAGAAAATTGTCAGTATTTTGAAGCCTTGGTGAGCGATAACGCAATCTGGCAGCCACCCAAATCCAAATTACAGCAAACAAAAGCACACCAGGATTATTCTTATCAAGTAAACTGCAGCTTGATTTGTTGACTGTTGAAATGGCTTCCAATTTCTGATGCACTTCAGTACTTTCTGCACCTGATGGGATAGATGCCAGTGCTTACAGGTAAACTTGGTCTAGATAGAATCAGATCACCAGAGATCTTTGGGGGTTCTGGCTGATTATTATAAGAATAATAAGAATAATAATCCTTGCATTTGATAGAACGCATTATCATGTCATTGAGACGTCTCAAAGCGCTTTACAGAATATATTGTAAAATGTAGTGACGTGTATTTTATGGGCGAAACGTGGCAGCCAATTGCGCACAGCAGTGTCCCACAAATATATTATTAGTTTTTGGAGGGATTATTGCATCCAGAAAGTGATCCACCATTCAATTTAACAGGGTTCCTACTGCCTGCTGAGTAAACAGATTACCTAGATTAAATAACACAAATTAATTAACAGATTACACCACTAGTGTTCTATCCCTGCCCTGGCTGAGATCAGTTCACTCAGCCAAGGCCAAGCATTGAGTAAGTCACCTTCTGGCTTGTATTTCCCTCAGGTGAACTGAACTGTTGTAGTATTTAACTTGGTTAAAACCTTCTTTATAGAAGTCCTGTAGCTTAGTGGTTAGCAAGTGAGAAGACCTGGGTTCGATTTCTGGGCAGGGCGAAACCTTAGGTAAGTTTCCTTACTCCAAACGCCTCTGTTTACCAAGCAGTAAGTTTGAACCAAGTTGTTAGTCGATTGGCAGATTACTTTTCCGTGGTTAATTATGGCTTTGAAACATGTTTTTGATAATAATAATTTGTTCACTCAATCCACGACTGTTTGTGGGACCCTGTTGTGCGCAATTGGCTGCCCCGTTTCAACCACAGAATATACAGTTAATTCACTTTGCAGTATATTCTGTGAAGGGCTTTGAGACGTCTCAAAGATGTAACTAGGCGCTATATCAAATGCAGGGATTATTATTAGTCAAACATTAAAGACGTAAACTGAAGTGTTCACTTTTTTTAGCATACTTAGACCTTGTACATTTTTCAGCAATCTCTCTTGTTTGCAGATATAGTAAAAAAACACAGCAGGCGAGTGAGAGACAGCTTGAAGCATTTTCTCTGTGTGCTGTCCTTTTGTAATCTTTTATTGTGCTTTGATATTGATAGAATATCAGCTGGGACGAGTTGGCTGCTAAAAGTATTGTAGCTCCATTTAAACCGGTTATCAGGGACGAGCTGGATGTCAGCAATTTTGCAGATGAGTTCACGGAAATGGATCCCACATACTCACCTGCGGCGCTGCCTCAAAACTCCGACAGGATTTTCCAGGTCAGTAAAGGGCTACCCCAGCATGCAGGAACGTTCTGGGTTAGAATTGTAGAAAGAATTGCAGGAGGTTTATAGCACAAGCCCTCCATGGTTCGATTGTGTTGTGCACTTATCACAAAGACAAACAGTCTAACCTGTTGGTGAGCCACTGATATCAAAACGCAGCCCGTTGCTAGGACATGTGTGAAACTCTAGTCCGTCATTCTGTTACTCTGGGGAAATTGCTTTTATTCTGTGTTCCTTTGTCCCTTTATTACCGCTCCACACCACTCCCCCCGACCTCCCCCCCACAACACCCCCATACCTCCGACCGTGACCATGCGCACCCTCGTGGGAAGAGGGAATTGTCTGAAACGTGAGTCTGTTTACTGCCATTGTGTGTATTTTGGGGTTTTTTAATAGGACTGATGTTCAAGTGAAAGCGTGCCCTTTGTTTCTCTGTAGGGCTATTCTTTTATTGCTCCTTCTATTCTCTTCAAACGTAATGCCGTGATGACTGATCCCATTCAGCTTCTCTTGGGAGTGGAACGGCCTGGCAGCACATCCATTGCACGCAGCGTCATGATGAAGGTATTATCAGTCAAGGATTTTTTATTAACGTAAAAGCAGAAGTCGTTGGGAACATGCAGCAGGTCAGGCAGCATCTATGGAGAGAGGAAAATGAGTTAACGTTTCAGGTCTTCGATGACTCATTAACTAATTTTCCTCTCCATAGATGCTGCCTGACCTGCTGCGTGTTCCCAGCGACTTCTGTTTTTATTTCAGATTTCCGGTAACTGCAGTATTTTGCCTTTCGTTTATTATTATTGTGTGTGTGTGTGTGTGTGTGTGAGAGAGAGAGACAATGTTAGTGAAATGGGTTGTGTTTCTCTCTCGCTCCTTTGTCATTTTAGGGTTTGCCCCCTCCCTCTAATTTTATTAGGTTTGACTTTTTTTTAAAAAAAAGCAAAAAAAACTAGCACGGAGTAGTTTTTAAAGCTTTATAATTTCTTTCTGACTTGGACCATTCTTTCAGCGTCTCCATACTTAGCAACAAGCTACACGGGAGACACTAATCACGAGACCAGTTACTGTGGAGAGGAGCAGAGATTGGAATCATGTCCCGTCCTCGACTCTGATCATCACAAGGAGAATTAGTGAATATTCTTGAAATAGGCCTTTTTGCAATGCTTAATGTTCCCATGTGCTCTTGATGTCATCAAAGTCAGGTGGAAATTGGCGAAGAAGTTGATGTCAGGTGCAATAGTGTTGGATTATTGATTTATTTTTACATTGGGACCAGCCAGAAGGGACAGCAATAGTCTTCTCTGGCTCTTCCTATGTAGTTTCTAACACACATTTACACCATAAGAGCGAGAAAGCAGTTTTTTGTCCTTTCTAGCAAATAGCTTCTTTCCTAGCGCAGAGAGAGAGTGAGGCTTTCATTTATAAAGCAATTTAGGGAGAACATTTTTATCCTGATTAGTTTGCAATCTTACTCCCCCACTCCGCTGTGCTTGTATTTTTTTAAAAAGCTAAACAACTTTTTAAAAATATCTATTTTGCCTTCCTACTGTAGGATTCTCCATTTTATCAGCACTATGACCTTGATCTCAAAGACAGTCCGCTTGGAGAAGGAAGTTTCTCTATCTGTAGGAAGTGCTGCAATAAGAAAACGGGGCAGGAATTTGCAGTGAAAATCATCAGCAAAAGGTAGCACTCGGACATGTTATTGACTCCACGTGGAGTCTTGTAGCTTAGTGATTAGAGCACTCGCCTCGCAAGCGGGAGGACCTGGGTTGGATTCCCGGGCAGGGAGAAACCTTAGGCAAGTTTCCTTACTCCTCACATCTCTGATTACCTAACAGTAAGTAGGAACCCAGTTGTTAACCGATTGGCAGATCGCTTTTCTGGGGTAATAACCCCCTAAAAAAAATAATAATTTGATTACTCAATCCATGGCTGTTTGTGAGACGCTGCTATGCGCAATTGGCTGCCACGTTTTGCCCATAAAATGTACAGTCAATTCACTTTACAGTACATTTTGTGAAGCGCTTTGAGACGTCTAGAAGACTTGATAATAATAATCCTCGCATTTGATATAGCACCGGTCTGCTCCATGTCTCCCGCCCGACCCTCCCTACCATTGGTTGTCGGGTTTTTAGCCTTTCTGCCCTCACACTCTGGAACTCCATCCCACGGTCCCTTCGCCTCGCTTCCTCGCTTGCCTCCTTCTCTTCGATCGTGCCTTTGATTGCCTTCCCACCTCTCTGCCTTCCCTTACCTCTACACCACACCTCCCCTATGCTCGGGCCCCGACATCTGACTGTTCAGCGCTTTGGGACACCCTCCCGACGTGAAAGGCGCTCTAAATGTAATTTTGTTGTTGTTGTAGTGCCTTATCACGTCTTCTATAAGGTGCTATTTCAAATGCAAGGATTATTATCATTACAAATGTTAAACAGGGTTCTGGATTCAGAAATATTTCTTGAATTTGGCTTTTGCCAAATTTATGTAGCTTTTGTATGATAGAACAGTTACTGCAATGGAGAGAATAGTCACTTTGGAGGTTAGATTTATTTTCTCCCCCAACTATAGTTTATGATCTATTAAAAACTGAAATTACAATGTGTTTCATAAAATCTTCCTCATGGGTGTGTGCATATCAGATGTTCAGTAGACATTGCCAGAAGTTGTAAAGCAATCGCAGATGAAAACTATGGAAGGGAATCCTGTACAATGTTGTCCAACACTTTGATTCTTCTTTTGGCCCATTGTTCCTCAGTACTGTATGTTATTGTGTGCTGTTTGCTGTGAGATTTTATTGATGGATCGCTCCTTTCACCCATGTGGCTTATATTTTTTCACAGTTTATCCACTGGAAGGTAATCTTATTGACTGGAAGCACAAATGGGTAAACTGGAACACAACAAAGTATTAAATTTGCCTTGCGGGTTACATATTTCCATACTTATCTTTTGACAGGATGAAGGTGGCAGTGTGTAATGTTAATGATTGTTTTACGTATATTTATATAACAGCTTTTCAAAGTGCACAAAGTCTCTGAAACACTTGACAGTAATTACTGTCCATGTAGGAACTTTTTTTTGGAGACAAGCATGGAGGCCATTTTGTTCACACCAAAAACAGCCATGAAGTGAATGAACAATTTGTCTGGGGGATTATTAACCAGTGCACTGGGAGAAATATTCTGTTGTTTTCAGTAGTGTTGTGTGATAATTAACATCCTATTGTACATTTCCTTAAACTCTATGACCCCCCCCCCCCACCTTGCCTCTGCAGACAATGTGTTGAGACATTACTGAAGTCTTAAATGCAACAATAGACTGAAATTCAGATTGCAACATGCTATGGCAAAATGTCTTATCAGTCCAAGTGAAGCCATTTGTGGGTTTAAAAGAGATGGAATTATAATGGGCCCCAGCACGTCTGTCAGTTCAACAAATGCAACAATAACCTAGATATGATTTTCTTTATAGAATGGAGGCCAACACTCAAAGAGAGATAGCAGCACTGAAACTCTGTGAAGGACACCCTAATGTTGTAAAACTGCACGATGTTTTTCACGATCAGGTAAGCTATGTGTGGCTTAGTGATGTAGCAGCGGAAGCATGTGAGCCAATTCTGTGTGGCAGTTGGTTCAGGATCGATTAGGTTAACGTCTTGGGATAGTTTATGCAAAAAGTGGATTGCAATCACTTTTGATAGTGTGACAATAGATAATAGTGTCAAGTGCAGATTCTTAATATAGAATCAGGCTCAGATGTAGGTCACCCTCCCTTCCCCCCACCCCTCCTGATCCCAAACCCCAAGTTGGGTGCAAATCCTCGACTTTCCAAAGTGTTGGGACATCCTCTCGACGTGAAAGGCGTTGTGTAAATGTAATTTGTTGTTCTCTATCGTGTCGACCAACGGAAGCAACTTTCAATCTTTTTTCGCATTTCTTTTTTTATATCTTTGAAAAGGGGCGTTCGGAGCATTTTGTTGCATGTGGATGTCGAGCTGCTTATCAGTGCTGTATAAAATGCATCCTGTGTCTCTCGTGATAGATTTTGATGATAATAATTGTTGTTATTCTATTAATATTATTACTATTTGATCGGGCCAGTTTGTGATCTCCTAAATGCAGTGCCAGGTTCTAGCGCGGCCAGTTTATCTGGAGGATTATTAAGTGGGCCACTGGGAGAAATATTTTCTCTCTTTCAGCTGTGCTGCGTAATCTTTAACGGCGCTTCACCTCTCACTGACTTTGTCTCCACATGACTGATGTCAGTTGTTTGTGGCTCACTGGCACTGATTGTATGATATCAAGGTGTAAGACAGGCGGAGGGGTGGGTGGTTCCAACCTTTGGGCTGCTGAGGGCCAGATGCCCTGTTTGAGAAATGTCTGCCGGTCGCATAAGCAATATTGCTGCTGTTTCCCTACCAGAAACATTTACGGTTATGGAGAGAGCGTCTGGGCCAGATGAAATGGAGGGAGGGGGCTGGGGCAAATCAAATTGGCCTGTGGGCTGGATGCAGCTTGTGGGTCGCCCTGATGTAAGGGATGAAATCGCCAGCCACATTGGTCAATGCCCAAAACCTTCAGAAGGTTTATTTAGCTTGTCTTTTCTGTTTCCGGTAACACATGTCGGTGATGTTCCTCTGGTTCCCCATTATTCCACGGGAATAATTTTTTAAAATCAATTTATTATGTTTGATAATATTCCCTGCATTTGATATAGCGCCTTATCACATCATTGAGAATATCACGCTTCACAGATATATACTGCGAAGTGCAATGACTGTATATTTTGCGGCAGCTAATTGCATACAGCAGTGTTTCACAGATAGTCATGGATTGAATGACCAATTTATTTATTTTAAACGGGATTATTGACCTCCTGGAATTGCTGTTTTTTTGATCAGCGGACATGTTTGTTTTAGTTTACGTTGACCTTTGCCTTCCTTCACCAGTTACACACATTTCTGGTGATGGAGCTTCTGAAAGGAGGTGAGCTGCTCGATCGCATCCGGAGGAAGAAGCACTTCAGTGAAACCGAAGCCAGTCACATCATGCGCAAGCTGGTCTCGGCCGTCAGTCACATGCATGATGTGGGAGTCGTCCACAGGGATTTGAAACCGGAGGTAAATCACTTTCCCTCAACCCGACCAAGTCATAACCGTGAAGAGAACGTGTAGGTTTCTCCTGTGAGGCAGCACGGCTCTTACAGAACCCACAGGGGTGAAAGTTGCAATATCCGGTGTACGCAAAATAGTAAGCAGACTTTTGGGTTTAAAAAATAGTCCAGATTTCGGCCTACGGACCTGGGGCGCAGATCTGTATCCTGTATCCTGCATGACACGTTTCCGATCTCAGCCCCATCATCAATGTGAAAGTCAGAGAACTGGGGGTGAAAAGGAAAAGAGAAATAATAATAATAATAATCCTTGCATTTGATATAGAGTCTTATCAAGTCATTGAGACTGCTCAAAGGCTTCACATGATATACCATAAAGTGAATTGACTGTATTTTATTGGCTAAATACAAAGCATATAATGCTCGACTGAAGATATTTTGATTTATTATAAAAATACTTTGAATCACAAGTGAGCATGCACAGATATAGTTAGCGAAGGATGAGGAGGTACTGCAGAATCCTTTTTAACCTGGTTGGAAAAAGTGTGACACTATTTATCTGTTAGTGATGCAGTCCCCTGAAAGGAGCACAACGATAGATCATGGCACACTTTGTGCTCACTGTGCTATGCGCAATGAGGAGCTAATTATAAGTCTGCGAGAATAAATAGCACCCTTATGTTCATGTAACCAAGCCACCATTTGGAGCTTGGGGTTTATTCATAATTCCTGAGGTCGGGGACCATAATCCTCCCAAGTGGAGATCAGAACATTTCTAGTTAGTGGCTACTCCCTGACCCGAAACTTAGACATGAATCCTACACACAGAAGGGAAGAAAAGTTGGGCTGTTTTATACTGTCCCCATTCACTGAGAACCCCAAGTGTCCAATCATTATGTGCTGACATCCAAAGCCATGTCTGTGTTGTTGTGGGACTTGTGTTGAGAACAACTGTTGAGTTTAGAAGGAGAGTGTGAAGCCAGAATCACCGTACATGTTGATGTGAATGAATAACTGCTCCCAACCCAAAGGGTTAAGCCAATGCCGGCCGGTAAGTAGGTCAGGGCCTGAGTGAGAGGTATTGCAGCATACACTGGATTGGTACTGCATTACGCCTTCTACCTAGGGTCAATCTGACAAAAGCAAATTAAAATTCAGCCCATCTTTTGCTGTGATTTATTGCTCTCTATTGTGTGAAATTGTAATTTGGCAAGAACATTCCTAGCAGTTTCCTGTTTTTATACCAAGAGTTCTCAAAGAACTCAGTGTTTTTCATGAATTGACCTTCACAGTACTGTGTTACCAGAAGATGATACACAACTCCACTTTCTGTTTTTAAAATAATAATCCTTCCATATAATATAGTGCTTTATTACATCGTTGAGAGGGTCATGGCTCGGATGTGGGGGATGAAGGACACAGTTGAGGGTCGAATAGGGTGTTGAATGACTAACTTTTTAACTAAACAAAGTGTTGACCAGGGCACTGAGAGATATTCCCTTCTCTTTTCAAGTAGTGCCATGGGATCTTTAACATCCACCTGAACAGGCAGGCAGGATAACATCTCATCCGAAGCACAGCATCTACAACAATACAACGCGCTCCCCAGTGTTGTATTGGTGTGTCAGCATAGACTTGAGTTCAAAGTACCAACATGGGGCTTGAACCCACCACCTTTTGGCTTTGATTGACTCTTTTGAGATGAGAGTGCAGCCAACTGAGCCAGGCTGGTGCCTAATCATCTCCTTTTGTTTCCTTTTTCGCTTCACGCTCTGTAGAATTTGTTGTGCGCAGATGACAGTGACAACACAGAAATAAAGATTATCGATTTAGGCTTCGCTCGGTTAAAACCCCCGGACAACCAGCCGCTGAAGACTCCGTGCTTCACCCTGCACTACGCAGCTCCTGAACTGCTGAAGGACGATGGCTACGATGAGTCCTGTGACCTGTGGAGTTTAGGTGTCATTCTGGTAAATATTCTTTACAGCATCTCTCACATCAAGGACGTCTCAAAGCGCTTCACAGGATATACTGCAAACGAATTGACTGTATATTTGTGGGCGAAACACAGCAACCAGATTGCGCACAGCAGTGACGTACAAACAGCTGTGAATTGAGTGACCAAATTATTATTTATTTTGAAGGGATTATTGAAGGGTAAGCACCAAATGGAGAGGGATTATATGATCAAATGACCATATGCGGCATTGAAGGAAGGGGTTTTCAGATCAACAATTTGCGTTTAGGGTCCCAGAGCGCTTTACAGTGGTGGAGTCTGACACTGAGCCAGGGGAAGGGGGTACGCACGATCAAAAAGGAAGGTCTTTAAGTGGGATTTGAAGGTGGGGAGGGGGGCAAACAGGTGGGGGGGGACGCGTGTAGCCTGGAGAAATCTAGAGAGACAAAGTGGTTTTTGGATAAGAATTCCAGAGCACAGAACGTGATGGCTGAAGGCTCATCTATTAATGGTGGAACGGAAAGAGAAGGGAGCTGATTCCAGACTAGAATAGGCAAGCGCAGTGTACATGCTGGAGAATAGGGCTGGAGGAGAGGTTATTCCATCTCTACATTATCTGTGTCAGCAGTTAAACCCCTTAGTTTTTATTAGTTTATGATTGTTTACCTCCTCTTTCCTTCGATCCCCATTTCTCCCCCCCCCCCCCCCCCCCCCCCCCCCAGTACACTATGCTGTCGGGGAAAGTGCCCTTCCAGTGTGAGGGGAAAACTCTAACTTCCACCAGTGCTGAAGAAATCATGAGGAAAATCAAGCAAGGAGACTTCTCTTTTGAAGGAGAGGCCTGGAGAAATGTCTCCCAGGAGGCCAAGGAGTTAATCCAAGGTAACTTCCCCCTTCCCGACCAGACAGTGAGGTGAAGTCTAATGATCTTACTAATAATAATCCTTGCCTTTCACATCGAGAGGATATCCCAAGGCACTTTGTGGGATTTACCTTGGATGGAGTACCTGCGGGCGAACGCGTCAGCCAATTTGCTGTGCACAGCAGTGTCCCACAAACAGGCATGAAGTCAACGACCAATTTTTATGTGGGGAGATTGTTGGCCAGGACACGAGAAGAGAGAAGCTCCTTTTTCTTTTTGAATTGCGCCGTGTGATCTTTAACATCCACCTGAACAGGCAGACGGGACCTCGGTTTCATGTCACATTCGAAGGATGGCACCTCCAATACAGCGATGTATTTCCCCCCCGCCCCCCCCCCCCCCTCCACCCCAGCGATGTAACTACCCCACTGTCTGAGAAGAAGAACCATCCTGCCTACCCGTAGAAGTTTACAGCACAGAAAGAGGCCATTTGGCCTGTCATGTCTGTGCCTGCTCTCTGAAAGAGCTATACATTTAATCCTATTCACTTTCCTTTCCCCCCCACACACCCTGACACTCATACTTAGCTCACGTTAGACCTGAGGGAAATCTGCTCAACGTCTGTGTATTCTTAGCCTGAACCTGAATGAAACGCCCTAGTAACAGGCGGTGATACAAACCGCTCCACGGCACGTGGGAGACTTTTCAAAGCTCTGATCTTGAATCAGATATGACATCCTGTGGTTAGACAGGCTTCGCAATTCAATGAGAGTTGAACAAATGTGAGAAATTTGACAAAATAAGTTGTTTCTTCACTTCGTATTGTTGCTCCAGGACTTCTCACTGTTGACCCAAATAAACGGATCAAAATGTCCAGTCTGCGGTACAACGAGTGGCTTCAGGACGGGAGTCAGTTGTCGTCCAATCCACTGATGACACCAGACGTGCTTGGTTCCTCAGGTGTTTCTGTCCACACCTACGTCAAGGCAACCTTTCACGTAAGTAACAATACCGTAATCATTAAATATTCAATCCTCAGACACTGTTGTGCGCAATTGGCTGCCGCGTATCGCCCACAAAATATACAGTCAATTCACTCTACAGTATATTCTGTGAAGCGCTTTGAGACGTCTCAACGATGAGATAAGGCGCTATATCAAATGCAAGGATTATTATAATACGCTGTTTTTGGTAACTTCTGACGTAAACTGAAAAGTAGCTTTGTCGCTGCAGCTCTAAGGGTACAGATAGATGATTGTGAATTCTGATTCACAATAATAACTAAATGTTTACAGTACTTCTGTATATTAATGTTACACTCCTTAGCAATTCTTAATTGAGCCCTGCAGGTCCAGTACAGCTCATGATGCTAATTGAGTGTTAAATTTTATAAATCGCAAACCTCGATCTTCACAACAACAAATTATATTTACACGTTGCCTTTCACGTCGGGCAGATGTCTCAAGGCACTGGACAGTCAGGGATTTGTTCCCGAGCGGGGGTTTAGATCAGGAGGAGTGGAGGGCTAGGCAAGTGGGTTAGGAGGGTGAACAAAGGCACGTTCAAAGAGGAGGGTCTTGAGACATGCCTTGAAGGAGACGAGGGAGTGAGCGAGGTGAGGGGTCTGTGGGATGGAGTTCCAGGGGATGGGGGCAGAGAGGCTGAAGGCCTGACCACAGACGGTGGAGTGGGCCGGGCGGGGGACATGGAGCAGGCCGGAGCCCTCTGAGCGGAGGGAGCGGGCACTCTTTGTGTGGCAGTGTTTGCCACAGTGTTTGCTCTGTAACCTCTCGCCGTGCGTTTGCCTTTTGACCTCACAGGCCTTTAACAAGTGCAAAAGGGAAGGCTTCTGCCTGCAGAACGTGGACAAGGCGCCACTGGCCAAGCGCCGCAAGATGAAGAAGACAAGCACGAGCACGGAGACCCGCAGCAGCTCCAGCGAGAGCTCCCACTCCTCCACCTCCTCCTCCTCCTCCTCCCACTCGCACGGCAAGATCAACCCCGCCAAGGTGCTCCAGCCCAGCACCCCCGCCGACAGCAATCCCGACAGCATCTTTCAGTTCTCCGACTGAAGCCGTTCGGTCACAATGTCGTGGCCTGTTTTTAAGCCCCACCATCTTGTGAGAACCATGGGCTGCTCTTTCGCCCGCCCGCCCGAAACATACCAACAGTCCTGAAGATTTTTTTTGAAAAGGGAAAAAAAAGACAAACTGCTTTATGTACAAAGAATATGGTGTGGCTGAGGACTTTTTCTCCGCTTGCACTGAAAGAGCCCTGTATTATAGGTGTACAGAAAATGACAGACTTTTAAAACAGAAGTATTTTAAAGGTGGGAATGGGGAGATGGAGGAAATCCCTGCTTCAGTTCTCGAAAGGCGGGACTGCATATTTTCCTTGCGACAGAAGAACTTCAGCCCACAAAATACACAGTCAATTCTCTTTGCGGTATATCCTGTGAAGCACTTTGAGACGCGAGAAGGCGTTATATCAAATGCAGGGATTATTATTATTAGACCTGCTGTACATGCGTGTTGCTGAGTTGAGATATTCCCAGAAACACTTGAGCACTTCCTTTTCCTCTCTAGGTACAAACCCTGAGGTACGAGCTCTCTGCTTCGCACGTGAGCGCTCTTTGAAAGAGCTTGCGCTATCAAAATCAAGCAAAAGTCAGCAATGTAGCCTCCTGATAAACCCAAAGCTCAGGATGTATCCAACATATGCAACCAAGTGCACTCATGGTTGAAGTCTTGTGATTGCCTCCTCTGCACTGAGTGATGTCTGTGATCTTTTTCAAAGGGCGTTCGCTGGCCACAGAAGCAGTTCCTGTCGTGTCTTATTCTCCTCTGGTTATAAGCTAACCACAGGAGTGTTGAAATGTGGCCTCACATTGATTTTTGAGGGGGTGGGGGAACTTTTTAACACGTGTTTGGATGCCTGGGTTCATTCATTCTCCTCAGCAAAGAAAAACTCGTCTGGGTGCACTTCACATGCCTGTCAACAGTTTACAGATTGGAGGCCTGAAATTTCTCATCGTCTTAGCCTTCGGACCGTTTCATCGTAAAATGTCTGAGATGCCGCAGGATTTTGGAGTATTCTTCATTTCCGGCTTAATTTGGAAACGCCATTTCCGCAGTCATTTTATACCCGCTGTCTGTCTTCCAATTTAAGATTGAATTTAAGCGTCTTCCAAAATCCTGGGGTTTTGCCTGCAAAATATACAGTTAATACACTTTACAGGATATTCTGTGAGCGCTTTGAGACGTCTCGAAGACGTAATAAAGCACTCTTATCAAATGCAAGGATTATTATCTTCAATTTAAAGCCAACTCTGTTTTGGTTTGAAAACTCTTGGAATTTATGGTCTCGTGGGTGGTGGGAACGCTCGATAACCATAGTGTAATTTTCTTGGAGGCCAATTGTTTAGTAATTTTATTGAGGAGATGAGATTTATTCCTTTTCTCTCTAACAATTTCTACTTCACTCCTGCAGAAATTAGATGTGAGAAATCTCAATCTTGTGGATACCCTCTGATATTTTATTGTTTATATTAATAATTCTGATATGTGTACTCTTTTAAGGGCCTGTTTGAGGATTGTTTCTTGTATTTTTGTTTAGAAGACAATGTGTTAGCGTGTGCTGGCTTTAGTGCGTTACATGCCCGTTTCTGTGTTCTTTGGTGAGTTTATTTTGCATGGCTGGTGTTTTTGTTAGCAAACCTCCTGGCACAATATCACAAGCACTGTGTTCATATCATTAATTGAACTTTCACTGTGCCACTGACCCCTTTGGTGAATCTTCCATCAATATTGGGGGGGGGGGGTTAGTGGAATGCTTTAGTCTGTCGTTCTTACGCCCAGGTAAGTGCAAGGAATCCGGACCCAATTCAGATTGCATTTTTCCCTACTCTGTTTACGCAGCAGTCTCTCACAAGGAGTCCAGGTTCCAATGAAGAGAAATTGTGAGTACAGTGTGTATATTTCTCTCCGCCCTCCCCTTTACTTGTGTGACCTTGTGACAGAGAGCTCCCAGAGAATCTCTTTAAAGTAGTTAGAAAGTTGTGATCAAGTGACCCACAGGAACTTGAGAGTAGAAGACAGTTTGGCGGGACTGCTCTACATTTTGCCAATGGGTGTTGTGGCAATGGGCAAGTGTTTTTGCCGAAGGGCTTGTGTTTTACCTATTCTTTCTGGCTGCTACTAATTGTGTGAATTCTCCTGACACAAACTGAATGTAAGGTCGTTGACTTTGTCATTAAAATATAGGACCCGTATAGATTAATCGCCATTGGTATCTGACTGTCCAGCACCTTGGGACTTCCTCCCGACGTGAAAGGCGCTATGCAAATATAATCTTGTATTGTATCACAGAGTTTTTGCCATTGAGGCATAGCTAAATGGCCACTTTTATGATGATTGAGCTGAATTTACACGATTTAAAGCAAACCGATCTCCCTCTCCTTGACCCAAAAGGTACAACTTTTTTTTCTCTCAATGCGAGATCTTCTGAACCTTACCCACCCCAATGTAGAGTCCTGTAGCTCATTGGTCAGTCACCTCTCAAGCAAGAGGACCCGGGTTCGATTCCCGGGCAGCACAAAACCTCTAGGCAAGTTTCCTTGCTCCACATACCTAAGTAAATCGGAACCCAGTTGGTAGTCGATTGGTAGGTCATTTTCCGGGAATAATAATCTCTCCCTCTCACTCAAAAAAATGGGTCACTTAATCCACGACTGTTTGTGGGACACTGCTGTGTGCAGTTGGCTGCTGCATTTCATCTACAAATTATACAATCGAACCACTTTACAGTATATTCTATGAAGCGTTTTGAGACGTCTCGAAGACGTGATAAAGCGCTATATCAAATTCAAGGATTATTATGATAGGGTTAGGGTAACCCTAATCCCGAGGACCCACTTGGCGTATGTAGCACTGAGCTACACAGACCTGCAGGTTACAGTTTAGATTCCTGGTTCACCCTGAACTGAGTCGCCTGAAAGAGAAGAGTTGACGGTCTAGTAGGAATTGGTACCTCTGGGTTAGGAAGAGCGAAGAGGAAAATCAGTCAGGCTTCTCGCACCTCGTGGAACGTACGCATGTGTTGGATGGATAAGGATAGATAGGGCTGTGTTTGGCTGTGACGTCCTGGGGAAAACTGGGATTTGGATTTGTGGACATTTTGACAGAATATTGCAGGAATTTTGTTGATAGTGTGGTCGCTATAGCTCTCAGTACTATACCGGGTGTTCACAAAGTCTTGTTACCCCTTTTTGTTTTCTACAATGCACTTACTAACCACTGAAGCATGCAGAATCATGATGCTAATGGTATCTAGAAGTACTTAATTGTATTCAGTACAAGTTTTTAACTGTATTTAGACGTCCAGAGGATCGGAGGGAGGGATGGAGTGAGTGTGTGAGTGAGTGAGCGCATTCATTTTCACGGTAGATAAAGATCCGTTGCCAGGTTCAGTGCCACATCCTCCATAACATGGATGGCGTCAGTGAGGAGGTAAAACTTCTCTCTGACAGTTTGTTTCAGCTCCTCTGTAGTCTTGTATCACTGTTTTGTAAGGACTTTGTGAACACCCTGAATTATGTCAGCTGAATTATGTAGCAATAGCATCTTAAATAGCTTTGACGTTGGGTGTTCCTGAGGACTGAGGCACAGAATAGTGTTTTCAGTGAAGCGAGTCCTGACAATCCGTATGTGATAGTTTCCACAGTGCTGTGATGTGAGTGTAGACATCAGGCACTGGATTCTTGACTGTTCAGGCTAGGTATGCAATGATATCTATAAGCTATTTTTATACCTTCATGTTGCAAAGTTGGATTTTAGCTAGGTTACTGAGCATGTTGCGGTCTCTTTAACTTTTTAAATCTTGGATCCAGGTTGTGGATTTCTGTCATTTAGTGGTTAGAGCACTTACCTCGCAAGCAAGAGATCTGGGTTCGATTCCCAGGCAGGGCGAAACGTTGGGTAAGTTTCCTTACTCCACACGCCTCTGTTTACCTAGCAGTAAGTAGGAACCCGCTTGTTAGTTGATTGACAAATTACTTTTCTGGGGGTAATAATCCCTTCAATAAATAAATAATAATTTGGTCACCTAATCCACGACTGTTTGTGGGACATTGCTCTGGGCAATTGGCTGCCGCATTTCGCCTATAAAATACACAGTTAATTCACTTTACAATATATTCTGTGAAGCACTTTCAGACCTCTCGAAGACGTGATAAGGCGCTATATCAAATGCAAGGACTATTATTATGTTAGATATAACCAGCAGCTTTAACGAACCTCAGATTTTAACACTGAATGTCAGAGAGTGCTGTATGAATGGTATTCTGCGTTGTGGATTCTATACAACAGCAATTAGAAATATTTTCCATAAAGTTTTTATTGTCTAGAAAGTAGAATATATACAGAAGGGCTGATTTCAAGATAGGTTTTTAAACTCCGTACAAATACAGATTTTACAGACTTAAAGAGGTAACCTATCGGCTAGTATATTGCTACAGGAAATTTGCCTCCATTTTTTTCTACAGTCACCCGGTAATCTAAAACTTACTGAGGGCAACTGATTGCTGAAAAATTTCACGGCTACTTTGTAAAGACTTTTAAACGTAGATTGTTTTTACTGAGGTGAGTCGGTAGGAGATTTTTAAGAGAATTTTTAACACGTGTTTTAAATGGGTCTCCTTCTCGACAGTATTGGTCCTATTTCCAAGAGATTTTAGAGTGTCTGCAACAGATCTTTGGGTCTTTGCAGCTACGGCAGAATTCCGTGTAATCCTTTTTATACAACAAACGGTGCGTTTAAAGAAACAAAATCCACGGAGAGGGGATGAGTCCTTTTATACGATTTTAAACAGATGTCTTAGGATCAGCAATGGTACTTTAAGGGCCTTTGTGTGTTCTGGTTAGGTCAATGAAGAGCTGCAGTCAGCTTCACTGAAACGTGTGGAAGACAAAGATTGCAGCCTAAACTGGGGCAACACAAGCCTCACTCGGGTTATTTCCTGGGATGTGCCTCCCACTGTTGCTATGCATGTCGGATCTTTTCCCTCCGATTGGGAGATTAGCGCTCGTTCTGCTACTAGTCGCACACATTCTTTGGGAGCAACAGCAACAAACTGCGTGGTTATAGCGTGGTTCATGTCGGGAGGACGTCCTAAGGAGCTGTCATTAATATGGGGCATTAATGACTGGAATAGGTTATTGGGAAGTTACGTTTTTTTTTTGCTTGGGCTGTAATGGGGGGTGTGGGGGGGGCGCGGGTGGGAGTGTTTTGGAAGATCAGGTGGTTGAGGTCAGGTGCTGGATACTAGTTCAAAAAGAAACACACCGCGCTCAATGCTGGAATGGAAAGTTGGCAGTGTGGGTGTGTGGGTAATCTGGAAGGATGAGATGAAATCATGGAATATTACAGCACTGAAGGAGGCCATTCGGCCCATCGTGCCTGTACCGGCTCTTTGGAAGAGCTATCCAATTGGTCCCACTCTTCCGCTCTTTCCTCAAATCCTTGCAAATTTTTTCTCTTCAAGTATCCAATTCCCTTTTGAAAGTTGCTATTGAATCGACTTGCACCCTTTCAGGCAGTGCATTCCAGAACCGTAACAACTCTGTGTTTATAGAATTATATATATAACAATTCTCATCTCCCCTCGGGTTCTTTTGCTAATTATCTTAAATCTATGTGCCCTGGTTACTGACCCACCTGCCAGTGGAAACAGTTTCTCCCTGTCTACTCTTATCAAATAGGCCAAAGACCTTCACCTAAACTATCTTATGATCAACCTCTGTCTCACCGTCACCTCTGCTTGTTGGTTTTTTGGGGGCCTATTTTCTAGCTTGCGTTTCAGAAACAATAGCGAATTAATATCAAGAAGGAGGTTTGTTTGTTTTAGCGCTGCAATATTCATGTGTTAATAATACTGGAGAATGGTTCCCCATCGCCACAATTGAATTGATTTTTTTTAAAAAAAAAACTTCCTGTGGGTAAATGTCACAATTTGAACCCTAATAACCGTTTTTTTCAAAAAAACACCAGCAACCCTTATAGTGGAAGAGGACCCGGGTTTGATTCCCAGGCTGGGCGAAACCCTAGGCAAGTTTCCTTATTCCACACGTGTGTGTTTACCTGGCAGTAAGTAGGAACTCGGTTGTTAGTCAATTGGCAGATTGCTTTCCGGGGGTAATAATTGCTCCAGAAAAAAATAATCACAATGATTTGGTTACTCAATCCAAGACTGTTTGTGGGACACTGCTGTACGGAATTGGCTGCCGTGTTTCGCCCACAAAATGTACACTTGTACCCTCCACGGTATATTCTGTGAAGTGCTTTGAGACGTGATGAGCTGCGATAGATGATTATTATTGTCAGCATTTTGGGTTCTGTTTGGTGGATTATTGTTATTGTCTGTGTCTTGGTTTCCTTTCACAGAGAGGAAGGATGTGGTGGAATTTCTGTGTTGGACCCGCTGTGTTAATGGTTTAAATTTGCACTGTAAGCTGTAAGTTACTTTTTTTTAAGTAGGTGGAAGCTCACATTACGCTGGCTTTCAATAAGGAAGCTGTACTCCAGCAGTACTGGGCAACAGCCACTGAGCCTGTCTGCCAGTGGTTCTATATAGAAAACTTACCAAGACTGTTTTTGCCCAGATGTTGATGTGCGTTTGATTTGTACAGAACCTGGAGGGGTTTCTCTGGCTCTAAAGCAGTGGCCGAGGCGTTGACGTGTGATGTTTACAAACCTTTGTGTAATGCTTTCTCGCCAGTGGCTGGGATCAGGGATGTTGGGTGTTGTGTTGTGTTGATGTGCTGCAGTGATTGACAGGCAGCTCGGGTGTGAGTGATTGTCCGGGTGGCATATCGGTCTGTTTTGGACAAGCTTTCAGTATTTTTCTAAAAACATATATACGTACGTACATACCTCAAGACTTTCACCAGGGTGTTGTGTGTTTGCGTGTTTGTTCTAAGAAGCAAGTTGTGTGCATGTCTCTCTCTCTCTCTCTCGTAACTGTTATTTGAGGCAAGTGGTGAGTGAGCGACTTAGGAACGTAAGAAAAGAGGAACAAGAGGCCATTTGGCTTCTCAAGCCTGTTTATCAATTTATGCAGCTGTCGGCTGAGGAGGTGAGGGGATGGTTGAAAGTGAGGTCAAAGAGGAAGGTCTTGCTTGAGGGAGGCGATGGATGGGTTGGGGCAGTGTATATCCTGCGGTTGGAAGGAACTGGGTGGAGGTGAACGTTCCCAGTGCCTGTAACATCTCGAGTGCCAGCTACTCCATGGAACTCTCAGAGGCCCGAGGAAGCGAGGGGTCTGTCTGGGGACCAGGCATCTGGCTCGACTCTTTCTCTTTGACCGTGCCTTCAGCTCCCCTCTCGACTCTCTACCCCCTCCTCGCTCCCTCCCTTCCCTCCCCTCACCATTTCCCCCCTCCTCGCTCCCTTCCCTCCCTCCCCCTGACCATTTCCCCCCAATGCTCAGGTCCTGACCCAACTGTACAGCGCCTTGGGACGTCCTCCCCACATGAAAGGTGCTCTATAAATGCAATCTTGTTGTTGTTGTTGTTGTTGTTGTCAGCACCAGTTCTGGGGGAAGGGGAAAGGAGAGGGAGGGAGAGACAAAACAATTATGGAATGAAATGTGGCAGTGTGTGTACGTGTGTGCCTGTGGTTGGTTACGTGTGTGTGTGTTTTTTTTCAGGAATTAACGTAAGATTTGGAAGCCTGAATATAGATCGCCTCAGTCGACCAATATTGTGTAGGAATATCAGCTGTGTGGGACTTGGTGTGTGGGATTGCTCATTATCCAGTGGATTTGTGAGCATTGTTGTGAGAGCGAGAGAGACGGGTTTTTTTCTGTGTTTTAAAAAATATAAAGGCTGAGTTTTAAATGAGTGAAGAAATTTCACAATGTAAATAACTTTAATATTTGTGATTAATACAGCTCACATATATATAATATATATATATATGACTTGGAGGATATCTTATTTATACTAGTGACACACATTGACACACAGTTACTGTTGTAACACACACACACACACACACAGCGGTTGTGTGAAGTGCAAGTATTTCTTCCTGTGAAAGACTTAAGTATGCACTGGAAATCCTAACGGCAGTTCTGAGATGTGTAGCCACCGTTACATCAGATGTGGAGGTTACTTTTGCAGGTGGACTGACCGATCGCACGTCTTTCACCCCCTCCTGTTTTCTAGCTGGGCTAGAACTTTGAAATCGTCAAGACCCATTTCTGTCTTGAACTTTGGCAACTGCAGATCGATATCGATCAATTGTGAAAACTTTTTTTTCCCTTAAAACAAAATGCCAAAGTGAATCTCACCCTTCGCTGTGTATATTCGCCAAAGCCATATCTGAGGATGTGTTGGCTTGTTACTGATTTTTGGTGTTAGCACCGACTGGGTGACTTGGGGTTTATAACATGGTTTTATTTATTGAAAAAATAATATGGAATTTAGAGTATTTAATGGTGCAAACCATGTAAGCTTGGTGTTGGGAGTTATAATAAGCAAAGTTTCCTTGTACTGAGGGACGGACTGACTAGGTTGTATCAACTTCGCAACTTACAATGGAAATTGTGCTCTGTAAACTGATGCTATTTTAAACAGTGTTAGTGTGTTCGGTGTATACTAAAACGTGCTTGCTTATAGTTTAATTCAGTTAAATATAGATGAAAGACCAAGGGCTCACACTTCGAGATATATTTGTGTATAATTGTACTTGGTTCTGTCTGTCTTTTGAACTGAAATAAACTCACCACCGTATGCAATAGTTTCATGTCTGTCGTATTTGGAGGAAAGCGACTTTGTTGAGCGCGCGGTTTATACAGGATCCGAAGTGAACCCAGGAGGCTCAGAGTCAGGAGCGGAGGCTGTGTGGACGGATCGCATCTCCCTCTGGGTCCGTCTGCAGGAGACGCTGCCCCTCCATTTGACCAGCCTGGATCTGGCCAGAGAGTTAGCGAGATATTTCCCCTCTCTGTCAGCGGCTAAACATAACCCTGGTTTCCTTACTGCGCACACCTCTACCTGACAGTACGTAGGAACCTGGTTGTTAGTGACTTGCTGATCGCTTGTCAATTCACTTTACAGTATATCCTGTGAAGCGCTTTGAGACGTCTCAAAGACGGGATAAGGCGCTGTATTAAATGCCAGGATTATTATATAAAAATTCACGTTTCCTGTTCCCGTGTTCCCAGCGGAGTCGGGTGTAATTGTGTGGACATTTTAACACTGTGAGTAGCTGAGGCACCGACCGTAGAGAGACACTGACCGATGGGTTCACAGCAAATCTGGACAAAAATCTTGACACACATGGAGCGACGCTTCCAAGAGTTGGAGGTGCGGAGCTGGAGCAGCAGCGGCTCATCTCTTTACAAAGGCAAGTCCTGGATATGTGAACGTGTGCTCACAAACCCAGACCCCAGACGACCCCAGGTAATCCCAGACGACCCCAGACAACCCCGGGTGACCCCAGGCAACCCCAGGTAATCCCAGGCGACCCCAGGTGACCCCGGGTAACCCCTGCCAATCACAGCTGTTCCCCCCCAACCCCCGTCAGCCATGGTTTCGCCCACAAAACATATAATCCTTTCCCTTTGCAGTATAGTCTGTGAAGCGCTTTCAGACGTCCAGGATCAGGCGCCGTATCAAACGGGAGGATCACAATCGGGACCGTGTGCCTGACGCCGGCCATCAATGTGCTTCCAGGACGTCGTGGGACCAGTCTCGGTCCCGGCGCAGTTCGGACGGCGCTTGCGGTGCAATTCCTGGTTCACTGCACGACCCCCACCCCCCACCGCGCGGCGGCTGCAGTTCCCCGGTGCCACCAGCAGGCGGCGCTGCAGCTGAAGTTCCCTCGGTAACCACCAGGGGCGACGCTGCTTGGGTGCAACTCCCCCGCCCCCCCCCGCCTCATTAACACCGGGCGGCGCTGCGGGTGCAGTTCCCCTTCACCACCACCGGGTGACGCTGCAGGTGCAGTTCCCCCTTCGCCGCCGCGGCGGTTGGCGCTGTGAGCTGCAGTGACGCGCTCTCCGCCGCCGGGCGGCGCTGTGGCGGTTTCCGGCCGCACTGAGCGGAGAGGAGAGGGGACGGGGACGGGGACGGAGCGGGAAATGGCGGCCAAGAAGTCGGGGTCGCGGTTGGAGACGGAGATCGAGCGCTGCCGCAACGAGTGTCTGTGGGAGAGGATCCCGGAGCTGATCAAACAGCTCTCCGCCAAACTCCTGGCGAACGGTGAGCCCCCACACACCCCCCCCACCCCCCCCCGGGCCCGGGGGCCGCCCACCCCGAGCCGAGGCCCCGAGCCGCCGCCAGGCCTCGGCCTCTCCTGAGCGCTGGAGCCGGACAGGAGGCGCTGTGAGGCGGGGACTGGGGGAGGGGGTCACCACCGGACACTCACTCACTCACTCTCACTCACACTCACTGTCACTCACTCACTCACTCTCACTCACACACTCACTCTCACTCACACACTCTCACTAACTGTCACACACACTCACTCACACACTCTCACTCACACACTCTCACTAACTGTCACACACACTCACTCACACACTCTCACTCACACACTCACACTCACTCACACACTCTCACTAACTGTCACACACACTCACTGTCACTCACACACTCACTCTCACTCACACACTCTCACTAACTGTCACACACACTCACTCACTCTCACTCACACACTCTCACTAACTGTCACACACACTCACTGTCACTCACACACTCACTCTCACTAACTGTCACACACACTCACTCACTCTCACTCACACACTCTCACTAACTGTCACACACACTCACTCACACACTCACACTCACTCACTGTCACTCACACACTCACTCTCACTCACACACTCTCACTAACTGTCACACACACTCACTCACTGTCACACACTCACTCTCACTCACACACTCTCACTAACTGTCACACACACTCACTCACACACTCTCACACTCACTCACTGTCACTCACACACTCACTGTCACTCACTCACACTCACACACACACTCACTCACTGTCACTCACACACTCACTGTCACTCACACACTCACTGTCACTGTCACTCACACACTCACTGTCACACACACTCACACACACTCACTCACACACTCTCACACTCACTCACACACTCACTCACACACTCACTGTCACTCACACACACACACTCACTCACTGTCACTCACACACTCACTCACTGTCACTCACACACACTCACTCACTGTCACTCACTCACACACTCACTGACACACACTCACACACACTGTCACTCACACTCTCACACTCACTCACACACTCACACACTCTCATACTCACACTCACTCTCACTCACACTCAGGGTCGCGAGGTCGCCCGAGAGTGCCTCCCAGGGTTTACTGTCCGGTGTAGTGACTGTGCTGTGAGAGCGATGGTGCGGGACGAGCGAGCGGTGGGGGGGGATTGAGACACACAGAGAAACCCCCCGTCTCTCTCTCTCTCTCTCTCCCCCGTAGAAGGCGATTCTCCCATTTGACTCCCTTCGCGGCGAGCGACGCGAAACAGTCACTACACCCGACAGGCCCCACGTTCGCCCACAAAACGCACAGTCACTACACCTGACAGTGTAGTCTGTGAAGCGCTTTGAGACGTCCGGATGACGTGATAAACGTCGCGATATCAAACGTAAGGTTTATTATTGTTGTATTTCCCCGTTTTCAGACGTTCAGTCACTTTCTTCCCATCCGCCCCCACTCCTCTCCTCACTCACTCGCTCACTCGCTCGCTCCACACAGGACCCCCTCCGCCCGCCCCACCCCCAAACCAGGGTGACCACACAGCCCCGATTCCAGGGACAGTCCCCGGATGAGATTTTCGCTTTGAGATGTCTCAACGACTCACATCGTCGAGACGTCCCAAAGCGCATCACAGAATATACTGTAAAGTGTAGTGACTGTATTTCTTGGATCCAGCGAAAAACTGAGCAAAGACACAGGAACAAACAACCAATGACGTTTGTAAAGCGTCGGGAGGACGTGCCAAAGGGCTGGACGTAGGAGTTGCAAGATGGAACAAATGCCGAGGTCCACCGAGTTCGCCTTGTACCCCCCGGTAGTCGCTTGCTACGTTACTGGGGGCGTTGATAGCAACTAATTCTGTGTGGATTAGTGGAAAGCTTTGGAAACCAAAGTTGCCAAACTACAGTTACTGTACATCACGTCTCAAATTACTCATAGAGTCAGAACAGTGAAACATCAGAGAAACGCAGCCGTTAATCTCACAGCAGCATTAAGATTTGCGGCACATTTTTAATATATTTGTTTTAATATATATAGATGTCCCCGATTTCTTTACAAAATATGGCCACCGTACCTATAAGGTGCTTTGAGACATCCCCCTCCGTTAAACCACATTCTCTCCCCCCCTCTCTCTATACACATATAAATAATAATAATAATCTTTGCATTTGTTGTAATGCTTTATAGCGACTTCTAAACATCTCAAAGCGCTTCACAGGATATATTGTAATATCGTATGTTTTGTGAGCGAATGCAAGGATTACAACAAGAACAACAAGATTACATTTGTATAGCGCCTTTCGCGTCAGGAGGACGTCCCGACGTGAAATTATTAATCAATAATATTATTTATTATTATAAGTGGAGTTATTACTACCCAGGTCTTGCCATTGCCAGTATTTCGGGCGATGTTTGGAGAGTGCAAAGGGAGCGTGTGGAGGCACTGACTCGGGCTGTTTTTCAGATGACCTGCCTGAGCTGTTGCTGGGGGAGGCGAAGCTGGAACATTACCTGAAGGAAAACCCCATCAAGCCGGACTCCAGCCCCCAGGGGCCGCGCATGAAGCTGATCGAGGTGAAGAAACACTTGACGGCGGCTCTCGATCGCGGCAATTTAAAGGTAATCGGTGCCTTCGGCCTCTCCTGCTGCGCTAACCCTTTAACAACAACAAATATTATTATTATCATCTTTATTATTACTAATAGCAACAACAACTTGTATTTACACAGCGCCCCTCACGCAGGGTAGCGTCCCAGAGCCCTTGACAGTGATGGAGCACGATTCCGAGGCGGGGGGAGGAGGGTCTTTAGCCACGACCCGAAGGTGGGGAAGGAGGGGGCAAGGCGGAGGGAGACAGTCCCAGAGTTTCGGGGAGTTGTGATTGGAAGCGCGGCCACCGATGGTGGAATGGAGGGCACGAGGGACAAGCAGGAGGCTGGAACCATTGCATTAATATAGTGTCCTTTGCGTCGGGAGGACATCCCATGGCAGTTCAGTACAGTGTACAGCGCTGATTACAGACGCCCTTCACGCATGCACTCTATTCCCCCCCCACGCCGCGATGGTTTTAAAGGGAGGGAGGTAAATAGATACCTGGGGAGTAAGAGGTATAGAGGACAGGTGTGGAAATGGTATTGGAAGATCTGCCATGTTCCAAAAACCTGTCCGGTCAGGCTGTGTGGGCTGAATGGCCTCCGTGTTGCTGTCTCGCTCGCACTCTACCTCCCCCATCGCTGTCCTTCCCCATTCCCAGAGCCTGCATGCTCTCCGCTCCTGCTATCGAGGCTGTGCTGGTGTCTGTGTGAGTGGGGAGCTGTCTGAGAGTGAAGTGTGAGTGACCTGACCTGCTGCTAATCTCAGTGCGTGTCTGTCCTGCTCTGTTCAGCTTGAGTTCATTCAGGAAGCCAACCTGATCTTGGCCAAGTTTCACTACGTGGAGGGTGACTACAGTGAGGCCCTGAGCCTGTACAGTAAGGTGGTGCTGGACAACATGCAGCTGATGGCGGTGCCCGTCTACAGGCTCCGGATCATGGCCGAGGCTTACGCCACAAAAGGTGAGCTTTGCTTCACAGTGATCTCGCCCATAAAATACACAGTCACTACACTTTACAGTACATCCTGTAGCACAGCATATCCCCACGAGCGAGAGGAGCCGGGTTCGATTCCCAGGTGGGGTGAAATCTTAGGCAAGTTTCCTTACTCCACGCCTCTGGTTACCTTGCAGTGAGTAGGAACCCGGTTATTAGTCGATTGGCGGATCGATTTCTGGGGGTAATAATCCCTTTTAAAATCACTCAGTCCACGCCTGTTTGTGGGACGCTGCTGTGCCCAAATGGCTGCCGCGTTTCGCCCACAAAATGCACAGTCACTGCACTTTACAGTATAGTCTGTGATGAGCTTTCAGAACGACACGATGAGACGATATATCAAATGCGTATCAAAAAAGATTATTATGAATAACAAGAGCTCCTTGAGGACCAGCGGGGCAGAGTTTAGGAGTTTTTATTTGTAAGGTGATGCATGTGTTCAAAACCCAAATTGCCCAAAATGTTTAAAATTATAATAATAATATTTTGATGTAATAATAATTATTATAATAATTGCATTTGATATACCACCTTATCACGTCTTCGAGACACCTCAAAGCTTTTCACAGGATATATTGTGAAGTGGAGTGATTGTGTATTAAAATTCTATGTGTGTGTGTGTGTGTGTCCGTCAGAGATTGGCTACAGGCTGTGTGGTGACTGCACTTTACAGTAAATCCTGTGAAGCCCTTTGAGACATCCTCTTGACATTGCTGATCCTCTCTGCTACTCCTTGGTGTCCAAGGCTTCAGCTACTCGCAGACTCTCCGCTCACACCTCTGCTTCCCTTCCCCCTCTCTCTCGCGCGCACCATTAAACCTTCCTAAACACGGGCTTAATCAGCGCCCTCACCTCCCTGCTCATTCCCGACCATTATCAGTGACTTACCCGAAGGACAGCGCCTTAGACAATGCGGTGCTCCCCCAGCGCTGTCCTGTCAGCTCATTCCCAGCGGGAAGCATCACTCCATTACTCTGTTTCCCCGGGAGTAAGTTGGAACCCGGTTAGTCGATTGGTGGATCGCTTTCCGGGGCAAATAATCCCTTTAAAACAATTATAACAATGTGGTCACTCAATCCTGGAGTGCGCGAGACGCTACTATGCACAATTGGCCGCCGCGTCGCGTAGCGCTCACAAAATACACAGACAATGGACTTTACACTGCATCCTGTGAAGCGCTTTGAGACGTCTCAGCAAAATGATAAGGCGCTGTATCGAATGCAAGGATTATTATCATTAGTATTATTATTATTCTGCTGCCTCCTGGCTTGGGAAGCTGTGTGCAGCGAGTGATCAGTCTATAACCAGCCCGTGGGCCTCAACACTCCAGGCGCTGATCGACAGCGGACAGCCATCGAGCTAAGACAGTTACAAGTGAGGTCAGGAAGCATTCCCACCCCCACCCCCCCCCCCACACACACACACACACACACACACACACACACAAGGTGTGCGAGGATGTGGAACACTCTGCCCCACAAAGCTGTAGAGGCGGAAGCAGCAATCGATTAAATAAAAGGAAAGGGTCCCCCCCCCCCTTCACGTCGCTGTGTTTGCCCGGAGGAAGCACCGACACTGGGACCTTCCTGGTGCCACATTGAGTGCTTCACAACCGTGTGAAAGGGTTTTATTGGGATGAGGCTCGAACCCCACCGGCCCTGTCGCTCGCGTGGCGACTGCTCCAACCGCTCAGCTTCGGGGCTCCTCAAACCCGGACGGACTGAGTGGGTTTGACATCATCTGACATTGTGCCCCGACCACCACCACCACCAACAACAACAACAACAACAAATTACATTTCTATAGCGACTTTCGCGTCAGGAGGACGTCCCAAGGCGCTGGACAAACCTGTCCTCACAAGACAGCCACCCCCTGTCCCCCAGCCACCCCCCCTCCCCCAGCCACACCCCCCTCCCCCAGCCACACCCCCAACCCCCAGCCGCCCCCCAACCCCAGCCGCCCCCCCTCCCCCAGCCACACCCCCCTCCCCCAGCCACACCCCTCCCCCAGCCGCCCCCCCCTCCCCCAGCCGCCCCCCCCCTCCCCCAGCCACCCCCCCTCCCCCAGCCGCCCCCCCGTCCCCCAGCCGCCCCCCCGTCCCCAGCCGCCCCCCCATCCCCAGCCGCCCCCCCGTCCCCCAGCCGCCCCCCCCTCCCCCAGCCGCCCCCCCTCCCCCAGCCGCACCCCCCTCTCCAGCCACCACACCCCCTCCCCCAGCCACACACCCCCTTACCCAGCCACACCCCAGCCACCCCCTCCCCAGCCGCATCCCCCTCCCCCAGCTACACCCCCTCCCCCAGCTACACCCCTCCCCAGCCACCACACCCCCTCCCCAGCTGCACCCCCTCCCCCGGCCACACACCCCTCCCCGGCCACACCCCGCTCCCCCAGCCACACCCCGTCCCACAGCCACATACTCCCATAACCACACAAACACCCCCCACACATACACACACACAAACTCTGAGACCGAACGCTCCGGGACACTACTCCGCCTGAAGGGCGCTATATAAATACAAGTTGTTGTTGTTGTGCTCTGTCTGTCAGCGGCCAGACTCGGGTGTCGGGCCGGTGGGTTCGCTCCTGGTCTGCGCAGCTGGAGTCCTGTGTGCATTTCCCCACAGAGCCAGTAGGGGGGGCTGTGGATCAAGAGTTAAAACTCTCGACTGTGGAGCAAAGTGACCGCCTCTGACTGACTGACTGAGTGTGTGTGTGTGAATAATTCCTCACGGATTGGATGCGGTGGCGACAGTGAGCTCCACATCTGTCAGCACCCTGCCTGCAACAGTGCGGAATCGGTGCCTGCGCCTTCTGTCTGGGCGGGCGGCAAACGTGGCTCAAAGCACTCCCCGAGGTTAATCTCCGGCTCTCAGCGAGAGCTGAACGAGGATTGTGTTCGTCTTACAAAAAACACTGCAAACTGGTGCAGACGCACGCGCACACCCTCTGGACCCCTGCTCTCCCCTCGCCCCTCCGCCGTGCTTCACTACAACAACAACTTGCATTTACGCAGCGCCCCTCTCGCGCAGGTTGCGTCCCGGAGCGCTGCTTACATTACGTGAGCAGCCGCCTAGCGATGGGGGAAGCCGCCGGGTTGGACACTGTCGGCTTGAAGCAACAGATCGAATTAGTCATTCGTTTCACAGCTGTTTGTGGGACATTTGTTGCTGCGCACAAATTGGCAGCCCCGAATTCACGCAAGTCCTACCCTTTGCGGCAAATCCTGTGAGGTGCTCTGAGACATGAACGCCTGACGTGAAAGGCTCTGTGTCAGCTGTAAGGAGAATGAGTGGTGCCGCAGTCAGCCACGGTGCCCCGGGGTCAACAACAACAACAACTTCCACTCATATAGCGCCCTCCACGCAGGGTGGCGTCTCAAGAGCACTTAACAGTGACTGTAAGCGCAGTCGAAGAGGAATGTTTTCAGGCGTGACTTGAAAGAGGGGCGAGAGGGGGCAAGGCGGAGGGTTTGAGGGAGAGTGTCCCAGGGTTTCTGGGCGTAGTGGCTGAAAGCGCGACCTTTGATGGTTGGGGTGGGGTGGGGGGGGTGGAGGGTGGGAGGGATGAGCAGGAGCGGGTGCCAGTCGAGCAGAGGAGCCGGGTGGTGGATTGGGTGGGGGGGTGAGAAGGTTGAAGAGGCAGGTGAGGAGGTGCCAGGGGGTGAAGGGATTTGAACACGAGAGTGGGGGTCTTGAATCCGATCCGTTCGATGAACCGGTGAGATGTGGTGAGCTGAGCCGACCTCTATCAACCTCAAAAACATCGAGAGCGCATGGCATTTACGTGGGCCTTTTACGTTGGGGCGGGCGGGGGGGGGGGGGCCGTCCCAGGGGCACTGGACAGTCGGGGATCGGATTTGATCCCGAGCTGGGGGTTGACATGTGGGGTTGACCTGTGGGGTTGGGGGTGGGGTTGGGGGTGGGGGGGCGGGCAGGAGGGTGGCCTGAGGTGCGGTCGAAGAAAACGGTCCTGAGATGGGCCTCGAAGGAGGCGAGGGAGCAAGACGGAGGGACTGTGGGACGGGGCAGAGAGGCCGAAGGCCTGACACACCGATGGCGGTCCTCTCGGCCTCTGAATTGGGACCAGAGAGACTCAGAAGAGGTTAAATTTTGACAGATCATCACTCGAACCAAAAATTCTCCTGTCAGAGGGAGCAGTCGCCATGGTGACGAGTGCCGAGTTGCCATGGGAGCCAGCGCGCCGGCTAAACTCGTGGGCCTTTACAATGCGATCTCTTTTTTTTTCTTCCACGTGACACAGGCGCCGCTAATAATAAACAATAATAACCCCTGCGTTTGATGGAGCACCTCATCCGCGTCTTCGGGACGTCTCCAAAGCGCTTCACGGGATCCACTGTAAATTGAATTGACTGTATATATGTATTTCGTGGGCGAAACGCGGCCGCCAATTGCAGACGGCAGTGGCCCACAAACAGCCGTGGATGGAGTGACTCCCATTTTTTTTTAACGTATGTTTTTTTAATGGATTATTGTCCCCGTAAAGGCTATCCGCCAATCGGCAAACATCCGGGTACCCACTTACCGCCGGGCAAACAGAGGCGCGTGGCGTAAGGAAACTTGCCCAACGTTTTTCCCTGCCGGGAGTCGAACCCGGGTCCTCTTGCCCGCGAGGCGCGTGCTCTGACCGCCGAGCTGCGGGGTTTGGGAGCCTGTGGGAGATGTGACATTCTCAGGGAGAGATACCGAGTCACTTCCCCCCTCTGTCACACTGCGCATCTGGGCTTATTTTTAAACTAATCAAAGGTTTGCGTGTCTCGCAGACTAATTTGAGAGGTATCGGAGGCCGCCGCTGAGCCTGTGTGTTATTGTGGGTATCACATTGTAGTTACAAGGGAGAGCGTAACCCGATTTATCACAGCTCAAAAAGCTACAAGTACCGCAGCGCCAGAGAAGAGAGGAAGGGGAGCCCAGCCGACAGCAATAACAACTTGCATTTGCACAGCGCCCCTCACGCAGGGCAGCTTCCCAGAGCGCTTGACAGTGACAGAGCATCACACCGAGCTGGGGGAGGATTCTGTATTCTATTTATATTATATCGATGTTATATATATATACTCTCTACGTACATATCTTATAATTGTATATTATTATATAGTGCGGCATTCTGTAAAGTCAGGAGGCCACTCAGCCCCTCGAGCATGTTCTGCTATTCTATAAAATCTGTACCTCAACTCCAATTACCCGCCTTTGCCTCATATCCCTTGATACCCTGTGACCTAACAAATATCCCTCCACCTCAGTTTTGGAAATGTGAATGGATCCAACGGCCACAGCTTTTTGGGGAGAGAGTTCCCGATTTCCACAACCCTTTGGGTGACAAACTGCCTCCTGATTTCACTTCTGAATGGCTGAGCTGTAATTCTAAGATGATGCTTTCTTGTCCCCTTGACCGAGATGGTCAGGCGAGAAAATGGTTACTGGTTACTGGTGATAACTCCAGCACTGAACTGACCAGCGGTGAAAATGGCCTGTTTCCGTGCCACATGATTCTGTGTAGTCAGGGGGTGCAAATCGCCTCGGTGCCCCAGGCTGGTGGGGGCGGAGGGGTAATAATAATCCTTGCATTCAATATAGCATCTTATCAAGTTGTTGAGAAGTCTCAAAGCGCTTCACAGAATATATTGTAAATAATAATAATAATAATAATAATCCTTGCATTTGATATAGCGCTTTTCACGTCGGGAGGACGTCCCAAAGCGCTTCACAGAACACACTGTAAAGTGAATTGACTGTACATTTGTGGGCGAACGCGGCAGCCAATTGCGCACAGCAATGTCCCACAAACAGTCGAAGATTGAAAATGACCAATTTATTATTGGTTTTGGTTTTGGAGGGAATATTATTAGGCTCTGTGTGGAGTAAGGAAACTTGCCCAAGGTTTCGCCCTCTGCCTGGAATTGAACTCAGGTCTCTCACTTGCAAAGCGAGTGCTCTAACCACTGAGCTACAGGACTCCGAAAGTGAATTGACTGTGTGTTTTGTGGGCGAAATTGAGCACAAGGGGGCAAGAGGCTGGGGGGGTGTAACATAGAGCACTCGCCTCACGAGCGAGAGGACCTGGGTTCCATTACCTGGTGAGAGAAACACTGGGCAAGTTTCCTTACTCCACACGCCTCTGTTTACATAGCAGTAAGTAGGAACCTGGTTGTTAATCGATTGGCGGATCGTTTTCCCGGGGTAATGCTCCTTTTAAAAATAAGTAGTTGGTCACTCAATCCACGACTGTTTGTGGGACGCTGCTGTGCACAATTGGCTGCTGTGCACAATTGGCTGCTGTGTTTTCCCCACAAAATATACAGTCAATTCACCTCACCGCATATTCTGTGAAGCGCTTTGAAACGTCTCGAAGATGTGATATGGCGCTGTATCAAATGCAAGGATTATTATTATTATTGAGCGAGAGATGGACAGATTGTGGGAGCTTCGGATGAAGAAGACTCTTTGATCTATCTGGTGTCATCCCTGCCTTAAAATTTGCCCTCTACATCATCCTCCCGTTCCCCAAACCTCGCTGTCATTTTTCTCAGGACCGTTGGGTCTGGGAGCTCTCTCGACGCACCTTCCCCTTTAAGTCTTTGCTCCACTTTGCAGTCACATTTCTGAAGACGTGTTGAGATGCAGTGACTGGTCGGGGAGGTGGGGAGAATGAGAGAGAGGATATCTGATCGCATACAGTTTCTATAGCAACCAAATAAATTGGTCGCTGCCTCGCAATGTAAGTGAAGAGAAGACACACAGGATCTTTAATTGTGCTGCAGTTTACCGGCTACCTCCCCATCGCACAGCTTCCAGTAATTGTCTGGTTGTGTTATTTGCGTTAAACGAATTATAAATAACTTGATGGTTTCCATGCCAACACCCCGAGAGAGGTGCTGGGGTCTGATGTTGCCCCCCACCCCCCCCCAATACACACACACACACTAGTTGGGAGCTTTGAACACACAGTCCAGGTTGATGCTCCAGTGCAATTCGGTGGGAGGGTGTGGGGATGAAGGCGCTATCCTTAGTATAAGACATTAATCCGTGTGCTTGTTCAGGTGATTGTTATCGCTATTGAAAATGAGAAGCGAATTTCCTTCTCCCAGTGTCCTGTCCAACAATCCCCCAGATAGATTGGCCACGCCTCGGCTCTTGCCAACCTGTGCCTAATACTCTCCGGAATTAGATAAGCAGGATGTGTCCCTCCAGGGAGAGAGAGAGAGCACATTTCATCCCAACAATCTATCTCGGGGATTTCTATGTGCCGGTGGGATGCATGGAAATCTCAGCTTGGTTTGGATTCTCTTAAGCAACAGTGGTGGGTTTCCGTATGTGTCAGACACCCCCCCCCCCCCCAAACAAACAAACAAACAAACAAGCAAATAAATAAAACTAAATTGGTCACTCGCTTCGTCGCCGTTTGTGGGACCGTGTGGTTAGCAAAATAGCTGCCGCATTCACCTACAAAATCCACAGTCACCCCACTTTCTGATAATTACTGTGAAGCACTTTGAGACATTTTCACATACGAGGTGCGATTAAAAATACAAAAGCCTCTGACACTATCAACGTGTTTCTCACCCGAGCTGTGAGGGAGCCCAGGCCCAATAACAGAGTTTGTAGAAAAGTGTCCTCCTGACGTGAAAGACGCTGTACAAACGTAATTTGTTGTTGTATTTCCACTGACTTCCCGTCTGCAGGTTTGTGTCTGGAGAAGCTGTTGGAAGGGTCATCACGAAGCACTGAGCAGCAGTTGGAGCAGGAACAAGAGATCATTGCGTGCTACGAGAAGGCTGGGGACATTGCTCTGCTTTACTTACAGGAGACTGAGAGGGTAAGAATGAGCTGGCTACTCGCCTTGTCCCATCAAGCCCACAGATCGGGCAGCGACCCGTCTCATTCGGTCACATTGCAGCTGTGGAAACCTTGTGGGCAGAAACCCAGATTGACCCTATTGATGTCCCATTGCACATCGTTGAGACACCTCAAAGCCCTTTACAGAATATACGGTAAAGTGGATCGACAGTATATTTTGTGGGTGAAACACAGTGTCCCACAAGCATTCGTGGATTGGGTGACCCAATTTTTTGAGAGATTATTCCCCACAGAAACCGATGCACCAATCAACTAACAACTGGGTTCCCACTTATTGCTAGGTAAACAGAGGTGTGTGGAGTAAGGAAACCTGCCTAAGGAATCGAACCCGAGTCCTCTCGCATGCGAGGCGAGCGCTCTAACCACTAAGCTACAGGATTCCTAATCACCAAGATGGTGACACGGAGTGGTTGCCACATCAACAAGCCAGAATTTTAAAGGGGAATCTGATAGACGCATTAAGGTGACCTGAATTATTCACTGGATAGAGCAGAGTGTAAGGCAAGGCCCGTTACGCAAAAGATTTGAAAAGCACAATTTGCACATTTCACCCATAAAATATACAGTCAATTCACTTTACAGTGTATCCTCTCAATGATGTGATAATGCATGGATTATTATTATTGCCGGGGGGGAGGTGGGCTTGTGGGATTCTCCGTCACCAAACGTAGTTGAAGTAGAGTTAACTTCTGTTTAGAAAGGAGTTAGATAGAACCCTGAAGCTTGGAATAGTAAAGGGTGTGGGGGAACGAGTGAGCGAGCGAGCAGGAGAGTGGGTTAGAGTTGGTGGATCATGGAGAGATACCTACCGATGCAGACCTGATATTCTGCGCTGTAACATTCTGAGTTTATCGTTTGAACATCCACTTTGCTCTGCTCTGTTTGCTTTCAAATGGTCTCATGTTCAATGTAGTGACCGTATGTGTGACTGACACTGGACAGAGTCACTGGAGCTGGCGGGACAAGGATGAACATGAGTACTATCCCACAGCATTGAAATCACGTCACTGAAACTCCCATTGATGTTCCGCCAGCCCTAGCCTAGCCCAGCACCAGCCTAGCCCAGCCCTAGCCTAGCCCAGCACCAGCCTAGCCCAGCCCTAGCCTAGCCCAGCACCAGCCTGGCCCCAGCCGAGCACAGCTCCAGCCTAGCCCAGCCCTAGCCCAGCCCAGCACAGCCCAGTCTAGCCTAGCACAGACCGTCCTTGGTGGATTGTCCAGGCACCACTCATTTGTGTGGCAGGAGCCTTATACTAGTGACTGCGACATACTAGCAAGACCGAGGCTTGGACTAAACGGTTTGTGTGTAAAGTGTTGGCCGGTGTGTGATGGTGGGCTTGGGTGGGGGTGTATATTATTATTATAATCAGACATTTTGGAGCCACCCTCTGGACCCTGTTCTCCTGCCAAACACCACGAACCTGATTCGGTTGAAATCAAACCGAGAGTGGTGTCAGGATGGAGATCTCGGCTCCTGCCCCCCCCCCCCCCCCAACTGGTTACAACTCCTTCTGTAACTCACACGTCAATGGCACTGGATGTTTCTGACCTTTATACAGACGCAGTGCGTGGGCCCACGTTTGCTGCTCTGACGTTGGAGCTGGCAGTGATCAACCACAGCCCACACACTTATTAACAGCTTTGTCTGTAACAGGTACCACAACATTAAAAGGTCTAATTGAACGAGAAGTAATCCCGCCACTTAATCGAATCCACAGGATTTGAGGCAGGAACAAGGGAGGAAGCGAGGGGGGGGGCTGCACGGCGCTTAGTGTCCTCAGCCTCCGGTGAGATAGAAATCAATCCACCTGCCCTTTACGCAATCATTTCAATTACAACTGGAACAAATGCTGTGTGGCGTGCCTGGGAGGGATGGTTTAAAGGCAGTGTAATGGCACGGCTGAGGAATGGGAGCTTGTAACTAAGGCTAACAGGAGGGTGGACGACACGCGTTACTTTAGGAAATGCCGCTCAGTCTCTCAGGTGCCACTGTTCAAAGCGAGATCCTGTGGCAATATTAGAAACCAACCCAGAGTTTCCCTCTCCTGGTGTCCCGGCCGGCAATCTCTCGGATTTAGTTGTTCGCTAGCCACGTGGCTGATTGGGGGATGTTGCTGGGTGTGAAATAACTGCTGTGTTTGCCTATAAAATATCACACGACACTTGACAGGACCTACTGGAGAGCACTTTGAGGCGTCTCAAAGTGGTAAGGCGCTATAAAAATGTTTATTGTATTCTTAATCAGGACACCGCTGTGCGCAGTTGGCTGCCACGTTTCTCCCACAGAATGTACAGTCACTACACTTTACAGTATGTCCTGTGCAGCGCTTTGAGACGTCTCAATGTCGTGATTAGGCACTATATCAAATAGAAGGATTATTATTATTATTATTATCACTAATTCCTGAGCTCAGTGCTTCTCATCTTCCTGCTGAGGCGGTTAAGCTTATATAAGAACAACAAATTACATTACATTCAGAACGCAAAATACTGCAGATGCTGGAAATCTGAAACAAAAACAGAAGTCGCTGGGAACACTCAGCAGGCCTTGAAGGAGGCAAAGGAGGAAGTGAGGCCAAGGGACCGTGGGATGGACTTCCAGAGCGTAGGGGCAGAGAGGCTGAAAGCCCGGCCACGGATGGTAGGGCGGGTCGGGCGGGAGACATGGAGCAGCCGGAGCCTGATGAACGGAGGGAGCGGGCGGGTTGGTAGGGAGTCAGCAGGTCAGAGAGGGAGGAGGGGGCGAGGCCATGGATGGTCTTAACGGTGAGGACGAGGATTGAACTCGATCCTCTGGGGGACGGGGAGCCGGTGGAGTCGGGCGAGGGTGGGGGGGGGTGATGGGGTCACGGAGCCCTGGTGCGGAAGAGGACACGAGCTGCAGAGTTTTGATGATCTGCAGCTTGTGAAGGGAGGAGTTGGGAAGGCCGATGAGGACGGAGTTCCCTCAGTCGAGCACAGTGACGAATGTGCGGGTGAGGGTTTGGGCAGCCTGAGGGGTGAGGCAGTGGCGGAGTCTGGCAATGTTGCGGAGGTGGTGGTAGGCAGTGCCGGTCATGCCACGGTTGTGTGGGGAGAAAGGACAGTAAGCCGGGATCCGCAGAGATTTGTATGGAATCAGGATTTCTAACAAAGGGGGCGTGACGGGACAGGCTTAGCTCGAGCTGCTCGGCACAGAGCATGGTGAATGCGTGGCATGTGCTGCCCAGGCAGAGAGAGATCCCGTCAGCAAATTCAAGAGGGAATTAGATAGCTGTTTGGCCAGGAGCTCAGCGCGGGGGTAGGGAGACGGTGAAGGGGTTATGTTTAACTATAGCCAGACGCCCAGTACTGCTCTGTTCAGCCCCTGCGTGGTGCTGCTCTGTGTTACGTAGAGTGTATTGGATTTGTGGCCTTCGACGCCTTTTAGAGAGACGAACACAGGACTAGGAGTGATTCAGCCCCTCGAGCTTGTTCTGCCATTCTACTAGACCATGGCTGATCTGTAGCTTAACCCCATTATTATATAATCCGAATTGTAAGACTATGACTGTATTCAGATGTGAAATGTTTTTCCCAATCACACAGAGGTACATTAAGTATACATCAACCGGTCAGAACCAATCTCCCCCCCCCCCCCCCCCCCCCGCCACGCACCTGAAGTGGCCTGTGAATAAGCCCATCGAGAGCAGCGAGGATTGGCTGAGAGCAGGAAGGAGAGCACACAGCTGCGGTCTGTCTAACCTACCATTTCACAGGGAATTATTCACAGTGAAGTCTGCCATATGGTATGTTTCCCTGTCAGCCGGTAACGCTGCAGTTCGACCCGCCCTCCACTCAACCTCCCCTCCCCTCCCAGTGTTTGCAGACAAACACTGTGTGTCTGACACATCCACACATTGAAACCTTCAGCAGTTAATGCATTGTCAGCGATACTGCAGCTTTCTCATTGTGTGATTTTGGAGTAAGACCATCTCTGCCTCCTAATCGTATGTGGTCTGATCTCTGCACTCTCGTGGTTAGAGCACTCAACTTGCAAGTGAGAGGACCCGGGTTTGATTCCCGGTGCGAGGCCAAACCTTAGGCAAGTTTCCTTACTCCACACACCTCTGTTTACCTAGCAGTAAGTAGGAACTCGGTTGTTCATCAATTGGCGGATCGCTTTCCAGGAGTAATAATCTCTTCAAAAAAAGAATAATTATTTGGTCACTCAATCCACGACCCATTTCGCCCACAAAATACACAGTCAGTAATTATCGCGTCCAACTCGTTGTGAGACTTCACAAATCTGAGCGCTCATGTTAGAGATCCCGTCTTGCGATGCGAAAGGCAATGTAATTTTGTTGTGGTTGTTGTGATGGATTTCCTCCCCCTCACCTGTATGTTGTGGATGATAATAATAATAATAATCCTTGCATTTAATGTAATGGCAATTGCGCATAGCAGTGTCCTGCAAACAGTCATGGATTAGGTGACTAAATTCATATCAAAAAATTCTTATTATTACCCCTGGAAAAGGGATCCGACAATCGAATAATAACCAGGTTCCTACTTGCTGATAGATAAACAGAGGCGTGTGAAGTAAGAAAACTTGCCAAAGGTTTCACCCTGCCCGGGAATTGAACCCAGGTCCTCTCGCTTGCGAGGCGATTGCTCTAACTACTGAGCTGCAGGACTCCACAACATGCTGTAGACTGTAAATTTTACAATATGTTGTAGACAACAATGTACTGATTACAAAGCAGCATTGAGCTGCAATCTGAAATAGTTTCTCAATGGAAGACAGATGGAAGACGTGACACAATCCCTTTCAGAACGGGCTGAAACTTTAGTGGATGTGTGCGCAAAGCCATTGTACCAGAGAGGCAGCACAATGTTTAAAGCTAATTACTGTGATGCACCCAAGCAATCTCTCTATAGCCTCTTTATCTCTCTATAGCCCTGTCTCATTAACAGTGTCGACAGAAAGCCAGAGTGAGTATTCTGTCACGGCCTTTTTGTGAAACTCTGGATGAATTGACGTGTTTCAGAGCTGAATTAATGAACAGATCCAGTGGGTTATTTATTTCCTGCCCCTCAGTTATCCTGTTTGAGATAGTTTAACTCTGGAACTCTCCCTCAATCCCTCCGCCTTGCCCCGCCCTATCTTTGAATCCTCCCTAAAGACTTTCCTTTTTCATCGTGCTTACGGTCAGCTCCCTCTCCCCCTGGTTCGTTGTCAGGCTCCGCCACTGTGAAGCGCTCCGGGACCCAAGCCTGCACGAAGGGCACTGTGTAAATGCAAGTTGTTGTTGTTATTGTAATTTCATGGTCGCGTATTAAGGTCTTGTGCCCTGTGCCCCACAGAGGAGCCGGTTAGAGAACCATTCACGTCTCCAGCAACTTAACTAATATTAAATGGAGCCTTAAAAAAGTCCACAAAAACCATCAGGATATGTTTTGAGCTGACTGAATCGCTTGTACAAGGATTAACACACGCTTTGAGACGTCTCAACCACATGATGAGGCACTGTATCAAATGCAAGGATTATTATTATCATTACGTCATACTCAGGACCGATAGGAGGGCACCATCAGATTAATTCCAGGCAAATAAAGAGAGCGTCTTGAGTACCCGTCTGAGACATGGAATTAAATGTCCCTTTAAGCCATTGCTTCCCCCCCCCCGTTAAGTCGTTGAAATTTAATCTCCTAGAACTCGGAACAGAGTTGTGCATTGCCATGTCTCCTGGTCACTGAATGATTAATAATAAGAAGAATCCTTGCATTTGATGTACAACAAGTTGCATTTATATAGCGCCCCTCCCTCATGCCGGGTAGCGTCCCAGCGCGCTTAATTAACTCTTCGAGTCGTCTCAAAGCGCTTCACAGAATATACTGTGTGTTTCGTGGGTGAAATCACCCCCGCGTGGTATCCAACAAGTGACACATGGTTGATGTGTGTGTGTTCTGTGTGTTGTTGGCTGGCGGGGCAGGTGCTGAACACTAACATCCAGAACAGGAGCCCGAAGCCAGGCTCGTCCTTCCAGGAACAGGAGCTGGGATTCTTCCTGGAGACCGGGCTGCAGAGAGCGCACGTCATTTACTTCAAAAACGGGTAAGATGACGTTTACCGCTCGGAGCGTGTCTAACCCTGTGGAGCCCCGTAGCGTAGCGGTCAGAGCGCTCGACTCGCAAGCGACAGGAACCAGGTTCGATTCCCAGGCGGGACGAAACCTTAGGCGAGTTTCCTTTCTCCACACGCCCCAGCAGTAAGTAAGAACCCGGTTGACACCGAGACCAACTCAGTGAAAGGCAACAACAACGACAACTTGTATTTATATAGCATTCTCCACATTGGGCAGCGTCCCAAAGCGCTTAACGATGGCGGAGACTTCAGACATCGCCGGTCTTAGTTTCTGAGCGTTGACAGAGGAAGATGTTTAGCGAGGAGGGTTTGATTACTGTTAAACCTGTCTGGACACAACGATTATCCCCTTAGTGAGCAAATGGGATTCATCTGTATTGTGATGAACCGGTATTTAGAGGGGAGGAGGTTAAAAGCTGTAACTAATGGAATCATGTATAGCAAGCCCGTCGTAGAGTAAGGCGTGAAATAAGGCCAAGCCAAGGCACTAATGCAATTAACTGTCAGCGAAGGTGACAACCTGGGACTACTGATGAGCACTATCCTCTCACTGGCCACTCCCCACATAACCCCCACCTGCCCTTTCACTCTCTGATAAAGCAGCGTCTCAGAGGTAAGCGCTCACACGGCACAGGTCACCCACCGGGTATTAATGTGAGCGTCCCTGTAGAGTAGTGGTTAGAGGGCTCGCCTCACAAGCGAGAGGACCCGGGTTCGATTCCCGGGCGGGACAGGGCGAAACCTCAGGCAAGTTTCCTTACACACCTCTTTCTAACAAGCAGTAAGTAGGAACCCGGTTGTTAGCCGATTGGCAGATCGCTTTTACGGAGGTAATAATCCCTTCAAAAATCCTAATAGTGTGGTCACTCAATCCACGACTCTTTGTGGGACGCTACTGTGCGCAATTGGCTGCCGCGTTTCACCCACAAAATACACAGTCGATTCACTTTACTGTGTATCCTGTGAAGCGCTTTGAGACGTCTCAACGACGTGAAAAGGCGCTGTATCAAATGCAAGGATTATTATTATTATAGCAATGTGCACTTGCTGCTGGAAGAATCGTTTGTGTTTAGCGGAGGGGACACAGACAGGAATCTTGGATAAGTTCTCACTGCACAGAGAGGCTGTGCTATCCCGGCAGGAGAGGTCTGTATCCGAGCAGAGTAAACTTGCTCCCTTCCTCCCCCACACTGACCACAGTGGCCATTGACGCATATGTGTTGCTCCTCTACAGGCACAGGCACTTTTGGGTGTTACAGTGCCTGACTTCTCTACACATTGTATTTCAGGATGAATCTATGGCAAGATACACAGTACGTACCCACCGAGGGGCAAAGCGATTGTTTAGTCAACAATTCCTCACTGTCAATAAAGACTCCAATTCCATCACTGGATCCCAGCGAGGGCGAGATTAGGGCCTCCCACGTCCGCACTTTAAAGGGAGGTGGACACTTGGGAAGTAAGGGAACGGAGAAAATTTGGATAAATTTGGATTCAAATATCCATTGCCATGATCTAATGATCTGACGGGTCAGGCTTGACAGGTGAACAACCTCCTCTTGTCCCTATCTATAATTACAGCTCTACATCATGGTTCCTGGTGTCAACTACTGCACACGGTAACTGACCCCATGGAATCCTGAAAGGGGTTTGATTTTTACCCCACTACCTTTTGTTCCTTTAAAGGCTTTAATTTGAAGTCAGGAGGTGATGTGGGTGGGGCTTTATGTTTAGGAGAGATCAGTTCATAAAGTAAAAGGTTCAACCATTGGGAACGATCAGAATATCTCTCAATCGTTACATCAGAGCGAGCAACAACAACAGCCTTTACACAGCGTCCCTCACGCAGTGTAGCGCCCCAGAGCGCTTGACAGTGGCGGTGCACGATGACGATGCGGGGGGGGAGGTGGGGGCGGTGACGCCGGCTCGTCATCGTGCACCGCACGGTCGCAGAAGAAGGTCTTCAGATGGGGAAGGAGGGGGCAAGTGGAGGGATAGAGGAAAAGCTTGGGGTCGTAGCGGCCGAAAGTGCAGCCGCTGATGGGTGAAACAGAGGGCACGAGGGACACGCTGGGGGCCGGAGCCAGTCGAGCGGAGGCAGAGGGTAGTGGGTTGGGGTGTGACAGAAAGCGTGCAATCCAGTGATGGGAAACAGGTTGCAGTCTTTGATTGTTCTGTTGTTCAGTGTTTGTTCCCTCAAGAACGCCTTTGTATTTTCCTAAACTAGACATTGATTTAGACAATACCTCTTCTGTGCTCGTCAGCCCTCCCCCAGTCTGTGACTTCCACGTTTGTGTCAGCGCAGATTAGCTGCTGTTTCCCTTATAGAGCAGAAACAACACCACACAAATGTGCGTCTCTGCCCATGATTCTCCTCGCTCTGCTGCCTCGGGAGTGGTATTGGTGTTCAAAGTTCACCGTGAGCCGATGTGTCTGTCGTGGCTTTAATTGGCATCGGATGTTTATGTAATTATCAGCTGCGAGTGGAGTGAGCAAAGTTGAAGTCCTCAGACTTATCCATGTACCATGTGCGTTCACAGGGCTCTACTCTGTCACTCAACACTACAGGCAGCTGAGCGCCAGGCACTGGCTACTTAAGATAATATTAATCTCTGTGTTTGATCCTGGACCAAAAAACATTGAGATATCTCAAAGTAATTCACGGGGAATTACTGTCAAGTATAGTGACTATATCAACAGGCAAACGCAGCAGCCAAGCTGTGCAGTAAATGGCGAATTAATCCAGAGGATTGTTGGCCAGGACTTCAGGAGGAACTCCCTGTTCTTTTACAATGGTGTCATAGATTTCTAAGGTCTGCCTGGACTGGATTTCAGGCATGTTTTGGGTACGTGCTGGGGTTGTCACTGTTTCCCAGGGAGCTGGAGGCAGATCTGAACAGCGGCATCCAAAACAGCCAAACACAAGATGTTCTCTCTCTCACTGCTTGGGCCAAAGAGGGCAACGAGAGCAACAACAACTTGCATTTGCACAGTGCCCCTCACGCAGGGTAGCGTCCCAGAGCGCTTGACCGTGGCTGAGCAGGACGCCAAACCGGGGAAGGGAGGTGACTGTAAGCACGGTCAAAGAGGAAGGTCTTCAGGTTCAACCTGAAGATGGGAAAGGAAGGGGCAAGGCGGAGGGGAGTTCCAGAGTGTCGGGGCGTGGCGGCTGAAAGCATGGCCACCGACGGTGGAACGGAGGGCACGAGGGACAAGCAGGAGCTGGAGCCAGTCGAGCGGAGGCAGCAGGTTGTGCGTTGGGGGGTGAGCAGGTCAGAGAGGAAGGGAGGTCCCAGGGCATGAAGGGATTTGAAAACGAGTGTGAGGATCTTGAAATCGATCCGTTCGGTGATATTGACAACAGGAAAGAGTTTCAGTTCTTCAGTTCTTTGTAGTAACGGTTGATAATGAGTTTAGATGGCGGAGAAAGCTGGGTAATGTGAAGTTGCCGCTCGGCCTATTGACATGTTGCCAATGGGGCCCCTTTGTATTTGTGCTCCTTTACCTCCCTCTCGCCTTGTGTTTGAGTGAAGCCTCTCGCTGATGTGCTCTCTTCCCCGCTCTCAGCCGCGCTAACCCGGCAACATTGTGTTCACACAGAAACTTGACCAGGGGAGTCGGGCGTTTCCGAGAGATCCTGAGAGCGGTGGAGACCAGGACAACCCAGAACCTGCGGATGGTAGGTCACCAAACCCTGCCTGGGGCTGGTGGGGTGTGGGGGGGTGGTGCGCGAGGGAGGTTAAGGTACCACTGACTCGCGCTCCCCTCACTAATAAATGATATGTCTCAAAGCACTTCACAGGATATACTGTAAAGTGAATTGACTGTATATTTTGTGGGCAAAACGCAGCAGCCAATTGCGCACAGCAGCGTCCCCACAAACAGTTGTGGATTGAGTGACCAAATTAATAATTTTATTGAAGGGATTATTACCCCCTGGAAAAGCAACCCGCCAATCGACTAACAACCGGGTTACCACTTACTGCTTGGTAAACAGAGGCGTGTGGAGTAAGGAAACTTGCCTAACCTGCCCGGGAATCGAACCCGGGTCCTCTCACTTGCGAGCGCGCTGACCATTATGCTACGAGACTCCACTAGTTTTCGCAAGACAATCTAGAGATTTTCAGCCTTGAAAGAAACATCTCAGAGAGGAGCAGAACAGGACGTTCAATATTATGAGAAGGGATTTCAAGACAGAGACCAGGAAGTGTCTCTTTCCTCAAAGGGGCAGTGGGCAGCTGAGCACAGGTTTAGCAGGTGGAGAGGTTGAGGTCAGAACGTTTAGGTTTTATTTAAGGAAAGTGGGAATTTGAGCAGAATGTCTGAAGGGCTTTGTTTATCCGAACTTCCCTTGTGATCGTATGACTCCTGTAGAGGAGTCCTGTAGCGTAGTGCTTAGCACGCTCGCCTCGCAAACGAGAGGGTGTGGATTTGATTCCCGGGCAGGAGCAAAACCTTGGGCACGTTTCCTTACTCCACGCGCCTTTGTTTACTAGCAGTAAGAAGGAACCCGGTTGTTAATCGATTGCGGATTGCTTTCCGGGGGCAATAATCCCTTTAAATAAATAATAATAATAATAATAATTTGGTCACTCAATCCACGACTGTTTTGAGCGATTGGCTGCCGCGTTTCGCCTACAAAATACGCAGTCACCACACTTCAGTCTATTCTGTGAAGTGCTTTGGGACATCGTGACAATGTGATAAGGCGCTCTATCGAAATGCAGGGATTATTATTATCATTATTACTATTATCATTAGGATTCCCTGCTCCTGCTTCTGTGTTGCCCTGGGAATGTTTCGGTGCCTTATTAAATTGCTGTTTTTTTTCCCCCTGTGCAGACGATCGCCCGGCAGCTGGCAGAGATCCTGCTACGGGGAATGTGTGAGCAGAGTTACTGGAACCCGCTGGAAGATCCCCCCCAGCACTCCCCGCTGGATGACCCTTCACAGCAATGCTGCAACCTGAAGCCGCGAGCCATCACCCGGAAGCCCAGAGTGTACATGGGAGACAGGCAAGTGGCTGTCACAGGGGCTGGGGCACCGTGTGTGACAAGCGCACCTACCCACTCTCATCAGCTTTGCAAAGGACACCTTGTGTACAGCCTACCTGTGTGTCACGTCCCAATCCGAATTTAGTGCTGCGCAGTATTTAGCCAGCCCTGGCACTGTGTCTGGGCTCTTGTTAAACCAGAGTCCTGTAACTTAGTGGTTAGCGAGCTTGCCTCGCAAGCGAGAGGACCCGGGTCAGGACGAAACCTTAGGCAAGTTTCCTTACTCCACACGCACACCTGTGTACCCAGCAATAAGTAGGAACCCAGTGATTAATCCAGTGACTGTTTGTGGGTCGCTGCTGTGTGCAATTGGTGATCGCGTTCGCCCACAAAATATACAGTCAATTCACTTCACAGAACAACAATAAATTGTACTTACACAGCGCCTTTCACATTGGGAACACGTCCCAAGGTGCTTGACAGTCGAGAGTTTGCCCCCGAGTTTGGGGAGGGTTGGATTTGGGAGTGGGGGGTGGGGGCTAATGGCACCGGAACAAAAGTGAATCATCCGTGAGGATGATTATTGTTAGGAAGCTGCTTAATACGGCTTCTGTTTGCTGCAGTTCGCAATCCCGAGCTGCTCTTTAAAGCCTATGAATCCTGGGTCCCAGACGGTTTAACTAATTAAAGCGGTCTAAATCCCAGTAACAGCAAAGCAGCAGGAAACATTGTGCTGCTTTGATCGTTAGCTCTCTGGCTTCTCCTCTGGGCAGCTCTCTCCTGAGACGCTGGCCTCTGGGTTAGCGATCACAGCTCCACAACTGAGCCAGGCTGATCGGCTTAGGAACCTGTATTTCCCGAGATGTCTCCTCTCCTGATCTGATTGCAACAAATTGGAATATGCCTGCTAACTCTCAGCCTTACGATTACTGCACAGCCCATCGTGTCTGTGCTGGTGCTCGTGCTCGCTCCCCCACTGGAGCTCTCTACTCTAACCTCATTCCCTCCTTCGCCCCGTCATGTCTGTGCTGGTGCTTGCTTCCCCCCATGGCTCCAGCTGTCACCTCCAGCCCCCCAGCTCAGTGACACGAACGGTGGTCTTCTTAACAGAATCAAATAAATAGGACCAAGCCATCAATAACCAACACCGAATAGAGCACCCGTATAGTGGATGTATTCGATCAAAAATTTGCAGGGCTGTGGGGAAAGAGCATGAGACTGGAACTAGTTGGAAAACTCCTTCAAAGACCCAGCACAGGCACTATCGATGGGCCGAAAGGCCTTACATGCTATGCTGTAGGATTCGATGAATCATGTATTCCTATCACATCAAAACATCAGCCTTCATTGGTAATGGCTGGCACGGGTAAGGACTCTCTTTTGCCTACAAATACAGTCACTCCATGTGACAGCAGTCACCTGGGGACGTGTCAATCTGCCCAGGGAAGTCCTTTGCTTCTCGATGCCTGTGGTGAGAGTGTGGGGGTGTTTGTCAGATGAGGTGAAATAATAAGATCCCGGCACTGCCTCTTCTCCCAGCTCGGGCAAACCGTTAATGATGGCTCTGTTTCCTCTTCTCGTTCCAGCATTTTCTGTCCTCAGGAAAATACCGAGGAGGCGCTGTTACTGTTGCTCATCAGCGAGTCCATGGTAAGGGCCAGGCTCTGAGCTCACGGTTGACATCTCAGGCAGTTAATTGTCCCTGTGGATAGCATTTCCTGATACATGAGAGCAAGCGGACAGCCGCTGGGAAACAAAGCTTCGCTGATAAATTCTGCGCTTCAGCTCTGACAGGCAATGCTGGGCTGTGGATACCGAGCACTTTAAATTAAACCCTCAGCGACAGCAAAGCTCTCCAGTTCAACCCCCACCCCCCCCACCCCGCCGCCACAGCTCTACACTGCCGTTCGGTTCTGTTATTGTACCCACACAGTGAAGGGGGCTTGTGGTCGGGTGATGTTGTCCCACATACACACGCAAAAAAATGCATACACACTCACTTACAGACAGGCGCATACGCTTATATGTCCACACACGTACACCCACATGGTCTCGGTAGCCGGGCTTCACTATGATTCACTTTATAAACAGGCGCTGTGTAAAACGAGGAGAAGTGAACGGCAGCGCTGAGCGGGGTTTAAAGAAGGGTAACGTGACCCACTTGTTGCCAATGGACGAAGCCAGTGGTGGATGTTGCAAGCGTCAAGCGTGTGTGATGTGAGGGCCTCCCCATCAGCCAGGAAATGCGCTGTCAAACACCTACTACATCTTACTAGTTCCTAATTCATTTCAATGGGTTTAAAGACCGGTGGGTGGGAGATGTTGGAGCTAACTTGCTCGCTCGTCCTGTCTGTGTCTCTGCTGGACTCGTGCTGCGAGTGGAGTCCTGTAAGCTCAGTGGTTAGAGCCCTCGCCTCACAAGCGAGAGGACCCGCGTTCGATTCCTGGGCAGGGGGCGAAACGTTGGACAATTTTCCTTACTCCACATGCTTCTGTATACCTGCAGTTAAGTAGGAACCCGGTTGTTAGTCAATTGATGGATCACTTTTCCAGGGGTAATAATCCTTTCAAAAAAATAATTAATTTTGGTCATCAATCCACAACTGTTTGTGTGCTGTGCGCAATTGGCTGCCCACAAAACACACAGTCACTACACTTTACAATATATTCTGTGGAAGCGCTTTGAGACGTCTGCACGACATGATAAGACGCTATATCGAACACAAGGATTATTTTATATTGCTCTGTGTGTGGTTCCAGGCTAACAGGGACGCAGTGCTGAGCAGAATCCCGGAGCACAACAGCGACCGTCTGGTCAGCTTGCAAAGCGCTTCCATCGTCTACGATCTCCTGACCATCGCCCTGGGCAGACGAGGGCAATACGAAATGCTGTCCGAGGTGGGTGTGGCTCTACACTTTCTCCCCAATCCCCTTCACATTCTCACTCCTTCCCCTTTTCTCTCACTTTTCCCTTTCTCACTATTTTTGCTCCCCAGTTTCGCCCCCAAAACGTACAGTCACTTTACTGTGAAGTGAAGACATCATGAAGACGCGATAAGGCGCTGTGTTAAATGCAAAATGCAAAAATTATTATTATTTTGCACTCTTGTCTTTTTCTATTCGGATTTCTCTCTCAGCCCCTGTGTGTCCGTCTCTCTCTCTCTCTCTAACGGTTTATTGCTCTCGATCCATCGGTCTATTTTGCTATATCTCAAGACAGTTTGTCCTTGTCTTGCTCTCCCGCACTGGCACACACCTCTTGCACTGGTTCCTGTTTTGCTCTCTGCAGAAGAACAAGGTAGCCAACAAGTCGATAACAGTATCAACTCTAAAGACAGGAACCTTTAACATTAATGCAAATGCTGAGAGTGTTCGCTCTCGTACAGAGACTGAGCAATTGAGAGCTGCATTTTCCTGACCTATCGCCAACCTATTATTACGTCAAATAAGATTAAATTCCTTTTGATGTGCCACTGGGTGTGTGTAAAACGATTTCACTGCATCAAAGCAGTCCTTCGATCTCCAGCTAAGGCTGGGAATGGTGTGTGCAACCAATGATTTTTCTTATAATCCTTGCCTTTGATACAGCACCTCATCACGTCGTTAAGACATCTAAAAGCGCTTCGCAGAATATACTGCAAAGTGGAGTGTGTGTTTTGTGGGTGAATCGATCACACCCAGGCTCGTCTTTTTATAGAAATAAAAGGGAAAAAGGCGGGGGGCGGGGAGGCGGGGGAACAGATCACTTTAGTTTTTTAATTTAAACAAACTGTGAAGTTATTAGACAGAGCAGTGACATTTCATTGTAATCTGCAAAATATTAATAAGCCAGCCATTGCCTCTGATAGGCCATGCGCGTTTTATCAGTGAGTAAATGGCTTAAATTATTTCTAGCAGATTGTTTTATTAGAATTTAACGGTTATAAAAATGTGTTACTTTTCTAAGACTTGAAACCTGACTCCCCTTTTCCTCTCTTCCCCCCCCCCCATCCCTCCCCTCCTCACATCCCACCCTGTTGACTCCTGTGGTAGAATGATCCTCAGACAGTCCAGCTCTCTGAGCGTCAGCCTGTAGTCAATGCGCTCAAAGTCCCAATCCGCAGAATATTCATGGTTTAATCTTAATATTTGGAGTCCTGCAGCATAGTGGTTGGTCAGCGCACTCACCTCACACGCGAGAGGACCCGGGTTCGATTCCCGGGTCCAGTGAAACCTTAGGCAAGTTTCGTTTCTCCACACACACGCCTTTTTACCTAGCAGTAGGAACCCGGTTGTTATTCGATCGGCGGATCGCTTTCCATGGGGTAATGATCCCCTCCACTCCCCCCCAAAAAATGTGGTCACTCAATCCATGATTGTGGGACACTGCTGTGTGGAATTGGCTGCTGCATTTCGCCCACAAAATACATAGACAATCCACGTTCCAATATAATTCTGTGAATATGTCAGAAATGTTGTGAAGCGCTTTGAGACTTCTCGATGTTTTAGGATCTGCATCCACTGCGAGGATTGTTGTTGTTTTTGCTGAGACAGTGTCTGGACATCGCTGTATAATGGAACATCAATGCCGTCTAATTTCATCATTGGCAAATTACTCTGACCTTTACTTGACTCTGCGAGTAATCGCTTCTAACCTGTAACCAGCGCTGTTCAGTCATGGCTGTTATCTGTCATTTTTGTCCTTAATCCCTCGGGATTTAAAGGGGATGTGGGTTTTAATCATGATTGTTAGTGTGTGATCTCCAAAGAGCTTTATCCAGATTTTAGGCAGAGTGAGGGTTTTTTTTTCTGTCTCAGATGTGTTTTTGCAGCCTATCTCTTGAATTAAATCTTTTATTCCCATTGCTCACTAGTACCATCAGGCCAGAAAGACAGCCTCTGTTTACCTAGCAGTAAGTAGGAACCCGGTTGCCAGTTGATTTGCAGATCTGTGGGTAGTAATCCCTTTTTTAAAAAAAAAATACTAATAATAATTTGGTCACTTCAATCCACGACTTGTTTGTGGGGACGCTGCTGCGCGCAATTGGCTGCTGCATTTCGCCCACAAAATACACAGTCAATTCACTTTATAGTGTATCCTGTGAAGCACTTTGAGACGTCTCGAAGAAGTGATAAGGCGTTGTATTAAATGCAAGGATTATTATTATTATGTTATAGGAGGTGCCGTTCTTCAGATTGACCAAGGTCGTGTTCAGGTGGTTGTTTAAGAGCCCCAGTGCTGTCGGAGTTTGTCCCATGTTCCCGGCCAACAATCTCCCCTCCCACATAAACCCGCCAGAGTGAAAGTGACTGACTCGCTCGATGTGAGGCCAGTGGGTCTTTTAAAGAAAAAAGATAATTTCTGGGGTTGCTCCTGTCCTCCGGAGACTGTTTTGACGTGAAAATAATCCTTCATTGTTTACTCCAGCGAGTGTAAATCCCCGGTCTTTACAAAGTATTGTTCCCTCTTTGACTGCTCGAGCCGTCAGGGGCTCTGAGAGGGTGAAAGGTCGAGTAGTTGGGAAGTGGAGGTCGCGGGGTTTGAAATGAAGGGGTTTTCATTTTGTTTCTGGTCGTTTTGATCCTAGTGTTTGGAGCGAGCCATGAAGTTTACATTCGAGGAGTTTCATCTCTGGTACCAGTTTGCATTGTCGCTGATGGCTGCTGGCAAGGTGCGTACAAAAGACTGTCTACGTGGTTTATGATCCCTTCACACCCTCCTCTCTCCCCCCCCCTCCCGTCTCCCTCTCTTCCTCCCCATCTCTCCCTCTCACTTTCCCCTCCCTCCTTCATTCGCTTGCTCCCTCCTTTACTCTTTCGCTCCCCCCCCATCCCCCTCCATCGCTTGAACCCTCTGGTTGTTCTTGTCTGTTCACCTCATGACGTTGCTGAGTTGGATTGTGTTTGCTGTGTGTAAACCCTGGTGTGTCTTTGTTATCTCTTAGTCTACTCGAGCCGTCAGGGTGCTGAGAGAGTGCATCAGGCTGAAACCAGACGATCCCACGATTCCACTCCTCGCTTCCAAGTTATGCATTGGACCTCTTCACTGGGTGAGTGAGGTTAATTCCATTTACATTGAAGGTGTATTTGAGATATGGATAGTGCAGGTACATCCCCTCACTCCAACCCAGGCAACAGCTGACTTGACCAAGGTGGGTCCTAACTCATAGGAATATTGGAACAGGAGGAGGCCATTCAGCCCCTCGAGCCTATCCCACCATTCTTTAAGATCATGGCTGATCTGTACCTCAGCTCCAATTATCCACCCTTGCCCCGTATCCCTTGATACCCTGATCGAATAAATATCTATTCACCTCAGTGTTGAAAACGTGAATGGATCCAGCATCCACACCCTTTTGGGAGAGGGAGAGGGTTCCAGATTTCCACTCCCCTTTGGTGAAACTCACAGTAAAATACAGTGTAGCTGGTAGCACTCTGGGTCAGACGGATGTGGGTTTGAGCCCCAGTCCACGCTGACGCTCTCCTGCAGTACTGGGAAGAACACTGACCTTTGGATGAGAAGTTAAAGCGAGGTCCTGTCTGCCTATACTTCAGGTGGATGTTAAAGTATTGGAAAAGAGAAGGGAGTTTCTCCAAGTTTCCTGGCCAACAATCCTTTGAGTAATTGGTCATGGAGTCTTGTAGCTTTGTATTTACATCACTCGCCTCGCAAGCGAAAGGACCTAGGATTCGATTCCCAGCAGGTCGAAACGTTGAACAAGTTTCCTTACTCCACACTCCTCTGTTTACCTTGCAGAAAGTAGGAACCCGGTTGCTAGGCGATTGGCGGATCGCTTTCCAGGGGTAATAATCCCTTAAAAAAAAAAAATTTGGTCACTTAATCCACGACTGTTTGTGGGACACTGCTGTGCGCATTGGCTGCCGTGTTTCGCCCACAAAATACACAGTCACTACACTTTACAGTATATTCGAAGACGTGATGAGACGCTGTATCAAATGCAAGGATTATTATGATTACTATTCTCTGTTATATTCCCTGTCACAGAATGGATCAATTTCAAGATCCTCACTCTTGTATTTAAATCCCTTCACACCCTGACACCCCCCCCCCCATCTCTCCAACCTGCTCTCTCCCTACATTACTTCCCGCTGCCTCCACTCGACTGGTTCTGGCCTCCTCCACAATCACTTCGCTTCGCACCCCACCCCCCCCCCGCTTTTAGATCACGCTCGAAGACCTTCCTCCTCGCCCACGCTTGCTGTCACCTTCCCCCTCCCCCGGGCTCGGCATCGGGCTCCACCACTGTTAAGCGCTCCGAGACATCGTTCCAGCGTGAAGGGCGCTATATAAGTACAAGTTGTTGTTGACTGGCTGTGTGACTGTACAGGGCCTTGCTGTGTGTAACTTAGCCAACTGCCTTTGCCTATAAATACACAGACACTTAGGTTAACAGTAATTCCCTGTGGAGCGCTTTGAGACATTTCGATGTGAAAGTTGCGGTGCAAATAGAATCTCTTATTTTCCTTTGTTTTCTTTTCTTTTACCCGGTTCTGTAACTTTGAGCACTGTTGCCGTCTCCTGTTAACAATACTGACCCAGGCGTCTCTGACGTGTTCTCTTCCCAAGCTGGAGGAAGGGGAGCGATTTGCTGAGATGGTGACTGACATGAGTGAGAAAGCGTCTGAGTTCCGAGCCAAGGGTTACCTGGCTGTGGGGCTGGCCTACAGCCTCCAAGCCACAGACGGTAAGAGATCCGCGCAAACCTAGACACTGAGAACACAGGCACCGTGTGTCCAGACCTCGCTCCGCACAAGGCGCCACAGGACTGCTACACCACACACACGTTTCGCCCACAAAGGAGTCCCTTGTGGTAGTGGTTAGCACTACAACCTCGCAAGAGAGGACACGGGTTCGGTTCTCGGGCCAGGGCGAAACCGTTGGCAAGTTTTTTTACTCCACATGTCTCTGTTTACCAGCAGTACATAGGAACACTTTTGGCAATTCACTTCCCGGGGTAATAACCCCTCAAAAAAAAATTTGGTCACTTAATCGATGACTGTTTGTGGGACATTGCTGTGCTTTTCGCTGCTGTGTTTCGCCCACAAAATGCACATTCCCTCCACTTCACAATATATATCCTGTGAAGTGCTTTGAGACATCTTAACGAAGTGAGAAGACGCTTTATTCAAAGGCAAGGATTATTTTTATTATTATAGTTATTGACTCAGCCGGGTGGATTTTAACCAGTTTTATGTTTTTTGGTTTATGTAAAAGCAACGTTGAGAGGAGTTCAAGAAAGTTTACAGAAAAAGGCACTTGGAGCGTTTCAGAGGTGCGTGCGTTCGCATGATGTGTTTAATCGTGTGAAGCTCTTGATTCTCCCCCACCCCCAAGGAAGGCTAGAAAAAGATGTCATATATGTCTCCGAGTGTTTCCACAGTAGCTGAGAAGGTGACAAATTTTTACTTGGGAACCTCTTGAGTGCTGTTGCCGGCCACTCGCTTGCCCGCCCAACAAATAACATTTATATGACGCCTTTCATGTCAGGAGGACATCCTAAAGCACTGGACAGTCAGGGATTTGGACCCAAGCTGGGGGTTCAGATCAGTGGGGAAGGAGGGCAGGGGAGGGTAGGGGTGGGAGGGCGACCGAAGGCGCAGTCGAAGAGGTGATCACTCAATCCATGATTGCTTGTGGGACGCTGCTGTGCGCAATTGGCTGCTGCTTTTCGCCCACAAAATACAGTCAATTAACTTTATAGTATATCCTGTGAAGCGTTTTGAGACGTCTCAAATGCGAGGATTATTATTATAACCATAGAGAGAGGTAGGACACAGTAGTCGGTGTTTGGCTCATGTTTGTTACTCCAAAAGGCTGTCCATCCTAATCGGAGTTCCCTACTCTCTTCCCCGTCCCCTCTGTTATCTGTTACAGCCTGTCTGCGTAGCATTTCATCCTGAAATAGCCTACTATATCCAAACCTACAGTCTCGAGAACAGATAGACCACTTTGTTAAACATGTCTAGTCTCCAATCTGCCTTTCACCAGTCGCCTGAGAGTAATTTTAATGCCCGGATTGGTTCTCTGTAGTTTACAGTTGGCTGTGCCTGGATTCATTGTTATTTTTCCTCTCCTCCCTCCAGGGCTCACAGTTTATCTCCGACAGATCACCTGGCTGCCTTCTATCTGTCTCTGCAGCTTGCCATATCACGGCAGGTCAGTATTTCACACAGCGCCTGCCTGGCTTTGTTGTTCGAGCCCAGGTGCCCCAGCCTCTCACAGCCATCGTGGCGTGTGTGACCATTATCCCGGCAGCACGTGAAGGGGAACAGGAGTAAAGACAGATCGTTAGCAACTCCACAATCCACAGCTCCAGCTCTTCCTTCTGGCTTTAAGCTCCAAAACTCTGTCCCATTGAAGGGCGCTATATAAATCGTGGGATCCTGGAGCGTAGCTGTTAGAGCACTTGCCTCGCAAGCGGTTCGATTCCCGGGCAGGGTGAAACGTTAGGCAAGTTTCCTTACTCTGCACGCCTCCGTTTATCTAGCAGTAAGTAGGAACCCGGTTGTTAGTCGATTTACAGATCGCTTTTGCGGGGTTAATAATCCCTCAAAAATAAATAAATACAAATTCTTTTGTATCTTTTGTAAATTGGCTGCTGCGTTTCGCCCACAAAATACAGTCACTACACTTTACAGTATACCCCTGTGAAGCGCTTTGAGACATGTCGGAAAACCTGATAAGGCGCTGTATGAAATGCAATTAATTGTAATTAAAGACAAGTTGTCGTTGTTCTCAGATCCCCGAGGCGCTGGGCTACGTGCGTCAAGCTCTCCAGCTTCAGGGGGATGATGTTAACTCTCTACACCTCCTGGCATTGCTGCTGTCAGCACAGAAACACTACCATGATGCCGTGAACATCATCGACATGGCACTGAGCGAGTACCCGGAGAACTTCATGTGAGTACCCATACCCCTCCCTCCACTCCGCCACTCCCCCCCCCTCCATCTGCTCCCCTCCGTTCACTCCGCCCATCCCCCCTCTCCTTCCTCCACTCCCTGCTTCGCGTGTTCCCCAGCCTGTCACAGGGTTGATCACAATCACACCAACAGCAGCATCAGCTTCGCTCACAATCTACCCATAAAGACTCGTGTCGTCCCGACTTGCACCGTCAATACTCCCACAGGAAATGTGGTCACGCAGGCAAAGTATTGGACGTTTGAGGGGTTAGAGTAAAGAGCTCCAGTGGGGGAAGCGAGCCCCAGCACAGACACGATGGGGAGAGAGAGAGAGAGCAGGGAATGGGGTTAGAGTAGAGAGCTCCAGTGGGGGAGCGAGCCCCAGCACAGACACGATGGGGAGAGAGAGAGAGAGCAGGGAATGGGGTTAGAGTAGAGAGCTCCAGTGGGGGAGCGAGCATCAGCACAGACACGATGAGCTTAAAGGCCTCAACCTGTGCTGTAAAAATTCCGTGAATCTATATACTTCAGAAAGAGAGAGACACAGAGAGAGACATCAATGGTGAATTGATTGAGGTTTCCTATAAACACGTGGGAAGCGACTATTTATGGGGACGTCTCTGTGCGCAATTGGCTGCCGGGTTGTGGTATATTCTGTGAAGCCCTGTGAGACGTCTCAAAGACGTGATAAAGCGCTGAATAATGCAAGTATTAATATTATTATTATTAATAATAAGTCTGGGTTTGCTCTTTGCTCAGTCGACAGAGCTGCTCGCAGCACAACAGCAGGACACTCTCAAACGGCAGAGTTATAAAACCTGACACCCCTAAGCACTCGGGTGTAAAGCCTCATCAACAAATGCGCTTTCTAAGTATAAGATTAAACATGAAATGAACAAGGGCACGGCCTCTCCGGTTCCCTGAGGGGATGCCGGCCGTGCCTGAGCTGTTAGGAAGAGTGTCAGCTGCTCTGTGTGCGCGCTGCGCTAACCAGTAACACAATCTCGCGGCTTATTGTCTCAGACTCTCGGGGCTAAGCAGTCATCTCAGGTATCAAGGTCCGACCACCAGGCAAGGCTTAGCTTACCTTTCTGTGTATAAAGTTATATGTGTATATGTAGAAAAGACCTGCAGTACTTAAAGACGTGACTCATTTGCTGTTTGTCCCCTATTCCGTGTCAATTCAAGTGCACGAGAGAGAGAGTGAGGATCACATGTATTTCTTTACATGGCCCGTCTCTATAAAACTGACCTTAGATTCTCATTCGGTTCCTGATTATCATCTACTACTCCCCCGCCGCTCCCCCCCACCGCCGCCCAACTCACACACACTTACACTACACACATTAACACACACACGCTCACACATACTCGCACATACACACACTCTCAGACACACACTACCACACACACTCCCACACACACACTCACATATGCACACACTCTTAACACATACACAATCTAACACACAGCCTCACAAACACACATACTTACACACCGCACCAATGCACTCTCACACACACATACATACTCTCTCTCACACACACACACACACCAATACACTCACATGCACACACTCATATATACACACTCTTAACACGTACACAGTCTAACACACACACTCACAAACACCAATACACTCACACACACCACACTCACACATGCATACACAGTGTTGCATGTCTAGACATCAGGTTAGGAATAGGGTCATGATCGGCCATGACAATGGTTTTAGATTGAGATATTTTTCTCTCTTGTCGCTAGGTGCAAAAATATTTTACGTGGGTGTGTGTTTGGGGGTGGGGGAACAGTCAGCAGGCACACAGCTCACAGCGAGATCGCTAAACACACATTTAGCTCAGCAGTAGGCTCGGTCTCACCAGGAAGGTTTAATGACAGTTTAATTGTGGGGGCGGTGTTTCTGTATTTTAAGTCGGTTTAATTACACTAAAGACCTCGAACTGTAAAGCTCGTCCCCTTTGTGGGTTTGGGAGCAGACGGGAAGTTTTAATCCTGGTCTTTTATGTAACTCCCTGCCTCGAATTACATCATAGCTCTTCACAGGGGGTTAATGAAACATAGGAACAGGAGGGGGCCATTCAGCCCCTCGAGCCTGTTCCGCCATTCTGTAAGATCAAGGCTGATCTGTACCTCAACTCCAATTATCCGCCTTTGCCCCATATCCCTTGAGACCCTGACCTAACAAACATCTATCCACCTCAGTCTTGAAGATGTGATCCACAGCCTTTTAGGGGAGGGAGAGAGTTCCAGATTTCTACTACCCTGAACAGTGTCGGGATTTGAAGGGAAATGCACAGCATATCCCACACACCCGGCCACGCTGTGAACAAGTGGCCTGACTGGGGGATTATGCCCTCAGCTTTATACAGCTTTAGATACAATGCAGTGTGCCAGTGAAGCCATTAAAGCTGGAACACACACACACACACACACAGTTACTGCATCACTCACATACACACACACGCTCACTCGATCACCCCACTCGCTCACACCCACTCACACACACACATTCATACCCACACATACACGCACATTCATTCAATCACACACTCACTCAATCACACACTCACTCAATCACACACTCCTAAACCCACTGGCTCACTCTCACTGGCACCCACCCGCGCTCACACACTCACTCACTCACACACACAAACACACTCACTCACCTACTTACTCACTCACAATCACCTACCCACTCAATCAATCACTCACTCGCTCACACACACACACACAACCACGTACACACACACACCATGTGATAATTTCAATCCAAATCTATTTTGAGGTGTAATCCATCCAGGTTGCCCACAAGGTGACTGATAAACAGCAGTGAGTGCTGCAAACCCCAGAGCCACCTTCATTCGACAACAACTTGCGTTTATATCACGCCCTTCACACGGGAACAGCGTCCGGGGGGGTGGGGGGGCATTTATCGAAGCCCAGAGACCAGGCACGTTATTCACATTGGCTCCATGTGGGAGACAAGCCCTGACAGAGCCATGGTAACGGCTGTTGGCTATGGCACTGGGCTATCTACCGCCTACAGTGTGTAATTAGGTTGTAATGGGATCAGCGTCAGACACCAGGACAGGCAGATGGGATCTCAGCAATGTTCCCATTTAAACAAAGTTTAGTGATCTGGGGCCGGGGAGGGGAAGAGCAGGTTGGCTGTTTTGCGTTGGCGAGGTTACAACAACAACTTGCAGGGTAGAGTCTCGGAGGGCTTGACAGTGGCAGAGCCTGACACCGAGCTGGGGTGGTGGGTGGTGATTTTCTGCCACCCACACAGAGCCCCTGGGCCTCACTCCCTCCCTCGCCTCCTTCAAGGCCCGTCTCAAGACCCTCCTCTTCCACCGTGCCTTCAGTCACCCTCCTAACCTCCACCCCCTCCTGATCCCAACCCCCAGCTCGGGTCCAAGTCTCTGACTCACCAGCGCCTCGGGACGTGAAAGAGGCTGCTGCGTGAAGGTCAATTGTCGTTGTTGTCTCCTCCTCACTTTGGTGGCTACTGGCTGCCTTGCCCCCCTCCTTCCCCTATCTTCAGGTCTCGCCTGAAAAACCATCCTCTCCCGACCGTGCCTGTGGTCACCTTCCCCCTTCCCCCACCCCACACCCCCGGCTCGGGGTCGTGTCCACCACTGACAAGCGCTCTGGGGCCCTACCGTGCGTGAGGAGGCGCTGTGCAAAGGCACTTGGACGTGGTGGTGACTTTGCTGTGGATGGTTTGCCCCCACAGATTGCTCTTTACGAAGGTGAAGCTGGAATCGATGTGCAGGGGCCCTGATGAAGCACTTCTCACCTGTAAACACATGCTGCAGATCTGGAAATCCTGCTACAACCTGACGAACCCCAGGTAAGCGCAGTGAGTGAGGGCCCTGCTCCCTCACAACACAGACCACGACAGGGGCATCTCCAGCAACAAAACAATCACCCTACAGCATAGTGAGTGGTCAGTGCGTTCGCCTCGCAAGCAAGAGGACCCGGGTTCGATTCCCGGGCAGGGCCAAACCTTTGGCAAGTTTCCTTACTCCTCTCACACGCCACTGTTTACCCAGCGGTAAGCAGGAACTCGATTGTTAGGCGACCGGTGGATTGCTTTCCAGGTCTAACGATCCCTTCAAAATAAAATAATAATCATTTTATTCTCACTCGATCCACGACTGTTTGCGGGACGCCGCTGTGCGCAATTGGCTGCCGTGTTGCACCCACAAAATACACTGTCACTCCACTTTTACAGTATATCCCGTGAAGCGCTTTGAGACGTCTCGACGACGTGATAAGGCGCCGTATCAAATGCAAGGATTATTATTATTATTGTTGTTGTTATTGTCAGGGAGTGAAGTCTGCTCGTTCTCTTGCCCGGCTCTGTTCTACATGACTAGGATGTCTCTGTTGGGGAGGTTTTGATTGAAGCGAGCGCTGTAACGTGAGACATTATAATGTGCTTTAATGAGCTGCTGCTGCTTCTCATCTTGCCCCCGTGTGTAAGTGGAACTGCCAGCTGGTTAGTCAGTGGAAACGCTGAGCCTCCAGTGCTCTGACAGTGAGGTGCTTTTTGTTTGTCGCACTCGGTAACATCTCCCAATGGCTGTCTTAGTCGTGTTAAAGACTTTGCTGGCTTCCAACCTCCCTGTCCTCTGTTCTTCTACAACTCCCATTTTTAAAGCCCTCTCTACAGTCTTGCTCCTCCCTACCTCTGCATCCTGTTAATCTTAACAACATGTCAACCTACCCGCCCCCTCTGCTCAGCGGGCACTGGCCTACTCCACGTCCCCTGCCCACCCCACCATCGGCGATCGGGCCTTCAGATTTTCTGCCCCCACCTGCTGGAACTCCATCCCCAAATCCCTCCGACGTGCCTAGTCCCCCTCCCTCGGCTCCTTCAAGGCCGTTCTCAAGACCTTCCTCGTTGACCGCGCCTTTGGGCCACACTCCCATCACCACTCGGCCTGCCCTCTACGCCTTTTGATTTCAGCCCCCTGCTCGGGTTGCAAACCCTTACCCATCCAAAACTTCGGGATGTCCTCCTGCCGTGAAAGACGCTCGCTGTGCAAATCTTATTTATTGTTGTTGGCGTCACCCCTTGTGAAAGCCTTGCCAGGAGAATGGGGGATAGGGGTTGGGGTGGGGGGCGTGGCTCGCTGATAGTGATGGGCGGACCAACAGAGTAATTTGCGTTCCCCGACATGGCTGAGATGAGCTCGCTTAGCACAGAGCGACTCTGGGACAGACCCACAGGGTGTGTGTGTTTGCCATTGTCCAGCGTTAAGACTCGGGACCAAACTTTGGCTGTTGTACTGAGTTGCTGTTTGTTCAGCGCATTGTACAGTAACGGGGCCTGGAGTCACCTCGGGCACAGCGGCAGCTGGTGACAATGAGGCTGTGTGTGGCGCAGTGAGATGGTTCTGAACCGGCGGGGATGTTGGCGCTTCTTCCAGAGACGGCTCCGGTAAACAATGCTGCTCCAAACAGCTGTCACCAGCCTCACAAGTTTACTTGGGTTGATACACTGAATGCGAGCGGTCGCAACTACACCACAAAGTTCCTCTCCCCGCAGAGCTCGGTCCTGGGGGTGGCTGGGAGAACATCTGCAGAGAGGAGGGCACCAGTTCTGTCCATTCAGTGTGGCCACTGGAGATTACACACACTCCCGCTCCATACATACGCACAGACATATGCACGCACAGTCCATATGTACACCCACGCACACTCCATACACCCACACACACACACACTCCATACACACACTCCATACATAAACACATACATACACGCACACACGCACGCGCACACCATACACAAGCGCACACTCCATACACACACATACACGTATACGTACTCACATATGCGCGCATACTTCATACATACACACATGTCCGCACACACACCTCAAGCTAAACCTTTGCACCATTGATGTCCTACAGTCAGCCATGAAATGAATGAGCAGTTTTATTAAGGGGTTTGTCGTCCAGGAACCAGGAGAGAGAAACTCCCTTCTGTTTTTGAATAGCGCCATGGGATCTTTAACGTCCACCGGGACCTCAGTTTCATCTGAAGGATGGCACCTCCAGCAATAATAATAATATTCCTTGCATTTGATATAGCGCTTTTCACGTCTTCGAGACGTCTCAAAGCGCTTCACAGAATATACTGTAAAGTGAATTGACTGTATATTTGTGGGTGAAACGCGGCAGCCAATTGCGCACAGCAATGTCCCACAAACAGTCGTGGATTGAAATGACCAATTTATTATTGTTTTGTTTTGGAGGGATTATTATTAGGGGTGTGGAGTAAGGAAACTTGCCCAAGGTTTCTCCCTGCCGGGAATTGAACCCAGATGTCTCGCTTGCAAGGCGAGTGCTCTAACCACTGAGCTCCACTGCTCCACGAGTGCTTCCCCCAGCATCGCATTGGAGTTTCAGCCAAGACTATGAGTTAAAAGTCAACAACAACAACTAGCAATTTTATAGCGCCCACTATGCAGGTTAGTGTCCCATAGCGCTTACAAGTCCTCTGGTGGGGGAATCCAGAACAAGGGGCGTAATCATAAAATTAGATCTCGGCCATTTAGGAGTGAAATCATGAGGTAGTTTTTCACCCAAAGTGTAGTGGAAATCTGGAACTCTCTCCCTCCCCAAAAGGCTGTGGATGCTGTATCCATTCACATTTTCCAGACTGAGGTGGATAGATATTTGTTAGATCAGAGTATCGAGGGATATGGGGCAAAGGCGGTTAAGTGGCGATGACTGCAAATCAGCCTTGATCTTGTAGAATGGCGGAACAGGCTCGAGGGGCTGAATGGCCTACTCCTGTTTCTATGCTTGAAACCACAAGCTTCAGGGACAAGTGTGCTATTCACTGAACCAAGCTCACACCCAGTACCCGCTCTTCACAGAACAACGTGTCCAAAATCACAAAATATTGTTGCTTTGGGAACTCTCTATAGATAATTATTTGGGGAGGACAAGTTTGCAGGGCACTGGGGAGAGAGCGGGGTGGGGGGGGTGAGATTGAATTGGAAGCTCTTTTCAAAGAGCCGGCACAGACACGATGGGCCGAATGGCCTCCTTCTGTGCTGTATTGATTTTAACTCGAGTAGAAAACAGAGCCTTGAAGGTACCTGCTATACAAATTGAATTGTTGTTGGTTGTTGTTGTTGACATTAAGGCTGGATAGATCTCAGGATCTCTCTGCCTCCCCGGCTCAGACAGCTGCCGAGGGGTTACTTTGTGAGCTGATGCACCGGCTCTCATAAAGATCTCGGATGTGGAGGAGCCAGTGTCTGGCTTGAGCAGATGCCACACAGAACTGTTTCACAAACTCCTTGAGTGATGGTACGTCTCATCAGTTCAGGTTAATGCCGCCCGTGTTAAACAGTTGACTGCGTGTACTGTAATGTGCAGCGAGCTTATCGTGTGCAGCGAGCGTGTGCTATGGATGGGGCCCAGTAGGTGGATGTGGTTGCTGTGTTTAGTGCTAATGAACAGCTCTGTGCCTAATGCTGCTGTTTCCCTGTGGATTCTCACCACCACGGCGCTCTCTTAATGGCTGAAAATTGCCTCCCCGTCATTCAGGAGGGGATTTGGCTCACTCCGAGCGAGAGCTGGCCTGAACTGAGAATAACGTTCCCAGAACATAACATATATTTAACCCCTCATGTCTCACCGAATTCAAGTGCACATTTGTCACTCGCATCAAGAGCATGACAGGCGGCCACAGTCCATGGCACTGGGTTAGACGGTTGTGGGTTCGAGCCTCATATCAGCACTTTCAGTTCATTTTCCAGGCTGACCCACCTCACCATCGGCGGTTGGGCCTCCAGACTCTCTTCCCCCACCCTCCGGAACTCCATCCCACAGTCCCTTCACCTCGCTCCCTCCCTCGCCTCCTTCAAGGCACGACTCAAGACCCTCCTGTTCGACCGTGCCTTCAGTCACCCTCCTACCCCTGCCCTGCACCCCTCCTGATCTCAACCCTCAGCTCGGGTCCGAATCCCTGACTGTCCAGCGCCTTGGGACGTCCTCCCGACATGAAAGGCAACGTGCAAATGTAATGTGTTGTCGCTGTTGCTGACGCTCCAGTGCAGTGCAGTGCTGTGCTGAGGAGATCACAGCATTGTTGGAGGAGTTATGAGAAGTTAAAAGAGAATTTATAAGAAGTTCGGATGAGCCGTTAAACCGAGATCCCGTCTGCCTGTTCAGGTGGACGTTAAAGATCCCATGGCACTATTCGAAAAGAGAAGGGAGTTCCTCTCTCTCTCTCTCTCTCTGTCTCTCTATCTCTCTCTCTCTCTCTCGCTCTCGGTGTCCTGGCCAAAAATCCCCCAGATATAATTGGCCACTCACCCCATGGCTGCTTGTGGGGGTGTTGTGTACACAACTCGGCTGCCGCTAAATCAGATGGGAGGACTATAATGATTTAGATTGGATTATTTCAGGCTCACGTCCTGGAGAGAGAGAGAGAGAGAGAGAACTGAAGAGCTGGGTCATTGTTTACACTTTAGCGTGTAGTTCCCGGTGATGCCCAGTGGGGGCACTATTGCCCCCAGCTCAGGGGCCTCCTCATTTCATTCTCTCGCCTTGAGAAATTATTAGCAGACGTAGCAAGACACAGCGAGAGATCAGGTTGATTTTGAACTAGAGGCCACGTTCATCAATTAGTGTCAATAACAATAACTTGGTCACTCATTCCACGACTGTTTTTGGGGCGCTGCCGGGTTTCGCCCACAAATATACAGTCACTTCACTTTACCGTGTGTCCCGTGAAGCGCTTTGAGACGTCTCAACCAAGCGATAAGGCGCCGTGTTAAATCAAAGGATAATTATTGTTATTATTATCACCACAACAAAAATGAGGAGGTTGTAAGATTCCTGTTCACAGAGGCATGTTAGAATGGGGAGTGCCTTACAACAACAACAAAAAAAACAACAAAAATTACATTTGTGTAAGTCACATCGGGAGGACTTGCCCACAAATATGTGGCATCCCATTCCGCAGCGATAGTTTATCAGCGAACATGTAAATACTTCAGGAAAAAATGTACTATTAAGGGGTAAAGAACAGGGGAATGTGGTTAGAGTAGAGAGCTCAGCGGGGGAGCAAGCCCCAGCGCAGACACAATGGGGGGAGAGCAGGGAATGGGGTTAGAGAGCTCTAGTGGGGGAGCGAGCCCCAGCGCAGACACAATGGGGGGAGAGCAGGGAATGGGGTTAGAGAGCTCTAGTGGGGGAGCGAGCCCCAGTGCAGACACAATGGGGAGAGAGCAGGGAATGGGGTTAGAGAGCTCTAGTGGGAGAGCGAGCCCCAGCGCAGACACAATGGGGAGAGAGCAGGGAATGGGGTTAGAGAGCTCAGCGGGGGAGCGAGCCCCAGCGCAGACACAATGGGGAGAGAGCAGGGAATGGGGTTAGAGAGCTCTAGTGGGAGAGCGAGCCCCAGCGCAGACACAATGGGGAGAGAGCAGGGAATGGGGTTAGAGTAGAGAGCTCCAGTGAGAGGTGGGTGGGGGGTAATTCAGATTAACAGTGACAGGATCTGCTGTTTAGACTCTTGACTTTGGAGTCTGACTTTTATACAGTTGACCTTTTTGAGATGACGTATCAAGAGGGAAAGATCGATGAATTGTGATCGTCCTGTTTATATCCATGATATTGAAGAGTGAAAGCAGTCACCTGGGGCTCCGTGTGACAATCTATAATGGGTTGAGTGGGGGAGGACAGGAGTGGGGGTGGGGGCAAAGTTGTGGATGAAGAGATCCTGTCTCAGACCTATTCAGCATTGGCCTTAAAGATTGTTATTAGTTACCCTGGAACCAGTGCTGCGGCCACACGGAGCAGTTGACCTAAATTACTGAGGACAGATACTGCAGCAATGGATACACATTAATAGTTGATGAATTTGTGGAGATTAATATAGATGCTTTGTGTGGTCACTGTGGTCCTGAAGATAGTTCATCTGTCCTGGAAACACCATCTGATCTATACTGCCCTGTATTAGCCCACTTTACATATACAATACCAGGGAGCTGGTGTGACTAAACATAACAATAATAATCCTTGCAATAAGAGCAGAAGTCACTAGGAACACTCAGCAGGTCAGGCAGCATCTATGGAGAGAGGCACGTGAGTTAAAGTTTCATCCGAAAGGTCATCAACCTTCAAGAATAATAATCCTTGGGTTTGATACAGCGCCTTATCACGTCTTCTAGACGTCTCAAAGCGCTTCACAGAATATACAGCAAAGTGAATTGACCGTGCGATTGGGGCGAAACGCGGCTGCCAATTGCGTCACAGCAGTGTCCCACAAACAATCCTCCCACTTGCCAGGCAAGCGCGAGATGTCAGCTTTTTATCGCTTCACAATTTCCCGAGGAACTCTAAAAACATTTGCAAAGAAACACGCCAATAGCAGGAATCCTTTGGAGCTCTCTGCGCCAATCCCATTCCCACCCTCTTTCTCGAACGCCTATCGTTTTTGCTTCGTAATTTGCCCATTATCCAGTCGGCTTTAGAGATACAATACAAAATTAAATTTGTATAGAACCTTTCACACCGAGAGCACGCCCCAAGGTACTGGCTGGTACATGCTCAGCCCTGTCTCGCTCTGGGCTGTGTACATTTGATCAGAAATCGCTTCCGGACACCGCCTTTGCCTTGGTGCTAATGCTGTCTTTGCTGTCTTGTCTCTTGCAGTGATTCTGGCCGAGGAAGCAGCCTGTTGGATAGAGTTATAGCTGACCGACGGAACCTGAACACCATCACCCTGCCCGACTTCAGTGACCCCGAGACAGGTAACCCAGCCCCGGCTTCACTGGCATCTGGCCCCTCACTGAGCAGTTGTTGATCGGGGTTCTAGAGCACCTGGAATTCCTTCCTACGCATTGTTTACGCATACGTTTGCACATGGAGTCCCATAGCTCAGTGGGTACAGGGCTCACCTCGCAACCTAGAGGACCCGGGTTCCATTCCTGGGCCAGGACGAAATCTTTGGCAAATTTTTCTACTCGACACGCCTCTATTCACCTAGCAGGAAATAGGAACCCGGTTGTTAGTCGGTTGGCAGTTCACTTTCCAGGGGTAATAGTCCCTCCGAAAGAAATTTGGTTGCTCAATCCACAACTGTTTGTGGGACACTGCCGTGCACAAATGGCTCCCGCTTTTCACTCACAAATACACAATCAATTCTCTTTACAGTATATTCTGTGAAGTGCTTTGAGACACCTCGAAGATGTGATAAGGGGCTACATCACATTTAATGATTATTATTATTATACAATTGCAAATGAGAAATAATAGAACTGATGACAGACCCTGTTAGAAATAAAGGATAGAGGGTGAAACGTTTATTCCAAGTGATCCCATAAAGAAGAAAATCCCTTGCGGAGCCTCCCCAGCTCGTCTGTACCCAGTCAGTCTCCAAGTCGGCAAAGTAGAGGAGCCCAGGCAAGGCGAAGGGGGGGGGACAGGGGAGAGGACACTGTCTTCTGTGCCCAGTACAACAGCAACAATAACAAAATTACATTTGTAAAGCATCTTTCACATCAGGAGGACGTCGCAAGGCGCTGGACAGTCAGAGTTTCAGACCTGAGCTGGGGGTCGGGGTCGGGGAGGGTGGAGGGTAAGGGGGAAGCAGGGAGATCGAAAGGGTGGTGGAAGCCAACTCAATGATAATAACTTTGGAGTTGCAGAGGGTGGGGGCAAAGTGGCAGAAGGACCGCCCATCAATAGTGGGGCGAGCAAGGCTGGGGACATGAAGCAGGCCGGAGTCAGCTGAACGGAGGGAGAGAACAGGGTGGTAGAGGGCTAGGAGGTCGCAGAGGTAGGGGGGAGCAAGACCCTGCAGGGCTTTGAACGTGAGGATCTTGAACTGTATCCTCTGTGTGATGGGAAGCCAGTGGAGTCGGGCGAGGATGGGGGTGATAGGGTCGTGGAGCCCGGTGCGGGAGAGGACACGGGCTGCAGAGTTCTGGATGATCTGCAGCCATGGGAGGGAGGAGTCGGGGAGGCTGACAAGCAGGGAGTTTGCGTAGTCAATCCTGGATGTTATGAATGTGTGTATGAATGTGAGGATCTTGGGGGCCTGCGGTGTGAGACAGTGGCGGAGCCGGGGGATGTTGCGGAGGTGGGGGAAGGCAGAGCGGGTCATGCCACAGATGTGGGGTAGTAAGGATAGGTGAGGGTCAAACAAGACCGAGGATGGGGTCGGGGGCTATAGAGGAGAAGCCGTTTGTGGAGATGAAGTGGAGGCCGTGTGAGAGGTACAATCTGAACCAGTCAAGGACAGAGCCATGAAGGTTGAGGTGAGAGGAGAGGCGGTGGAGGAGGATAGAATGGGTCGATGGTGTCGAAGGCAGCAGAAGGTCAAGGAGGACGAGGATGCAGAGGGAGCCCTGATCGCAGATAGTCAGAATGTGATTGAGAGTATTTAAATAAAATAAAAAGCAATCCTCGGGACTTTAATTCCCCTTTTAACAACATAAAAGCACAGCCCCCGAGGCCAGGAAAGTTGCTGGGGCTATTTTTAGACGCCCAACATGGAAAACAGCGAGTTGTTTTGAATGTGTCGGGTGGCGACCTGTTTTGCAGGGCCTGTGAGAGTGACGTCACTCAATAACAGACTGTTGGTTTGTACAGCACGAGCTGCCGCCTGAGTCAGGCTCCCATTAAACAGCATTGTGCCGCCTGCCATGTTTGGAGACTAATTAAAAACAAACAGCTCGTTACTGCTGCTCCCGGCTCTGACAGTCAGGGCAAACTCGCCCTCGGTATGGAGCTCTCCGAGACACTATCCTGCGCGAAGAGCGCTGTGTAAATGCCAGTTGTCATTGTTGACAGTACTGCAGACCACTGTTCTGCCAGTGACCTTCCTTACTAGTAACCTGTTCCAGTCGGTAATTACTCTCTGGGTAGAAAAAAACCTTCCTGGTGTCTGTCCTGAAATCGCCCTTTGCGATAAACCTGTGTCCTTCTTGTTCCGCTGTTTAGGTGCATCCGAAAGTATTGTTCTGGGTTTACTTTCTCAATCCCATAAAATATTATAATAATAATCCTTCCAGTTGATATAGTGTTGTTCACCTCTTGAATTATACAGTAAACCTCACATAAGTGGTATCATTTAATATGACTTATGCAAAGCATGAGTTATGTCAAACCTGCATAGAATATAAACTCTTAACCGGGACTTGGGCTCATTATAACTTATGCAATTATGCAATTTGTACAGATCAGACTTGCTATAGACCTCACTAAGTCCTGAGACTGTTTATCCCTTGAGGAACTGGGGGAAGCAGTTAATATTGACCTTGGTTTCCTGAGAAACTGGAATAAAAAGTACGTATTTAGTAATAATAATAATGCTTGCGTTTGATACAGCGCCTTATCACGTTTGCGAGACGTCTCAAAGTGCTTCACAGGATACACTGTAAAGTGTAGTGACTGTATTTTGTGGGCGAAACGCAACAGCCAATTGTGCACAGCAGCGTCCCCACAAACAGTCTTGGATTAAGTGGCCATATTATTAATATTTGTAATTTATGTATTTGGTATTCGGTAAGGTATTAGTTGCAGTGTGTTCCACTAGTCAGCAACAGGGAGGATAAGACTATTGTTCCGATTTCCCCCCTCCTGCGTAAGGCACCGCTGTGTGTCTCAGGACAATTATCAAGATGAAAAGAAACCTCTGATCTCTTCTCCACCTAGTAATGTGCAGTGTTATGACCGTGGCTGTACGACTGATCACAGTGCTTGTCTCTCAGTGACCTGCCCTGAAGTGGGAGCCGTCTGCCGTCTAATTGCACCGCGCAGTGAGAGGAAATGTGAGCCCGCTCAGCCTCTCGGACCATACTCAGACACCCCTTTCCGTTCTGTTCACTTTATAGTCACTTTCTCTCTCTCTCACAGCTCGCAGATTAAGCACCAGCTCGCGGCTGTACTCGGTGCGAGACAAACTGCTGGTGAGACAATAATAATAATAAATCATCCTCGCATTTGATTATAGCGCTTTTCACGTCTTCTAGACGTCTCAAAGCGCTTCACAGAATAGACTGTAAAGTGAATTGATTGTATATTTGTGGGCGAGACAAGACAAGGGGAGATAGACTTGCTGGGGGGGGGGTGGTGTGTGGAGGGTGGGGGACAGTGACAGTGGGTCAGACACTAGACTCCATGTTGCATTGCAGTGGACTCATTGGGCACCAGTTTAGCACCACTCACTATGGAAACCTTAACCTTCTCCCTGCTCCCAGCAGCCTGGTGGGTGGACTGGCAGCACGGCGTGTCAGTGACACACTCCCTAACGGTGGCATTCAGTGGAGTAACATAATAACATCATCCGTGCGTTGGATATAGCGCCTTATCGCGTCTTCGAGACATCTCAAAGCGCTTCACAAAATTAATTGACTGTATATTTTGTGGGCAAAATGCGGCAGCCAATTGCGCACAGCAGCGTCCCCACATTCAGTCGTGGATTGAGTGACCAGTTTTTTTTAAAAAATTGTTTTGAAGGAATTATTATCCCCGGAAAAGCAATCTGCCAATCGACAGAATTCCTACTTACTGCTGGTAAACGGAGGCGTGTGGAGAAAGGAAATTTCCCCAATGTTTCGTCCTGCCCGGGAATCAAACCCAGGTCCTCTCGCTTGGGAGGCGAGTGCTCTAACCACTGAGCTACAGGACTCACTCCACAAACATACAGTGCTTGCAGTTTAGCTCTGCGACCAGTGAAAGGTGTGGTTCCGTGTCCTGAGGGATCCACTGTCTATCCAATTTACTCTCCCTCGAGCACAGGCATCTTTCAAATGAATTATTTAAGGTTTGTCTTATCTTGAACTCGGAGCAGATCATGGATTTCAGCTCCCGTTAATGAGCCCCACTGGCGAGAAAAGGATCTGTGTTTCCTAGTACACAGATAATCACAGGGGATAGATCACTCAGCTCAGCTCGTAAACTGTTCAAAAATGTCTGACGCCCTTCTCCCAATCCCCCCACCCCGCACGCCCCCCCATTTGAACTACATTGTTAACAATGGCAATCATCATCCCCCCCCCCACCCCCGGCCCCCAGTGTAATCATCTCCCACCTTACCTTACATTCCATAGTATACTGACTGCTCCTCCGTCTGGTCTTTAAGCGCTCTGGGACGCTACGCTGCATGAGGGGCACTGTACAGAATCAAGTTGTTGTCGTTTGTCTGTTCCACTCCCTTCAACCTCTGCACCCGTTCTCTTTTTCCAAGAGCACTTTACTTTCCACACCCTGTTTCCTGTAATATGCAGTGTTGTTGGTTCGGTATATCTCTCTCTGTTTCTTTCCCCCTCTCTCTCCAACCCCCCCTCTTCTCTCTTCCCCCCCTTTCTCTCTCCCCGTGCTCTCTTCTCTCTCAGTTTATGTATTTTGCTGCGGTCCCTCTCCTATTACATTCAGACCTCAATCAATAGAAAACAGAAGTGTATTAAAATGTTTTATTGATCGCAGTGTTAACTGCTCAGTCAAGTCAAGCTATCTGAAGGGAAAAAATAAGTCATTCGGGGTATTAAATGATGCATGAGGCACAATCAATCTTAAACTGTGTGTTTATTGTATATCTTAGTCACCGTCTAAACCACTGACATTTTATAGGCATTTTTAAACTGTTCTTAACATCCTTCAAACTATCTAATAAAAAATAATCTTTATATGTGATCCAGCAACTTATCACGTCATCAAAACAACTCAAAGCGCTTCACAGGGTTTTACTCTAAAGCGCAGTGACTGTGGTATTTTGTAGGCGAAGGCAGCAGCCATATTGCGCACAGCAGCGTCCCGCAAGCAGCCGTGAAGTGAGTAACTTAATTTTATCTGAAGGTAAATGCCTGTGCAGTAAAACTCACACAAGTCTTAAATCGTATAATCGTATAATCGCCTGAGTCGCCCATCCACCTGAGTCCCATTCCGTTTCCTATCGTAACGATTTAAGCTTCTTTGCAGGACTCGTATTATTCACCTCCTAACTCGTAACGCTGCTCCTCTACCCTCCATTACTCACGTAGTTACCATCTGCATTGAATTGCAGGAAGCATAGTCTTGACCCGGCTCGGCGTTGTGCTCCATCACTGTCAAGGGCTCTGGGCCGCTGCCCTACATGAGGGGCGCTGTGCAAATGCAAGTTGTTGTTGTTGAGTTACACTGTGTGTGGGGGGGTGGGCGGGAAGGGGCTGTGTGTAGAGCCTACACACTGCTGCAGAGTCTGAGCCCGCTCGATGTTGATAAAGATGTTGATCTCTCTCTTACCTTTCTCTCCGCCTCAGGATCCATACACGCCACCTCAATCGCAGCCTCCAGGGTGGAGCAGGCACTGTCGGAGGTGGCCTCCTCACTACAGAGCAGCATGCCCAGACAGGGCCCTATGCATCCCTGGATGACCCTCGCCCAGATCTGGCTGCACGCAGGTAAGCCAAACACAGTCACTCGTTTCGCCTCCTCTCTCCTCGGGCTCCATCGCAAACAGCGCACAAAGTGTTCGCTGTTATTCACTCCAGCTTTAAATCCCACCCTTGTTACAAGACAAGAACTCAATCGATCGAAGGGCAGACAAGAGCCTCTGTTCTCAGTGAGATTCACCTTTGCCTTTTTGTCTGTCTGCCGCCAAAGGTCCTGTGACACTATTACATTTACACGGCGCCTTTCACATTGGGAGGACGTCCCAAGGCGCTGGAGAGTCACTGTTTCGGACCCGGGCTGGGGTTCTGGGTGGGGGATGGTGGAGGGAGGTGGGAATGGAGGATGATCGAAAGCACAGTCAAAAGGAGGGTCTTGAGATGGGTCTTGAAGGAGGCGAGGGAGGGGGCGAGGCGGAGGGATTGAGGGATGGGGTTCCAGAGGGTGGGGGCACAGTGGCAGAAGGCCCGCCCGCCAATAGTGGGGTGGGCGAGGTGCAGGATGGGAAGCAGGCCGGAGCCCGCTGAGCGGAAGGAGCGAGCAGGATGGTAGGGGGTTAGGAGGTCGCAGAGATAGGGGGGAGCAAGGCCATGGAGGATTTTGAAGGTGAGGACCAGGATCTTGAACTGTATCCTCTGTGTGATGGGAAGCCAGTGGAGTCGGGCGAGGATGGGGGTGATAGGGTCACGGAGCCCGGGGTGGGAGAGAACATGGGCCGCAGAGTTCTGGATGATCTGCAGCCTGTGGAAGGAGGAGTTGGGGAGACCGACAAGCAGGGAGTTTACGTAGTCAAGCCTCGATGTTATGAGTGTGTGTATGAATGCGAGGATCTCGGTGGCCGGCGGTGTGAGACAGTGTCGGAGCCGGGCGATGCTGCAGCGGTGGGAGAAGGCAGAGCGGGTCATGGCCCGGATATGAGGGGTCAAACAAGACACCAAGGTTCCGGACTGGCTCAGTGAGGTGGATTGTGCAACTATGGATAGTGATGCTGTCAGCGCCTGAGGTGTGGAGGCGCTGATGGAAATCGATCAGGAGGGCCTCGGTCTTGCTGACGTTCAACTGAAGAAAGTTCGCACTCATCCAGAACTCGATGTCTGACAGACATTCTGTCAGGACAGCAGTGGGTCCTGGAATCAAGGGAGAAAGGTAGAGTTGGGTGTCATCCGCATACATGTGGAAGTTGACCCCATGTCTGCAGATGATGTCACCAAGAGGGAGTATATAGATGTTGAAGAGGAGGGGACTAAGGACAAAGCCCTGAGGAACACCACACGAGATGGTACGGGGGCTATAGAGGAGAAACCGTTTGAGGAGATGAAGTGCAGGCGGTGTGAGAAGTACAATCTGAACCAGTCAAGGACAGAACCGTGAAGTTTGAGGTGAGAGGAGAGGCGGTGGATGAGGATAGAGTGGTCGACGGTGTCAAAGACAGCAGAGAGGTCAAGGAGGACGAGGAGACAGAGGGAGTCCTGGTTGCAGTTGGACAGAGTGTCATTTGTCACTTTGACCAGGCGGTGTCTGTGCTGTGGGCGGCACGGAAACCTGATTGGAGGGGTTCGAGAAGGGAGCGGCGGGAGAGGAAGGAGCGAAGCTGGGAAGCAACAACTCATTCCAGGACCTTGGAGAGGAAGGAGAGGTTGGAGATGGGGCAGGAATTTGAGAGCAGGGATGGGTCCAGAGACGGTTTTTTAAGGATAGGAGTGATGACAGCGGTTTTAAGGGTTGGGAACAGCACCAGAGGATAGGGAGATGTTTGAGTAAGGAGGTGGAGCTGGGAGGTAAGGAGAGGGGTAAGGATGGGGTGGAGCCAAAGAACTCCTGCCCCCCCCCCCCAACCACTCCAATTGAACGCCGATTGAGCCCACTCGCCTGGATTGGACAAAACAGGGTTTTCCCTCTGTTTTTTGCAGTCACGTTTGGCGATCTCCTCACGTACATATATCACCGCAGTTTGTGGGATGTTGCTGTGCACAAATTGGCTGCTGTGTTTGACTAAGAAACAGTCACTTGATAACAAACGCCTGTAAGACACTTGATAAGAATTATCCTTGCATTTGAAATAGGGCCTTTCACGTCAGGATTTTCCTTCAAGTGCAGCGATTGCAGTGATTGTAATAGAGCAGGTTAGGGCTATATATATAATATATAATATAGTATATATATTATGTATATATTATTATATAATATATAATATAATATAGGCGCTATATTAAATACAAATTATTATAAGAACAATTTTTTTTATTAATATAACCCCAAAGACACCAAAAACACTCTCTTTCTAGTTAGCTTCTCAGCGCAGTGTCGCTTCACCTGGGATTGTGACATATAAACCTAGTTTCTCTTTACTCGTGCTGTTAGTGCCCTGGCATCTCCCTACCTCTCTGACATGCTTACCCCACAACCCACTGGCTCCGCGCAACTGGCTCCAGCCTTCTGCATGTCCCCCATGCCCTCCGTTCCACCATCGGCAGCCGTGCTTTCAGCCACTACGCCCTGAAACTCTGGAACACTCTTCCTCTATCCCGCCGGCTTGCCCCTTCCTCAGGTCCCGCCTGAAGACCTTCCTCTTCGGACATGCAAATGGTCACATTGTCCTCCCACCCCCCCCACCCCTGGCTCAGCATCGTGAGGGGCGCTGTGTAAATAAAGTACTTGAGCGTGGAGTCAGAGAGGTAGTGTGAGGCTGGAACAGGCAGTGGTTGGATTAAGGCCAGTGAGTGAAGTACTCAGGAACAGCTCAGCGACGACAGGCTGCCTTCTCGCCAGGAGGTCTGAAGGTGAAGGAAGGCAACCACACTCTGACAGAAGGTTTCTCACCAAACAGGGCCACGGTCTCAGGAATCCACTCACTGATTGATGCCCCTTCATATCACAGACGCTGCCACCGCTAGGAGCAGGTCACAAGCCCTGCTCAGAACCTGTGAAATTCACACCGTTTACTCTGCCAGTGTGGTTAGTCCAGGAAATGCTTCCTTACACACTTAACAGCTGGAGCAAAGTTACCTGAACGCTGGGAATCACACAAAAAACAGTATTGGGGAGACAGGAATGTGGGGATTCTGGCAGGTCCTCACTCTCTGTGACAATAATCTTTCGTTTGATACAGCGCCTTTCACATCAGAAGGATGTACAAAGTCCCGTAGCGTAGTGGTTAGAGCACTCGCCTCACAAGCGAGAGGCCCTGGGTTCAGTTCCCGAGCAGGGCGAAACCTTAGGCAGATTTCCTTATTTTATCCTATTGTAACCAATTGGCGGATCGCTTTAAAAATAATTCTTTTAAAAAATTTGGTCAGTGATTCCACCGCTGTTTCTGGGACACCTCTGCGCGCAATTAATTGGCTACCACGTTTCGCCCACAAAATATAGTCAATTGTGACGCAATTTGAGGCGTTTCAGCGATGTAATAAGGCGTTATATCAAATGCAAAGATCATTATTATTAACAATATTATGTTTCAAAGAGCTTCACAAGATCTTACTGTCAAGTGTAGCTCATATTGGGAAATTGAGTTTTAGAGTCGTGGCTGTACTTAGGGAGAACTACATTGTTGGATTGCCAGCCTCGGAATAAGATATTAAACGAAGGTTCTGTCTGTAAAGATGGACTTGAACGATCCTATGGCACTATTGGAAAAGAGACACAAATTTATTCTTTCACAATAAAAATGCAGCATTAACCTCGTGGCCATGTGTGTGGGACCTTTACTGTGTGCAAAATGGCCACTCACCCTACAGTGCATTCTTGAAGCGCTCTGAGACGTCTCGAAGATGTGATGAGGCACTATGTCAAATGCAAGGATTATTAGTAGTATTATTATTACGTTAGCCTGATAGAAGTCACTACATCGCACAGCGCTTCTCTGTGTAGCATTGATGTGTTCTGACGTGCCAGGCGCCAGATCAATGCAAGGAATCTTCTTAATATTGTTCTGAACTGAGCCAGTCTGCCAAAGGGAAGTTTAGTATTTGTGCCAAATTGGAAAGATTGTACCTGTGAGTGTGAGTCACGCAGGAAGGAAGGATGACAGCTTGAGGGGATGCGTGCCATGTGCTCCAGACACTCTTATCAATTTATTTATACATATACACACACGCACCCCACGTTTCCCCTCGACTCCCAACGCGCGAACTCCGTTTACGGGATGTGGGTTCTGCCTATAACAAAGCTGGTTTAGTTGCGTAAGTTCTGTCTCACCAGCACGATGTGCAAACAGATGTTCTGGTTCCACTTAATGAATACATTTGCGGTTGGGGGCGGGAGAGCCAATATGTGGGTTTGCCTGAGGTGTACGGATCCCAGCACATACCTCGGTCGTTAAGGTTAACCTGGTTTATGTAAACCTTGTGCAGTCCTGTAGAGCAGTGGTTAGTGCGCTCACCTCACACGCCTTGGGACGTCCTCCCGACGTGAAAGGCTCGCTATAAATGGAATCTTGTTGTTGTTGTTGTTGTGAGGACCAGGTTCGATTCCCAGGCAGGGCGAACCCTTCGGCAAGTTTCCATACGCCACACACATCGGCGGATCGCTTTCTGGGGGGGGGTAATAGTTCCACCAAAAGATAATTATAAAATAATAATTTGGTCACTCGATCCACAGCTGTCGCGTTTCACCCACAAAATATTACAGTCAATTCACTTTACAATATATTGTGTGAGACAGATGCTATATCGCTCTGAACTCCCTTCACGCTGTCCGCCATGAATGGCGCTATTTAAATGCAAGTTGTTGTTATATCAAATGCGAGGTTTATTATGATTATTATCTAGTTCCCCGGCTCCTCTAATGTGATCTTGAATAATGTAATATATATACTGTGTGCTGCTTTGAACCCAAATTTACTCAGAAAGCTGCTGTGTGCATCGCGCGGAGTTGGGTTGGACTTCACATGACCCAAAACATGGGGGTGGCATCAAGCTGGGCCAGATGTAAGAGATCAGAAAATAACTATGGAAATTGAGGGGGTGGGGAGTGGGCGATGGGGTGGGTGGGAGGTGGTTTAAGATAACATCACAGTACTGCTATTCAACAGTTCTGCACAATGTGGAAACCCGTTGCCGTGATCAGCCGGGTGTCTGACACACACAGAAACCCTTAACCATGATCAGCCGGGTGTCTGACACACGCAGCGACCCATCGCAGTGTGGCACTCCAGCACTCGCAGGGTTAACGCTGCGGATGAGAACATGGAGGAAGTGAGCACCTCCTGGTCGGAGGAGCGTGAGAAACACAGCCAGGGCTGCGCCTGCGTGGCTCCTGTTCGCTGTGTAAGTCAGTGATGCAAAGGCGATGTTCTCGTCAATATTAAAGTACAGCGGTCGAGCCAGTCACTAAAATAACCTGTCACAAAGCACATGGTGGAGGAGCTTTTTTGCTTCAGTGAATCATAATTTTGAGGCAGGGTGAATCTCAGAGATCACCGATTGACGTCAGACGATCAAACCCTCACACCCAGAGACGAGTGAGCTTTATAGCCTGACATCAAGAGACACTTATCGCTCCAAAGCCCTCAACTCGTCCTGTACAGCAGACGGTATTCTTTTGCTTATGTAAGCTACGTGTGTTTGTTTCTTGCAAGACCACAGTTGGTTGGTCTTCCAGCGAAACTCACCAACATTGGGTCAAACGACAGGAAGTGTTGCCAAAACCTCGGACCCACATATCCCATCCACGAGTAAGTTCCACCCATGTGACCTTATTTTTCCCCTCAACCGTGTGTCTTGATATTCGTGGAATCTCATCACTGCGATCAGCGGAGTGTCTGACATAAGTGGAAACCCATCACCGTGATCGTCTGAGGGTCTGACCCACGTGAAAGCCCATCACCGTGATCATTAGAGTGTCTGACACACGTGGAAACCCATCACTGTGATCAGCCGAGTGTCTGACGCCCGTGAAAGCCCATCACCGTGATCAGCTCAGATCCCACTGCAGGATTGAGCTAACAACCTTATACTGTTCCTTGCATTTGGTACTTGGTATAGCGCCTATCCCACTGCGCTTCACAGGATTTACTGTGAAGTGTAATGACTGTGCATTTGTGGATGAAACGCAGCAGTCGTGGATTGAGTGACCAAATTATTATTTTATTTCATTTTTTTGAATCGATTATTAACCCCCGGAAAAGTGACCCGCCAACCGACTAACAACCGGGCTCCTACTTACTGCTGGGTAAACAGAGGCGTGTGGAGTAAGGAAACTTGCCCAATGTTTCTCCGCCTGCCCGGGAATCGAACCCAGGTCCTCTCGCTTACGAGGCGAGGGCTCTAACCACTGAGCTACAGGACCCAGAGGTGGAAGAGAGTGCAAGCGGCTGAGCCCGGGCTGACTCAGGTCCTGTCTGTTTCTCCACAGCCGAGGTGTACATTGGTATCGGGAAGCCTGCGGAGGCCACGGCCTGTATCCAGGAGGCTGCCAACCTCTTCCCCACCTCCCACAACGTGCTGTTCATGCGCGGACAAGTGGCTGAACTCCGAGGAAACATAGAGGAGGCCAAGCGCTGGTACGAGGAGGCTCTGTCCATCAGCCCCACACACGTTAGGACCATGCAGAGACTGGTAAGTGCCTGCTTTACTGTGTGGTTTTAATACTTGAAGATATTTTAATGTACTGCTCGAAGGGTCACAGTGAAGCCAACTGAGTCAGAAGGTTGTAAGTTCGAAACCCCCCACACCCCCACCCCATCGGTGTCTAAGCTGACGCTCCGATGCAGCACTGGGGGGTTGTTGCATTATCAGAGCTGCCGTCCTTTGGATGAGACGTTAAACCGAGGTCCCGTTTGCTTGTTCAGTTAGATGTTAAAGATCCCGTTTGCGCTATTGGAAAAGAGAAGAGAGAAAGAGAGAGAGAGAGGAAAGTTAGTCAACGTTTCGGGTCCACGACCCTTCGTCAGAACTGGGACAGGTTGGTAGGGAGAGGCTCTTAAGGACTAACAGAGAGGGGGGAGGCAGGGCAAGGGAGACAAAGGAGAAAATGGGGTAGAGGGACAGGGGATGATGGGTTTAAAAAAGTGTTAATGATGCAAAACAAAAGGGAGGGGGGGGGTGGGGAGAAATTGCAACAAAATAGGTCGATCAGAGAGAAAAAAGATGTGCCTGGGACCCAGATGATGTGGTAATGGTCACAGGAGAGGGGAGGGGGAAGGTGAGCTGTTATGGTCTGAAATTGGGTCCCCAGCAGATAAATTAGGTTTTGTTCCTCGAACTTGCGCTATAGCTCATTGGAACAGCGTAGGAGACCATGGAGGTCAGAGTGCCAGTGGGAGGGAGGGTTGAAGTGGCAAGAAAGATGCTGGAAGATTCTCCATAGATGCTGCCTGACCTGCTGAGTGTTCCCAACGACTTGTGTTCTTGTTTCACATTTCCAGCAGCTGCAGTATTTTGGGTTTTGTTTATAATAATCCTGGCATTTGATATTGCGCCTTATCACGTCTTCGAGACGTTTCAAAGTGCTTTACAGAATATACTGTAAAGTGACTATATTTTGTGGGCGAAAGGCGGCAGCCAATTGCGCACAGCAGCGTCCCACAAACAGCCGTGGATTGAGCGACCAAATTATTATTATTATTTTTTGAAAGAATTATTACCCCCGGAAAAGAGATCGGCTAATCGACTAACAACCGGGTTCCTACTTACTGCCACGTAAACAGAGGCGTGTGGAGTAAGGAAAATTGCCCGAGGTTTCTCCCTGCCGGGTATCGAACCCAAATCTCTCGCTTGCGAGGCGACTGCTCTAACCACTGACTCCACTTAAAACATAAAACAATTGTCTCAACATTGCAAGGGCCTCAGTTGTGTTTGCCGATGGAATGGTTTGAGTCACAGGACGTGTCTGTGGGTGAAGCTACACGTGTAAGTACTGCCTAATGTCAAATACAAGGGATAAAGAGAGAGGGTACGAGTGCCAGTGTTACTCTGTGACAGGCCAGTGAGTTCCTCTCCAACTGAGGTGTTGGTCGGTGTGTCGGTATGTATTAGGCAGTTGTAATCAGGAATCCCATTACCTTCTGTGGAGCTGTCCATCCCTACTGCCACAATCTGTCAAGCTGTAAATTACAAGCTGATTTACAGGGCTGATTGGGTTGGTTGTGTACAGAAAGCACAACTCTCTCTCTCTCTCTCCTCTCTCTCTCTCTCTCTCTCCATCTCCATCGCTTCTCCCCCTCTCTCACTTTATCGCTTACGTTTGACAATAGGCAGCACTTACACATGTAGCTTCACCCACAGACACGTCCTGTGACTCAGCAGCATTTGTGACACGCTTCACAGTAAAACAATGCAGAAATTACACAATCCTCTCTTCCCCCACCGCCGCCCGAGCCTCCAACACACAATTGTGTTTAAAGAGTTGACAAAATATTTTACATTGAGTCCTTTATGTTCTTGCAGGCTGGGTCAGGCTGCTCGCTTCACATTCCTCACAGACAGGAATCTCTCTCCGCCCAGTTTTCTCCGCTCCACTGAACGTAATTCCCAGGAAAAATAATACCTGGAATATGGGGTTTGAATCTTGACCCACTTGTCACCGTTTGAAGGGATTGAATAACCCCATTCAAATATAATTTAAAGAAATAATAATAATTCGATCACTCAATCCACGGCTGTTTGTGGGAATCTACTGAGCGCAATTGGCTGCTGCGTTTCAGCCACAAAATATACAGTCAATTCACATTACATTAAATCCTGTGAAGCGCTTTGAGACATCTCGGAAGACGTGATGAGGCGCTGTATCAAACGCAAGGATTGTTATTATAGTGAGGGGAGGGGATTGCAAGTCAGTGGTACCTTAACCTCCCCCACTCCCTGCTTGGTAAACAGAGTATGTTGGAAAGGAAACTTGCCTCTGAGGTCCCCTCCCTCGCGAAGCGAGCGCACTAAGTACTACGCTCACCGGACTTCCTGCTTTGCAAGGCCCTGTGAGCACTACACTCACTCAAGGAGACCAGTGTGAGAAAGGCTGATCTGTCGCTATATATGGGAAATGGGCTTTTATTGATCTGAGTGAACTCCTCCCTCCACAGGCTGCAGATCTCACTTTCAAAGCCCTCCGTGGTCTTGCTCCCCCCACTCCCCCCACCTCTGCAACCTACTAACCCCCTACCAACCTGCCCGCTCCCTCCGCTGCCTCGTGTTCCCTGCCTCGCCTGCCCCACTTCAGCCACTTTGCCATCACCCTCTGTCCCGCAGTCCCTCCACCTCGCCCCCTCCCTCGCCTCCTTCAAGACACGTCTTATGACCCTCCTCTTCGCCCGTGGGTTTCATTGCTATCCAGACACACAGTGAGAGGAACTTCGATCACCCCCCCCTTACCCGCCACCCTCCCCGATCCCGACCCTTAGCTCGGGTCCGAAACCCTGACTGTCCAGCGCGTTGGAACGTCCTCCAAGGATAGCTGAGAGTGCTGCCTGCACTGGTCTGTGTGGAGCTGTCAGTCTCTGGGCTGTGCTAATCACAGACAGTATAAATTAGTCATTCACTTTGTAACTTCGTGTGCACAAATTGGCTGCTGCGTTTGTCTGCGAAGCCCACAAGTCGCTGCACTTGACAGCAATTCCCTGTGAACCTCTTCCAGACCTTCAGACATGCAAATGCAAGAAGTATGTTGTTTTATGGTGGACGGCTTGGCAAAGTGTTCAGTAATAATAATAATAATAATAATCCTGGAATCTGATACAGCCACTTATCACGTCAGGAAAATGTCACAAAGCGCTTCACGGGTGGATTGACTGTAAAGTGTAGTGACTGTGCATTTTGCTGGCAAATCCCCTGACTTGAGAATTCGAGGCAGTGGTCAGTATCCTCATCGCAAGGTGTAACACGGTAAGTGTCCTCTCGCTGTGCGTCTGGCTCGCAGTGAAACCCAGTCTGCCTGAGGCAGGCTGAGCCATGTAACTGAGAGCGCTGCCTTATTGACAGGGACGGACTTGATGCCCTGGTATTGCATTGCAATCTTGTTAATGAGGACACACAATATTTCATCAACCGCCCTGAACAGTACATTTAATGCTTTGTTTCATCTCGCTCTTAAAACGTATATCCCAGGTGAAATAATTTGCCCACCTGGACGCAGCATGTTTCTTTTAAACGTGACATTGGTGATGGACTACACTGAGCTAACTGATCTCAGGCTGAGCAATAACCTTGCATTTATACAGCAACAATAGGAGTCCTGTAGAGCACTCGCCTCGCTAGCGAAAGGACCCGGGTTCGATTCCCGGGCAGGGCGAACCTTAGGTAAGTTTCTTTTCTCCACACGCCTCTGTTTACCCAGCAGGAAGTAGGAACCCGGTTGTTAGTCGATTGGCGGATCGCTTTCCCGGGGGTAACAATCCCTCCAAAAAAAATTGGTCACTCACTCCGCGACTGTTTGTGGGACACTGCTGTGCACAATTGGCTGCCGTGTTTCGGCCACAGAATATATAGAGTCAACTCACTTTACAGTTTATCCTGTGAAGCGCTTTGAGAACGTCTCAAAGACGTGATAAGGCGCTATTTCAGACGCAAGGATTATTATTACTATTAAAACCGTAGGAAAGCAGGCCCGATTGCTCTGGGAGCCTGCGTCCATCCCTTGCAATAAAAAAACAAAGAAAATAAATGTCATTCAAGCAGATCACTAAGAAAGCACCTTTTAAAAATGTTCCAGAATAGTGTTTCTGTTATAGCCAGAGATCAGGTTATATCTCGTGGGTTTTGGATAGCCCTTGGTATGACACCAGTTGAGCTGAATATTAGAGATAGAAAATTGGACCGAGGGTTTCAGGCATTATTTTTCAATCCGAAAGAACAATTTTTCTATTCACTGACTCGCAGGGACACGCTGAAAGGAGCTGGGTTGTTCTGTGTGCCTTGCCAGCGGCAGAGCACACAATGCCTTGCTGTGTTTATGTATATGTGTGTGTGCCCGAAGGCAGATAAGCACGTGCACACACACGCGCGCACGCACACACATACACACACAGTTTCACCCACAAAATATACAGTAATCCACTTTACATTATATTCCATGAGGCGCTTTAAGACGTCTCGAGGATGTGGTTAGGTGCTATATCAAATGCAAGGATTATTATTATTATTATAATACAGTCTGTGATATCTAGCCACAGTGGACGGTAGATGTGGAACCTTTTCTCCACTGACCGGGTTGATGTCGCTCACGGACAGAGGTGGGGATGCAGAGGCTGGAGGGGAGAGTGACAGCATGCTCCAGGGCAGCAATAAAACACATGTCTGTGCAGTTAACAAGATGTACCGCAGTCCTTGAGGATTAGCTCTGCATCTGTCATATGCCTCCAGTTTAAGCCAAGCCGCCTGCCACCCTTTAATTGTGTCTGCACACAGCAGCTTGTAGATTCATTCCTGTAGGCAGGTTGGCTGGCTGGCTGGCTGGCTGGCTGAGACACCGTACTGCCAGACTTGTCTGATTAACCAGCTGAGAGACCGCTGAGAATCTTGTGTCTCGCTTCTCGCATATCCCGCTCTCCCATCACCCCGGTGGGTCGAGTTCAAGAGCGCTTGCCTCACAAGCGAGAAGACCCGGGTTCGATTCCTGAGCGGGG